AGGGTTGGCTTCAGGTGCAAATGTGAGCCATTGGGTCGTTAGAATTTCAGTTAGAATATGTTATAGCAACTGTAGACGTGAAGACTTGGATGCTGCGGAGCTCTTAAACCCATCCCAGTGAACATTCATCGAATATCGAATTATCTGGGAGTCGCTGTGTGATGGTAACATTTATTGTCGGTAGTTTACAAACAGCATTCCCCCCCAAACAAACAGCGCCCAGCACCGGTCATGGCTCACACATTGAAGTAGACCCGTGCTTGTTCCTCCTTCAAACCACACAGACCTGTCTTGCACCTGAGCGGTGAGTCGGCGTGAGTCAAGCCATGACAGGAGCTGGGTGGTTCACGAGGCCCGTCTCAACAAGATATGGGAATGGGTCAAAACCATGTAGCCCTGGTGAACATCAAAATAGGTGGCAAATGGATGTTCATCCCCTAATAAACTGTATCTATAGGTATTGATCCATAGCCATATCATAAAACTCCTTTTAAAAATTGCACTTGAAACTCCTACACTTACTTTCCAGGGGCACATGAATGTCAATGATTTTGCCAGCCAAGAGGGAGATTCTGATAGTACTGCCACAGCAGTAGCTGAACCCAACCGGCAGAACCTCGCTGTCTTGGTAATCAGCGTAACAAGTTCTCAGTGATTCTCTTATCTAGTCGGTGGTTTCAAGCCATCACAAAAAAGATCTTGGTCGACTGGAATCAGCATCCAGGGAAACATATGATAACATGAAATATAAAAAGTATTTGAAAAGTGTTCTAACGATTTTTATAGTGTTTGAAATTGTTTGAACCCCAACAGTCGACTGTTATGTTTCTTCATCCTTTTGCAATGAATTCAGTGTCTGAGGATTCCGGACGCACCCTCTTCAATCTTGGTCTTGAAAATGGCTGAGAGCCTGACATCGAAAAACGACACAAAAAACGGCCATCACCAACGGGCATCACCAACGGGCAGCCCCGTGAAAAAGTGTGGGTGATGTCACGGTGATGGCCGTCACAGTTTTGTCGTTTTGTCGTTTTGTCGTTTTGATGTCCGCCTCTCTTGCGTGAGAGTGTGCACCAAGGTCTTATAGTCCTGGGCAACATGGTGGGCGAGCAAGACAAGTTCAGTGATTGAAATCAAACTTGTTTGATTACTTTGTTTACTTTAATATTTTGCTATCATGTTCAACTTCCATTCATCCCAGTGACTCAAGCATCATTTGAGTTGATTCAAATACATATCCGTGAACTTGCTTATCTAGCCATGTTTCTTCTTATACTAAGCGGCAAATGGCAAACCAAATCATCGAACTGATATCATTCTTGACGATTTTATTCTTTGGACCGCCTGTTGGAAGAACAGCGCTGAGTGATGCTGAGTGATGGAACGCAGACTTTGTGTGAGGAGAGCTGTGATCCACTAAGAATCTTGGAATATGTCCAGTCTAAGCTGAAGAGCACGGTAACAAACAATCCCCCGGCTATCTCTTGCGCTGAGAGAACCTTCCAAGCCATGCGCATCCCTTGTTGGTGAACAGCACAGCTGTCACCTTCTCATCATCAGCACAATCTTTTGGATGTAGTCGCTTGTACCTGCCATGTGGGGAAATCTGAGAGCCCTTGTGGCTTTGCTATGGCTATTCTGTCCCTGTTGGTCCATCTGATGAAATATTTTCATGCGAGTATAACGTGTTTCACCGGCCCCCACCCAGTCTTTTCAAGTATTCTATATGTGCACGTTTCAGAGATGTTGTGCAGTGCACGTTTCCCAGCAGTTGTGCACGTTTCCCAGCAGTTGTGCACGTTTCACAGAAGTTGTGCACGTTTCACAAGCCCCCTAATAACGTTCGTGTTCAACTGTATACACACTGAGCGCATTCTAATCAGCAAAAGCATTGGGGCGACCAAACATGTTCTCCCCTTTCATGCATAGCGGGTGATACTTCAGGTGAATGACCACAGAAATGCTTGAACAACAACTCAGGCCTCTGACGGCATGCTTCAGCCTCGATAATGATCGCACTGGAGGAGCTAATGTGACCTGAACAGGCACAAAGACGCAAAGGACAAAAATGTCGCCAGCATCCAGTAACCTCCATAAATGCCGCGTGTGACATAACTAGTCAAGTCACTGACTATGTCAGAATATGTTGGATCTCCTTGCAAAATATGTACTGGTACTGGGCCAACTGGGTGTGTTTTTTTAAACATGTTTTCTGTAAATCAAACACAAATATGGCTGGTTGCTTCATCTAATGTTTCTTAGCCGGCATGTTCTGGAAAACAGAACGCCAACTCGTCTGAGTCTACCTTACAAAGTGAGAGATGGTTTACTTCAGAATAGGATCGGACCGCGCACCGACAGAGAAGGTCACCCACTTGGCTGTGGTTCGCTTTGGAAGACAATGGAGGAGACATATGCACACAAACAAATATATCCCTATGTATACATTCATATGTAAATAGCATACCCATGTATATATATATATACATACTATATACATATATATATATACATAAGATATATATATATATATATATGTACATAAGAGATATATATGTATACATAGTATATTTGTACATTATATATACATATATGTATCCATATATGTATATGTACATAAGATATATATATACATAATATATTTGTACATTATATATACATATATGTATCCATATATGTATATATGTATACATACACAGATAAATGTGTATGTATGTATGTATATATATAGTTTAATATGTTTATATATATATATGAATGTAAATATATACTTATGTAAAAATATAATGCAAAGAAGCGAGAAATGCAAATGAACCTTTATGGTTCGTTGTAGCCAGGCAAGCACAACCGAGACCCCATGCTTTCTGATCTTGCGAAGCCGGCACTCGGAGCTGGTGCAATTTTTGCCTCTCCAGCCAGTTAAATGAGACCACCGCTACGTAGGAATCAGCCATTGGTAATGGCAATGGCATTCCATGTAGCATGTATAGCATGTAAAGATATATAAAGCATGATGTATGCTATTAATGCTTTTTAGACGCAATTAGTACACAGACTTCATGATGTATCTGTACAACTTCTCTATCGAGGAGTGTGCGCGTATCAAGAACAACAAGGCCTTGCACCTGAGACATTGCAGGTGGGGTCTCAGTACAAACATACATAAATCATCATAAATCATAGATATTATATGATATTATAAACATGATATGGACATGGACAATGCCACGAAGGCTGAACGCTGCCGAGGTGCCGCTCCATTGGGTACTTTACCTTGGTGGGCTGATAGATTTGCACCCTCAACATCACTCAAAATACCTCAACGTCCCCAGATTTTGGAGATGTGTAACTTGATATACTGATGTGTATCTATATATATTATATTCAATATAGATGTATATTGCATCAATTTGCCGGATATTTGCATGATATGAGTTGCATTGAGTTGCTAGTTGGGAATGCAAGCCCTCAACAACTTTGCAGGATATGACGGGAGGCCCCCTTGGGCCACCATGATCGGACCCTTCAATGCCGGAATCTGATGGAACTATGGATGACTCATGATGACTCAACATCTCTGTGGCACTCGAATACTCTCGAGGTCCCTCGCCATCCCCAAATGGTAATGGATTCAAATATACTCAAATGGTCTAGGCGCTGATCAGAAGTTCGCGATGTGATGTTTCCATCGCATTCCCTTTCTGCTCCCCCTGTGGCGTTTCGACATCGACATGGCCATGAATGGGAGTGTGTGACAGAGCTTCTCTCACGCACTCGGTTCTGGCAGTCCGTTTCCTTACGACATATAAAGGAATGTATGTTGAATGTATCTTTGCAGAGCACTGAAGCATCGTGAGGTGATGCGAAGGATTGCGAAACAATGCTAGACATGAGGCAAGTCATGTTGTAAAGTCATTCAACAAGTTCTTGAATTTTGAATTCTGAGAGAATCACCTCCTTTGGCCTATTGTATCTAGTATTCCCTAGTTGATCCTAGTTGTGTGCTACGGACCCAAGGCCAGATGTACATGCAACTCTCGAGGTAGCGTAAGCGGCCTGCGGTTCAGAGCATCAGTGTAGGCTTTTAATGGTCACTTGCTGACCCATGGCTACCACTTTTGCGGCTCGCCGCGCCATTTGCTCCGGGGGATTCTTTCTGAGCCCAAGAACTGGCGTGATAAACAAGGCCGTAATCGCCCCATCCTTGTCTTCCAACCAGTTTCGCAACCGCTTGGACTGACCCCCAACTACAGATTTCAGGAACCACTTCGCATTGTGCGCCAGCTTCGAAGGGTTCACTGGGTTTCATGATTCGCTTTTCGATATTCACCAGGACCCGTTAATATCTGTTAATTTACATTGAAGTGCGGAGTAAAACTTCATGGTTCTTCAGTTCTTCATCTGAAAGCACGTGGCGGGTGGGTGTCCGTGGTAATCTTTTGATAGCCAGCTCAGCATGTTGGGCAGCGTATTGCACGATATTGCATTGCATCGTGGCAGCTTCACAGCGCAGAGTCTTGGAAACTGACCAGATGAAGATGACCATTGGTCAGCATTGGTCAGCATTCTCCATGGAACCACAGACTTTGAAACTTTAGACCATGATCACCTGGAGGAAACACATGATCACAGAGGCATCTTAAGGGTACCCAAATCAATAAGTCGTCATGTGTCTGAAAATGGGGGATACCCATCAAATGGCAGAAATATGTGTATATGTTTATATATATATATATTATGTATAATATTATTGGGGAATATGATGGTGAGGCACCTATTTTCAAACAAAGCCCTAAGCCATCCTTTCGACGTGGAAATCCCATGTCCTTCAAAACGCAGTCGTCGCTTCTTTTTGTCTTCGAAACTCAGGCGGGTCTCATTGAGACGTCCTTGAAGTAACTCACAGGATTTGGCACCTCTGGAAAGCCTCACAACTTCGAAGGTATACATATTGCACTTTTTGAACCTTGAAATATGGTAAATCTTGACCTGCATTTTGTGGCAGGAACTCCACGAAGACCCATCCAAATCCATGAAGCAAGAGACTCACACGTCCAACTTCTTCATCTGAACCTGCGACAAGAAGCGAACACAACCTGCTAAGGCCTGCTACAATGACTGTATCAACATAACACACATATATGGCATATATGCACACAAACACATGTCGTAAGATGTCAAATGATCAGTACATCAAGGTGTGGGAAACATAGCGTGAGCGTGGAAGGAAATATAACGAAATCATAAAAATTTGTTGAACACGTTCAACAGTTCTTGATCCTTTCAAATGGCTTGAAAAGACGGAATCGGTGACACCGCTGCTATCCGGGATCAGCGCACATGTTATGAGGGAAAAACTTATAGCTGTAGGTTGACCACCGACCCAAATATCAAGAATGCCATACATGGTCTATGATGGTCTATGATGGTCTATGCATATCAATTGTTTTTAGGCTGATCCAAAGACTCTATGATTGGTCCTAGAATAGTTCTACGTCCAGCTGTTGGGAAGTCAACACGGAGGCTCAAATATCGTATTAAACAAGATGCAGCCCACGAACCCACGAACCCGTGGGAACACACGTATGTTAATGGTACAGATGTCAAAACACATCAAAACACATACTGGTAGATATGCAGTCACGTAAAACACTTTTGTGAAACAAGTTATTTCAACAGTCTTGTACATTCTTCCCGTGTTACCATACCAGTGTAGATTGTGGAGTGTGGAATGGAGTGGAGTGCAGAGTGTGGAGTGCGAAGACAGAGGAGTGTTGAGTGGGGAATGTTGTGTGTAGGGTGTGAAGTGGGGATTGTGGAGTGTGAAGTGTCGAGTGTAAAGTGTAAAGTGTGGAGTGCAAAGTGTAGAGTGTAATGTGTAGACCGTGGAGTGTAAAGTGTAGAGTGTGGAGTGTCAAGTGTTCTCTTTCCATTGAGAAAATGAAGTGTACCGCTCGAAGAATATATCAGTGGAGCCAAGACGAAAAAGAATTGCTGTACCTACAGCGCTGGACTATGTGAACTTCTGAACAGCATGTAGTGAATGACCTGACTGATGGTATCTGGAAAATGATGCTCTACTGTACCAGTACCCGCTGAATCAATTCACACAGAGAATTCGGAGCTACTCAGCTACTCGAGGCACACAACTGCACCTTGTTTCGCCGGAAAACATGCGCGCAACAAATGCAGGAAAAATTTACTGACACGCAGTTTGTTAATGAACCGAGCACGGAACGACAACAGCAACCTATTTCAACGCATAGGCTGGCAAGTCATTTGATTCGAGAGAAGAATCGCTGCGTGTGTGATCTGCTCAGTTACCCAAGGCACAATATTGATATATACACCTGACCTGCCTTAGCGTTTCGATTTATAGACTGGGCGGTTCAAGTGGAAGCCGCATGCCATCTTTGACCTTGCAAAGAACTTCGTTGGGAAGTCCCCTCTACCCCCTGCTTGATAAACTTAAAGCTGAATTTTGAGGGCGCTAGCTGGCGCTGCTTGGAAATAGCTGTTGACTCACACACCCACACACCTACACATACATTCACACACACACACACACAAACATTTTCCTGGTTTTCATCTAGAAAATGCAGCAGTCTGCGTAATTCGTCGATCTTTCTTGAACGCCTTTGCGACCTAGGCCCCTCGCAGCTCTACTTTCAACACAATCAATACAACACAATGCAAGCTTGTACGCTTTGCTACTTTTGGCACAAAAAGTGCAGCACGATACAGCAAACGCCTGATATGGACAACTGGTGTGCTTGGTTCGAAATTTGGCAACTATCTTTCCAGATCTTACTTACATTATCTATCATTATCTGACATTGTTGCTAAACAGATTTCGAAACGTTTTCAAACTCCAAGCTCTCTCCGGCACCTGGCGTGCTTCTTGTGCTGCAGCACAGCAGCAACAGCAGCACCAAAGGCTAAAGTCCTGAGTGAAATCCGGCGTCCAGGAAAATCCGGGCCGGCTACACAGCATGAAACGCTGGATTTGCTGATCACAATCTTGCTCAACACTCGTGGTGTACCGTCGTGGTTAATGTCTTGCTAGTCTTGGAATTCACCAACAATCAAAACCAATCGATTTCCTTCAACAAAATCTGTGTGTCGGTGTGCATATGGGCGTCGTCCTAGTACGTACCTCCAAATCATGCAAAGTTCACCTCGAAGGGTGGGAGGCTTAGACTATCAAGGTATCTGTGTGTGCTACCCTTAGGAATTTGAACTCACTTAGAGGTGAAGTCGGACTATTTATCATGCATGTCAAACCAGAGATTTTCTTCCCTTTGGCCTTCAATTTGTCCATGGTGTCGTTCTTGATGGAAAAGATTTGTCGCAACTGCTGTCGGTAGTACCTTCGAGGGGCTGTATTCCGGGCATTATCATTGTCATCAGTAGAATAGCGTTGGCTGGCGAATCAATGCTAAGCTGCTTGGTGCAAGCCGACTGAAAGATGTCGATCTTTCTCCAAAATTTTAACACATATATCCCACATATCCATCATATCCCCCTGAAGGGCTCAATGGACTGTTCAGCTTCGGCATCTCACTTGTCCCGCCAAAATCTGATGTGGGATCATCTGAAAACCATCCCCCAATTTCACCATAAATATATAGGTGGTATGTGTACCATTCCCAAATGGGTGGTTTATTATTGTTTTGCCCACATTAATCTGAGTAAGAACGTCCATTTAGGGCGAATTTGCAGGGTACGGAGGATATCCTTCAGCCAAGCTGTACCTCTCAGTTCGACTTGCTAGGGGAACCTTCCTCGGGGGTTTCCTCGAATGGGGTAAAAACAGATCGTTGGTCTATGATCATCCACCCAAAATTGATAAGTTTGATCAACTTATATCAACTTTGAGACTTATCAAACTTATCAGCTCAATCTGGCGGCATCTGGGGGCATCTTTGTTTCCCAGCGAAGGTTCAAAATCTGCCCGAGTCTGAGGTCACGTGAAGATCAATGTAGAGCAAATCCAGGCCTGGACGATCGATCTTTGAAGGGGTTGTCTTTTGTTTTTATGGGAAATGTATGGTAAATGTATGGTAAATGTGTGGAAATCCTGTGCAGAAACTCCCCGGACATAATTGAGATTTGACCAAGGTGATTCTGTTTTCGGGATCATCCACATGCTCGCATCCTGGAATTGTGCGCAACCATTCAAGAGAGTCCCAAATCATTGTGAACCAATGAATTCGACTGTGACATAGTGACATGGTATGACATGGCAGACTTCAAGAGTTCTTCCCTCCTGGTCGCCTGGTCGCCTTAAAGCCAAGTTGCAGACAGACCAAGGATCGGGCCATAGTCCTGAGCTGGTCGATGGTCGATGGTCGATGCTGGTCGATGTGCCATGGCCATGGTAATCACATGTGATCACTGGTAATCGTGATCCAACCCGGGGAGCCTCCAAAAACCCAATCCCACCTGCGCCCACATGCGGAGATTGGAAACGACAAAGAAGATCAAGACACCGGTCCAAAAGCCTTGGCACCACACAGAAAAAAGTTGAGGCATACGAGGTGTTCATCACCATGTCGGGAAAAAAAAACATGGAAACTGTGGCAAAATTGCACTTTAACATTTCCACCTTATTGGGAACTTCCACGCGGGACAAACCATTCGTGACAGCTGATCAACGCTTCCTGCAACTTACCCCGGATTTCCGCTGGATACCATTGGAATTTTGTCAGTGACAATGGCCATGGATCACAGGATCACATCCATCAGGGAGAAATCTCTGCCAGTTGGTCATTGTGGGTTCTATATTCTATTCTCCAATATTCTCCGCAGAATTCTCGGAACATCTTTAGAATCTTTAGATTCACGAAGCAACAATAACTGGGACCTGACCGAGAGGATCTGACCGACAATGTGGGTACTTTGGGCAGTTCACAGGAATCACTTCCAGCCGATTCCTGAGCCCCTCGGGCGTCCAACCTTGAATGATGGGCTAGTCATTTTTTTCGGCTGGGAGAGGGCTAGTCGTTTTTTTCGGAAATCATTAATTGGTTCCTCTATCATGTGCGTTCTCAGCAACACTTGGCGGTCCTGCTTTTCGGATGATGGTCCTCTCTACACTGTGGCGAAGGCCAGACCCATCCAGACCCACTGCAATACTGGATATCTCGAAAAAATGCTGATTGATGGACCCGTTCTTTTTTTTTCCGGTTCGATTCCTGGTAGATCCGGTGGTTTGCACAGACCAAGTAGCTCATCACTCCAGCTGCCTTCATGGTGTCAGCCTCAAGACGCCCTGAATCCCCTGGAAACATGTGGAAACACCATCCTCTGCAAAGAACACGGCTGATTTCAGGCTCATTTCTGGCGAAATTTATGCATTCCTGCAAGATGTTCGGAAAAACATGTCAGATGAAATGCTGTTCACTCAAGTTTCGGGAAAGAGGCTTGCTATTTGAAAGGAAATCTCAGGTGCTGAAAGCCTGGCATTTTCCGATTTCATTTCAGATATTTCAGGGCGATACGGATTTCGAAATCCACTTGATGTTGATCATTGGTCACTGAAAGAGCAGCTCAAATGATCCCGGGACAAGGCAATTGCCGGGTGAAAGTCCCCCTTTCCGACAGATCTCCGGATGGGGATCGAATTGCGTACACGACATATGGATGGAAAATGATGGAAATGTGCATCTTGATGGATTCGCATATCATCTGCATTGAAGTTGAGCTAGCCCGCTATAGCCAACAGCTAGCGTTGGCCAAAACTGTTTTGGGGAAATTTGGGAAATCTCGACGGATCTGATGACTAGTTGAGCAGTTGGAACGCGACTTATGCTGACTCGCAAAGACCTAGCTTTGGTGTGCTTGCCACTCCCAAAACTCCTTCCCCGTCACTCTGATTGATGGTTTTGCTCAGGAGGAGTTCAAAAAGCACGTTCCTTATCGTATCTTGTGCGAACATGTTCGAACAGGCTTAGCAAACGCCATTGTAGTTCCTATCAGTTTCCACATTTGCAATGCTCTTTTCAAGTTACTCCAATGTCTACCATCTTTTGGATGGCGCTTCAACAGCAGCCCTCGAGTGTCGGACCCAGCGGTAGGGCATGCAGCAGAAGGAGAGGGCACAAATATGCATATCCTCGAGACTGCGGATTTCTTGGCAGGATCATTGATGCCTTGGGAAGACTTGCGGTATTTTTTGAAGCTGTGTTTCCATGAGAAATTTCATCACAATGTGGGATTGTCTGAAAAGAGGCACCAAAACCCACTGTTGTAAATCATTATCCAAATTATATCCAATTATCATCAACTGTCCCTATTAAAGGGCGATAAGTTGGGGAGTTCTCATGTGAACTACCACCATTTTCAGATAGTCATGGTGTGCAGTCCTCAAAGCAGCTGAAGACTCCGTGCCTGAACTCCTCCACCTCGACGTCCTTGGTTTTGGTGAGGACTAACCAACCTGGTAACCAAAGATAGCCATGGGACAATCCCCTATAAATAGGCAACAAAAAACATGGCAAAATATGGAATAATCATCCGTTAAAGGGATGATTTATGGAATAATCATCCGTTAAAGGGATGATTTGCAAGGAAAATGTTTGATTACCTGAGGATACATCATAATACAGTATCAAATCATACACCAAGTTGTGTTTGTCTCACCAGAAAATTGCTTGCCTTGGGACAGACGACAGTGGGATTGCGTCAAAGCAATCCAAAAATGCGTCTTGAAAAAGGTATCCAAATGATTCCAAATGTATCTATCAGCATTCTTATTTATCATTTCCAACCTCAATCTGAAATTTGGATCACCAGCACCAGCGTCGCCCATAGAATCCGGTATTTCAACCATAGGATCCGGTCTTGCTATGGTCCTTTCAAACACCGGATTTGCCAAAGTTGCAAGCGGAAAGCGGATGGGTTACCCGGTTACCCTGTTCTCAAACATGGCCTGCTAGAACATCCTCCATTTTGATCGGTGATGTTCGAAAACAAACCATTTATGGTGGATTTTCCAACCCATGTTGGATTCGAGGGTAAGCAGTTCTTGGTGAACAAGGTGCAGGCTTCGACTCGGACATCACGGGAGTTGACCTCAGTAAGTTGAACTGTCTAAGCCTCAACAATAGCGCCATTGTCACTATCATTTTGTCAATACAATGGCTATTGTTCGCCGAAAAGTGACCGGAGGGGCCTCAATTGGCTCTGAGATGGCATGTTGGCTCACCACGGTCACATGTGTTCTTTTTGCTCCCCCAAAAGGCAGGGTCGCCTACAGAGTGCATACCAAAACTGACCTTTTGGGATACCATCCATTTTTTCTATGAAGCCGAATGAAGCCACCTTATTTGAGAGGTAAATATACCCCACATGGAATCAACGCAAGAATCGAGGGGTTTGAAGTCCAGAAAGCCAACTTTGAAATCAGCAATCAGCATGCTTGAGAGGGAAATCGATTAAATCATCACCCCAATGACGATTTTCCCGGTTTGTTTCGAGGGTAAGGCACGAGGAGTGGCAGGCTTTTCCAATGAGAATAGATCCACATAGATCCAGATATAGATCCAGATAGATCATGATAGATCCACATAGATCCACTATCTATGCCTAAATCGAAATAGTATGAAATAGTTATTTGGCTGGCTTCATCCCACTGGATCATCGTTCAGATTTCCGGTGGGATCTGATCCGTCACAATAAAAAACACAATTCCATTAAGCCACAACAAACCACTAAGATCCACTAAGCCACTAGTGATAAGAAGTGAGAAGAAGTGATACCCTCTGGTAATTTAACATAGCTATTGAAAATGACCATTTATAGTGGATTTTCCCATTAAAAATTATGATTTTCCATAGTTATCTTAGTTTACCAGAGGGTAAGGTCAGCAACTCTCCCCAGGAGACGCGCTTCTTAGAATCCACTTCCAATTCACCCAACGAATCCTTGACCGACATCCCTGGACATACGATCTGCAAAGGGACCAAAGCTTGGTATAACACCATCCCAGCAGCGCTACCTGCCGAAAAACGGGATCAGTGATCATGAGGTTGACAGTTGACAGCAGCACACTGGTCAAAAAAAAACATCCCTACACTTTGGATTGACGATTTATTGTGGCAGGTAAAGAATGGCAATCACAGATGGAACAACACCAAGGATTCAGATGGATTCAGATGGATTCAGATGGATTCAGCGAGTGCGCAATACCGAAATTTATACCCGTCAAGATCGTTAAGTCCGCAACCAACCGATTGTCTGAAATTGGACCTACAGTACATCGCAGTACACGGTCTTTTTCTTTTCGAACATGTTCAAACAGCCATCGGGAAAACAGGTCGGACCTCACTCCATATGTCCGAAACCTCCAAAGGGAAACGGATGAGTCCCAGGACGAGACCCAGGATTCCTGGGAGTCCCGGCCAAGGCAACATAAACTGCAAAGACCGCGGCCATCATTCCCACGGTTTTCCATGCGGCAACTCGTTCCTGTGCCGCGCTTTAGGGCAATGATAGTCGCGAGACTTTGCCAGCTTCCCCATAAGGTTCTTCTAATGCATCAGACGTCTTTTGGATTCGGACGTATTTCCGTGATGACTCACACCCTTCTATTCTCTAATGTTCAAGGGTGGAAACCTCTGCAAACATCCTAGCATTGTCGAAAAACCTCTTAAGCGATATACTTCTTGCTATGGCGTGGATTCGTCGGGTCTCTACACCAACAAAAAGTGAAGAACGGTGCCTGCAAGGATCTTTTAACGGTTCTTTGCAGGTCCTTAGCTGTTTCAGATCATTTTCAGATCATTGGACATGATGGATCATGACTTTTTTGGCCGTCGCCGCGTCGCCTGCTTCACCAAAGTGTCGATCTCTTCATCACTCGTTGGTCCCACATGCACCACTGGAAGGTCCTGCAACAAGATGCTCACAGCAGGTGCGGAAAAACAACCAGCCAGCTCTGACACAATGTATACACAATGTAGGCGCTTACAAATCTTACAATAGATTGGACACGATTGGACCATGATTGGACCACTTGTCTTTGTGTCCCTCTCGACAAAGACTCACTCAAATAGGTTTCACTGACTCTACTCAGTACTGGAAGAGCCATGTGATGGGGATAGAATGATACTTCATGGTTCTTTGGAGTCCTGTCTGTGAGATTCTGTGACAGCAATTTCACATGCAAGTTCCTGCATAATTCGGTGATATTCGGTGGTGTGCCCTTTAATTGCGCGCTGTTGGGACCAATCTAGCTGTTCACCAGAAGTGAAAACTTGATGTGCAGAATTGCGCAAATCTGAATTCTATCTTTAAACATCTTGAAACAAAGTTCACTCTTTGCCGCGTTTTCCCACCAGTGATTCAATGATCACCGCACAGACTGGTGCTTTTGCCCGTCCTGACACTTGCTAGTGGGATATTGGGATATTGAACCATCGCATTCACTGTGTCTTTGTGGCGAAGCAAGGAATCACACCAATGGTTTCTTGTGTCATCTTGTGTCTTGAACTTAGAAATTCCTAGAACCGGCAATCTGTCGCCATTAAAATTGGATCGGAGGGCGTTGGCCTCCCGACATCGATTGAGAAACGTCGAAGACACGCTATGACACGCTGCCACGGGGCCAAGACGTCACAGGACGTCAACAATCATATTGTCTCCCTGTCCATGGATCAAGGATCGAGATGGTTCCTCGAATTCAGGCGCAGCTTGTGAATTCACAGCGAAAAATCCTCTGCAAATTAGCCGCACTAGCTTTCTGTGTTCTAAAATGTTCTAAAACGTTCGAAGGAATAAGAGCGAGAAATTGATGTCTGTACGGAAGATGTACAACAATTGTCAATGAACATCTAATAAGTACACAATTCTACACGCATGTTTTTACGGTCATTTAGAGGTACGCACATGTGATCATATACCATGTACCTCATGTAAGAGGTTGTAAGAGTATGCATCCCACTGAAAACACGAAGACCACCAAGAATCGGTGAAGATGTTTGGATAGAGTCACTCTGGCGCATGCTTTGGGCCCATCTTTTAAGAAGTAGATGACCAACACGTGGCACTTCTTGATACGCGAGTCATTTCTGGGCTCTTTTTGTCTTCGATCAAAGGTGACATCGTCATCCTCATCATCCTCGAGGTCTTTTTCCCAGTCTTTCTTCAAGCGGTTAATGCGGCCCTGAAAGATGCGGTTTTGAAGGCCGGCATTAACCAGGGTCCATCTAGGTCCTAAATCTTGGAGCCCAAGTGAGCCCCATGTCATGGTGACACTATGTGAACTGGATCAATGCCACAACACTGCTACCATCTGCTACCAAAAATTCCAAAAAAAACCAAAATCTTGCAATTGCTGAACAATGCTGAACATCTGGCCATATCATGCCATAGGCCTGAATCTTTTTCCTCATCTCAATGTTCTTTGCAGCGTTTCGCTCTTTCTTCAGCTTCTCCATGGCAGCTTTGGGGTTCTCCTCACCCCAAACATGGCCGTTGCGCTTCTCATTGCATGCTTCCTCAGCGCAAGGAGGGAGCCGTGTCAGCCGTTCTTTTTTGGATGAACCAGGAGTGCAAAGCTAGGCGTCCACGAGGTCTTGATTGATAATATCATTATGGTTAATAACAATGGGATTATGCATGAGATATTAATATTGTCTGAAAAATGTGTATATACTCAAAAGTGATTGCGGGGGTCATTTGGAGTCGTATTTCGTTGTGCAAAAGTCACACCGTATGTGCAAAAGTCACACCGTATCTTAAGAAAAGAGCTCTGAGAAAAACAATTGCAAGTACTTGTGACAAACCGGATAGGCTGGGGACCAAACAAATCCAAATCTAACGAATGATGCATCATTTGGCACACATTTGGCACACATTTGGCACACATTTGGCACATGGTGACTTGGAGCAGCGTTTTTTTTTGCCCCTCTAAAAGTCCTCGGGAGAGCCTGGATTTTCAGCACTGGCACTGGCAGAGCCCTGGAAAAATACTGCACCAAGTCTCATGAACGATGGCTCGATACAAGCCTGGTTGTTGGGCAACATCGTTGGGCAACATCGTTGCAACAGAAAATCTCACAGCTCCAAAAAGGTCTCAAAAAGGGTCTCTAGCCTTGAAGGCGAGATGACCAATTGACAATTGACCAATTTCCACAGCAACTTGTCACACCGAGAAACGTTTGCAATTGCGATTGTGCTGGTTCATCTTGTTCATCTTGTTCATCTGGTTCTTGCTTTCGAAAAATTCCAAGAGTTCCTTCGGGATTCGATGCAACATGATGCAACATACGGTGCAACATACGGTGCCGGTTATGCCTCTAGCAGCGCCTCACTGGATTCATCATTCACCGAGAAGCATCTTCAATCTCTGTTGCTTTGCAGCTGTACTCGTTGCCTTGCAAAGCGCAAAGCTCAGACATTTTGTGTTATTGATGTGTTTCACTGTGTTATTGATGTGTTTCACTGTGTTATTGATGTGTTTCACTGTGTTATTGATGTGTTTCACTGTGTTATTGATGTGTTTCACTGTGTTTCACTGTGTTTCACTGTGTTATTGATGTGTTTCACTGTGTTATTGATGTGTTTCACTGTGTTTCACTGTGTTTCACTGTGTTATTGATGTGTTTCACTGTGTTATTGATGTGTTTCACTGTGTTTCACTGTGTTATTGATGTGTTTCACTGTGTTTCACTGTGTTATTGATGTGTTTCACTGTGTTTATGTGTTTCACTGTGTTTCACTGTGTTATTGATGTGTTTCACTGTGTTATTGATGTGTTTCACTGTGTTTCACTGTGTTATTGATGTGTTTCACTGTGTTTCACTGTGTTGATGTGTTTCACTGTGTTTCACTGTGTTTCACTGTGTTTCACTGTGTTTCATGTGTTTCACCACTGTTATTGACTGTGTTTCACTGTGTTATTGATGTGTTTCACTGTGTATTGATGTGTTCACTGTGTTTCACTGTGTTTCACTGTGTTATTGATGTGTTTCACTGTGTTTCACTGTGTTTCACTGTGTTTCACTGTGTTTCACTGTGTTTCACTGTGTTTCACTGTGTTTCACTATGTTTCACTGTGTTTCACTGTGTTTCACTGTGTTTCACTGTGTTTCACTGAAAACTGCTGAATTCTCTGGACAGTTTCAATCCTATCGATTCAGCACCATGTTCTGAGTCCACAGTTTTGCATGTCCCCTTGAGTGTTTGACATCATTGAATTCGGTTGGTTTCCTTATTGCTACTATCCTGGTCACTGGAGAGTCCTCATTCAATGGACAGCCACCACCCGAGATACACAAAGGATCTGGGGCAACTGGTTTCTTGGCCACAGTTTCCAGCGTGCCGAAACCGCGTGTCTGGAGTGACTACTTTCTCCCCTCACCAGAGAAGAGTGAAAATCAAGAGGTTCAGTAGTAAAACTGGCCCGAGAAAAGCAAGTATAAATGATTCCCTTGCCTCAATCATTTGTATTGCAGAACACTGGCAAGAGAAGCACCCCCTTTTTAGCCTCTGGCCAATGGGATACACAAAAGTCTGCATTACCTGGCTAGGATCAATAAATTCAATTTTGCCTCCAACATAGCATATGTGGCACATGTATGCATAAATGGCGTCTGTGCGTGGACGTGTAGTAATGATTGCAAGCTATAAGCTGAAAGAAGCGTCGACAGCTTTGTCGTAGTAGTGTACAATGTTGCACTAGTAGGTGAAAGGGTAGTTGACAGGTAGTTAACACATGTGAACTAATGTTGACTAATGTTAAGTAGTAACTAGTTGCTAAATGTTAAGTAGTAACTAGCACATACTAGCTTGTTATACTACCTTGTTATACTGCTATATTAGTTCACATATGTTAACTACATCTACCCTCTAGTAAACTAATATAGCTATTGAAAATGATCATTTCTAGTTGATTTACCGATTTACCCATTAAAAATTATGATTTTCCATAGTTATGACATGTTTTTTCATAACGTAAAATCCAACGAGGCTTCGTTCGAGTGGCACACGTCATCCACTCCATAGAGGATTTCTCCAAGGTCGTTGGACTCGGGGTAACGGCAGCGCTGGTCCAACGTCTCTGGTGTCACCTCCATAAATTCCATCAACCTGACGTCTGACGCTGATGTGAAACACGTAAAAAGATGTACAAAAAAAACAAACAGATCCAAAGAATTCCACCCTTTTTTTTTTCGCTTTAAAAAAACTAAATGCATTGTTCCAAACAACATGACATGCCGGCTCTAGGCCAAGATTTGAAATATATGAACATGCTATGGCTATAACATTTCAGAAGTAATGGGAAACACGGGGGGAAATGGAATAATATGGTTGAAACAACTGCACAGGGTCGAACTGGTTCTGAAGAGAAAGACAAGGTAGCATGGCTTTATTGAGCGCTGCCACAGCAGCAAGGATCATGGGAAGGATACAACTGGGGTTATACGAAAATGGGCTATACCGTATACCCCTAAAGTTGCCATGTCACTTTGAAACTTACGATTGATCACTGGATTCTGAATGGATCACACATTTTTTTTTGCCTTTTACTTTCAGGTGATATCTCTCCTTGCGTTCGTGACAATGCAACGTTTTACAGAAACACCATACTCAAAGCATCCAATCCAATCATGGAGGGAACAAACATGAATATGTTCAACCGTGGACCCTTCGTAGCATTCACTGCAGTCCTTTCAACTGTGACCAATATGGAAGGCTTTCGCGCCTTCAGAATGAAGGTTGGGAAGCACATTAAAAAGGAACCAAACCAAAGGATAATCCTCAATAGTTCTCGTGTTCTTACATACACAAAGCCAATTGCTCCAAGCGGAAACATGGCACTTTCCATGATTCTTGGAATAAATCTTTGAATGACATGTGAGCCACTCTACTCTGCTCGCAATGTCACACGTTCATGAAAACATCGCAATAGATCAAATTTCATGTGAAGATTCCTGGAGCAAGTTCGCCTCTAACTTTGAACTTCTCAGCCTTGAACGAATTCAAGAGAATTCAACCGCGCTAGTCCGGAAGTAGGGATTCCTGCCATTGTGAACCATAGTAGTAAGCAAGATGACGGTGCTGTGTTTAGCATGGGTGGATCCACACAATGGCAAGGTTCGAAAAAAAAAATATGGATCTGTCTGCAAACATGGTTAATTATCGGTATACCCCCACTTTAACCGGTTTTCAAGGGAAAGTGATGATTGACCGATGGATTTCGGTGTATAATACTCTACTGCCAGACAAATCCACATTGTATGTATGACATGAATATCATATTAATTCATATGCATCATATTGAATATATGTGAATATTGGAAATCAAACAAATATCATAATCATAATATGAATATCATGACTTTTTTGCACCCGTGACCCGACATCTCGATATATCATATATCTCATCTCGCCGATCTCGCCTCCTGAGAGCCTGGTCTACAGACATTTCCTTCACAGAGGCTGACTGCTGATGAATTTCTTTTCCAGGATTTCCATCACGGAAGCCGAAACCAAGTCGCCGGCCCTGGCCCTGACCGTAAATCGATGACCGATTTAGGCGGGCGACATCGTGGCGAAATCGATGAATTTCCCCCGGGGACGAACCAGGATGAACATGGATGAACCAGGTACACCAAATTCATTCCTCCATTTCTAGCTGCTTGGCTGATCTCTTGGACGAGCCGAAGCTAACAGTGTTCAACAGTGTTCAACAGTGTTCAACAAAGACTGGGCCCCTGGCCTCTGCAATTTTTTTCCTCGTTGTCCTGTTGCCACCTCATTTGCGACGGCGATCTGGAGCCAGGCTTTGCGACTTTAGGCCTCCACACCTACACTGCATTTAGTCCCTTCCCAGAAATCAGGTCCCTGGCCATCAAAACATCTACGGGAAATTTCATGGCAGCAAGCCCCGCTTGAGTGACAATATAGAAGCTTGGATATGCCGTGATATGCCGTGATATGCCGTGATATGCCGTGATATGGATTGGCTTGGAGTATCAAAGCGGCGATACATTCATGGCTGGCTAAGGCACCCTTGGTGACCTTTGGAACCTGAAATGTCCCAAAGTCCAAATCAGCATCCAGGGTGACATAGTCGTCTGCGCCACTCGCACAGCAGGTGTCACCAATATCGCCACGATGGTGGATACCAGCTGCAGATTCGCTTCTTGGCTTGTACTGGCCGAGCTTAAGGATGCAATATGATGAACGTACGATTAATATGTACCCTCTGGTAATTTAACATAGCTATTGAAAATGGCCATTTATAGTGGATTTTCCCATAAAAAAATTGTGATTTTCCATGGTTATGTTAGTTTACCAGAGGGTAATAGGCTACGATGAGCTACTGGAATCAACATCTCTGCCAACGACTGGTGCCAATCACAACAGGCTGGTGGCTTCAAACGACTGAACGAGATGAGTCAGCTGATCGTCTTCGCAAGTTTGGATGAAAAATACAAAAAAAATATAACTGTTTGAAATCATCCCATGCATTGTCCCCCGAGTTTGTTGGGATATATTGGGATGATAGGCAACAAGCTTGGGGGTAGTTTCGAAGTCGAGCACAGCTTGGATAGTCATCGAGTATCATCGAGTCATCGTCTCTGTATCCTTCGGTGGTCCTTCGGATCCTCGCTTGGCACGAGCTTTAGCCAGGAAATTCGCGCAGCAGTTGCCTGGAAGCTGCTGAGGCCCTGTTTGTGGGTCCCAATTAGTCCCAATATGCAGCGTTGCAATCCGTTCGTTGTGATTGGCACTCTTCATAGACGTCAAATGATGTAAAAGTCTAAGAAGATCTAAGAATCTTGGTACATCTTGGTACATCTTGGTACATCTTGGTACATCTTGGTACCCATGGAAAAATCCAGGAACTACTGAGACTCAGGTATTGGTTGTCACGCTCCCAAAGGACGCTGTGGATTTTCCATGGATCAATTGTTGGCCGTCTTTGAAAGTGCCCATTTGGGCCACAAAACAGAAACCTGGTGCTGTTCATTTGCATATCCTCTGGCATATCCAGAATGAACAGCATAGACTTCGAGATGCTACCCTGGCACAATCGTACCGCATTCTGGGATAAGTCTTGATTCAATCCCATTTGGGGTGGGATTGAGCGCCCTCTGCCTTCTTCTTCACAACTGGTTTCTTTACCTCAGTAGGATGCAGGATGCGGGTTCCAACCTAGCATGAATATTGCATGAATATTAGGTCTATCAGTCTATCCCAACAGCCTAGTACTTTTGCTTCCCAATTTAAGGACGGCTGCTTTCTGACTTCTTCGAGAATGTGTGAGACGTGCAGATAGTCGAAACCTTTGAATATGCATTTTACTTGTCAGGCCATTATTTATAAAAATATATAATTTCATCAAACGATTCTCCTTTAAAAAACACCGGTTTCGAAAACTATGGCAGCCGTCAACTTTGGACCCTTGGTGGCCTTGGTGGCCTTTGCAGCCGGTCGTTTCATGGCGGCGCAGTTCCAGCGACTTGCGCTAAGGCGGCTGCACCAATGGACGAAGCAATGCCAGCTGACTGCACTTGGATAACACCAAATTTGCTGTTTTTTTACACACGCCCAATTTTCGAAAGCTTCGGAGTTGGATCAAGGAGTCTTTTTCTATTACAAAAACCTGTTCTGAAAAGAAGCGATTGTGAATGGTTATCCACTTCCAGGGAACCGAGATCTTGAAATGACTTGTTGGTATGCAGTTCCAAGTGGATTGTAATACAATCAAGATGATTCGTGTTTGTGATAGCTGCGTTTCATGGTATTTCTGATGGTTGAATGTTCTATTTAAATGGAGCTGGGCACTATGATCTGATTCCTTTCAGTCCTTGTCCATCTTTGGATCTGCTTTTACAAACTTCTGCAGCAGCACAGAAGGACCTCGGCATCGAGTGAAACGGGCTGAAACTGATGTTGAAGCTACGACCTGTTAGGAACTACACAGATTTGGGGCTTGAGTGCAAAGCAAGCCCAAAGAACGTTCCGCTATGACCAAATAATACGTAAATACGTGCATTGTATATGTAGATAATGTACATGTATATACATGAATATTGTTGTTTTTGGTTCGTTTAAGTATGTTTAAGTGAATTGTAGTCTTTTTAGTCACATGACATCGAATTTACATAACATTAAAAAAAAGGCTAGGGATCTGTGACACGGCGCTGAGCCCGTCACTTGTTTCATGCAGAACGTTGGCGACTCGGGCGACCAACTCTGCCTGAGTGCTGGGGATCTCCAGAACTCAGAATCGATCTGAACTGAGTCCAAACTGAACTCCAAACTATCCAAACTCTCCAATTTGGATTTAGATGGATTTAGAATGTTTAGTGGATAAACAAGAACTCATATCCACTATAATTGCGCGAGTTGGGGCAGTCCATTCATATCATTCTTGGGGCCAACTTCGGAGGGCATTTTCACGACGAACCAATGATCTGCTGACTGGAAAACCGGTCATTGGAAGCAACGGCACTCCAACATGGAAGTCATATACAGTTTTATAGATCTAATATGATCTAACATGATCTAATGCAGATCTAATGCAGATCTACTTGTGGATTGTTTGTGATCAGCCGCCTGTTTCAGCCTGTTTCACCCAAAGTGACCCATGCTGACCCATCAAAGCGGCCTCAAACCTGGTGGAACCTGGTGGCACCATTGGCACCATGTCCTGCAGCTGAAATTGGAATGCTTCCAGTTTTCATCCTGCAAAAATGGTGCATCATTGATACATTCAAATGAATATAGCATGAATATAGACTCCTTAGATTTTTTTTTCCTTCAAAATACGTGCCTAGCAGGAAATGAAGAGATATGCACAACAAAGAGATCCCCACAAGTAGTGCAGAACAAACAGTCCATGATAGGATGCCGGCAATGTCATCCTAAACAATGATAGCAATACCTCCATACCTCTCCTGAAACATTACACCAGTTACACCAGTTACACCATGATCCATGATGGACGAGTCTTTTTTTGACTTTCTGCTCCCTCTATGGCAACTCTTTCACCAACAAAAAATCGCGATATGCACTTGGATCCAGAAGACACGGAGACACGACCGCATTTTCAAACTGTGAGATATCCGCAGAATGATTCGGTAAATGCATGTTTTATGCACGGAAACACCTGAGGCCCCATTTTCTCTCGAGCTGGGAGAAATGCCAGATGCAAAGGTCCATTCGCTACATTTTAGGTTTTTATCCTCCCAAGAATGGGAATCAGCTTGTGAATATATAGTTTCATACCTCCCAATTGTTAAATTTCAACTGGATGAGATCGAGCAGATCTGATGTGGATCCCCATCTATGGACCTTTTTGGGTATCCACCACAACCACCCATACTTCTAGTCGTTTGGGCCATATTCTCCCAGGAACTAACCAATTGGGGTCATTTTAGATAATACCAAATAGGGGTATATAGGGGTAATGTGGGTAAAACAATGTCATTTTTACCACCCATGACTGGGAATGGTTTGTACCACCTATAAAAATGGTGATTTGGGGATGGTTTATGACATTGTGTTACCCACATTATTAGTATTAATTAATATTAATTAGCCAATAATACTCCGAAAGTCACTATTGGGGTTTACCGTAATGTTTACCTCATTATGAATCCTTCAGGAATTGCCACAGCCACTTTTCGCATCTTTTCGCCCTCCTACAACTGCGGCTTGCACCGCGCCCAGTAGCAAGGCGACGCATAAAAGTCGCGGCCTCAGCAAAATTCTCATGTCTGGGGGATGGTCATGTAACCGTCATGTCTGGGTTCCTTTCTAGAAACATGGGTATGGTTAACAATATCAAATATACAATTATATGATACTATATCTAAGATTATATTCAATTCCATCTCATCGCGTTGCCTTCCACCTTATAATACGTTACACACATGCAACGTCAAAGTCGAGGTCTAGGAGGTCCTTTACGAACGGCCTCGGTCATGAACAAGCCCTTCGACCAACAGCCATGTTAAACATTGTCAAACATTGTCCACCATCATTCAGAATTCAGCCATCATTCAGCCATCATTCAGCCATCATCGCATGTGGTGAGTTGTTTCTGTATCTTTATCAATGATCGAACATTGCTGACCGTGAATTGGCATGAAATTAGCCATAAAAAGTGCGGCAGTCCCTTCGTCCACCATGGCGGATTATGCTGCATACTAAGGCTGGTATAGTTAGTGCTGGTCTCACTTATGCTGTTTTTGTAGGATGCATTATGATGCGTTATGATGCATTATGATGCATTATGATGTGTTATGATGTATTATGATGTACTATGATGTATCATGATGTATTATGATGTATTATGATGTATTATGATGTATTATGATGTATTATGATGTATTATGATGTATCATGATGTATCATGATGTATTATGATGTATTATGATGTAGTATGATGTATTATGATGCATTGTGATACATTATGATGTATTATGATGTATTATGATGTATCATGATGTATTATGATGTATTATGATGTATTATGATGCATCATGATGTATTATGATGTATTATGATGTATCATGATGTATCATGATGTATTATGATGTATTATGATGTATTATGATGTATTATGATGTATCATGATGTATTATGATGTATTATGATGTATTACGATGTATTAAGATGTATTAAGATGTATCATGATGTATTATGATGTATTATGATGTATTATGATGTATCATGATGTATTACGATGTATTAAGATGTATTAAGATGTATCATGATGTATTATGATGTATTATGATGTATCATGATGTAATGTAATATGATGTATTGAACCACTGCAACTCACATGTTAATCGTTTTACTTTTACTTGGAGGGCTTCGAGGCAAACCGCCTAGGAGGGGCCTTTAGTCAAGCACCCTCGGCGTGGCTCTTGGATCACATACATGACTAGTACGTATGCATATGACATAGATGTGACCGTATGACCCTGGTTGAAACAAGCCGATTCTCAGCATTTGAGCAGGCCCATCATCGTTTCAATGGCGAAACAAGGTCTGCGAACTCATGGCGATTTTCTGTGATATATAATGTAATGTGTATATATATATAATTATATATATAGGATTAATTACGGTTTCCTGTGCTGGAATACCACGCCCGGGAATCCTTTGCTTGCTTTGACCTCTCAATCCCCATGTGTGCCACCCGTTTCTTGAATGGTGACACCCACCTTTTACCGTGACCATGAATCGAAATATTCAAGCTCCACAAGTTTCGCTTAGCAAGCAATTTGTTCGTTGGAAATCATGTAGGTCTACATGGCTCGAGTCTTACAGTTGCAACTCAAAATATGTTTGTACCATACAGCTGTACAACTTCACAATGCAAAAAATATGACAACTATAACTCCACCTTCTCAAATTCTATGTCACATGAATCCAATGGGCAAAGCAAAAACACAAATTTCCACAATCACAATTTCTGCAACGCCAAAATTTCTATTTCCTCAGCTTGCCATCGAAGGTCAATCTCCATGCTATCCGGATATTTCAGGATGATCTAGATAATGCCAATGATAGGATTATCAAAAATTACATGATTTTTGGTTATAATATCTACATGTTCTTAGTCCCAATAATATAACTTTGGGATAGATCTTATAGATATCTACATGTTATTCTTATTCTTAGTCCCAATCCCAGACTTTTCGACAGAATGGAGGTCTCACCCTGATCCAATCTGGGGCTCATTTTGGGGCCCGGGCATCGCACGGGTCGACTTCAATGATTCAGGGGGAGGTCTTGAGCCAGCCCTTTGAGATACCCATGTATGTAAATCCATGTGAATACTGAAATATCTATCATATATCTACCAATAGCATATATTTACCACATATATCATATATCATATATCATATATCATATATCATATATCATATCATATATCTACCAAATAGCACTCTACACAAAAGTCAGAACGAACACTACACAATTCAGTCATCTGCACACAGCTTGTGATTTGATGCCATGAATTGAACAGAACTTGGACGACTGAGCTTTTAGGTTTTGGGTACCCCAGTGGCACGACCACCATGGGGCCCCAGTGGCAGTAGATGGTGTCATTAGAATTCGTTCATCCCCGTCCCCAACAGGGTTCCAAATATTCTAAATGAATAACGGATATGTGATATGTGAGTATCATTGAGTATCTCAATATATTTCAACAACATTCAATAGCTCAATTTGGGTTTGAAATGGTTTGAATTTTGACCCATCCTCATCATATCCTCGCTGCGTCGCTATGACGAAAGGCCCTTTTTCAGCGGGGCAAGCGACTTCCGCTTGTGGGTTGGATTTTCTAGGAAGTGAGGCAGGTGCATTCCCAATAAGGGGTATCTTGTTGACGCATGTTTCCAACCATATGTTCTGGAACATGTTGGATAGGGCAACATCTAGGCAACTGATATCGGCTGATCTGGTCATTGGAATTCACAAACCTGCCCTGAACATTTCAACATACTTCAACAGTGTTTTGTTAAAAAAATGTGTACAGTTTTTTACCATTTTCTACCCCAACTCCACCGTGAGGCTCTGAGAATTTGCCACGGAGGCTCTACATAACTGGTAGCGGCTTAGCTCTCCGAGGACTAGCCGAGTCTCTTGTCTAGAGATCGGCGGACGAGATCGGCCGAGTCTGTTGACCCCCAAAAAATCCATGGTGAACATCCCAAGAAACATTCCCAGTGTCGTTCAGTCGCAGAAGGTGTTCCCTGGGAATAATTCACCTTCTTTGTTTTCTTCTTGAATAAAAAAACACTGATCCCCAATTCAGAAAGTTAAACGGGGGGGATTAATTGCCAGATATTCTGAGATACATTCTGACATAGATTTGATAAGCGTGTCACTTGTCGTGAACCAACTTCGAAGATTTAAATAGAAAAATTTGAAAACGGCCGCAACCATCAAGCAATCCAATTGAAACGGGGGTCTACAGTTCGCAGCTATTGAAAAGATTCTGAATGACGAGCATTTCTGAGTGCCACAGCTCTCAGCAAGTTTCACCGGGCGACAAGTGCAGCCGGTGCGCATTCTACAGCCTGGCTGCCGTGTTAGATTCCAGCTTCCCCACCAAAAAAATGATGCAAACGCAAACTGACTGGTATTAAGCGCCCTCAAAACTTGAAACTCTCCCAACAGGTGAAAGTCAAACCTTGTGAACCAAAATCACCCAATTGCTCCAAGTGTCTCCACAGGGACTGCCAGGTCTTTGCTCTCCTGGGCATGGCAGTTCAACTGCTTGATGTTCCACAGTTGCACTTGCTACTTGCAAACCGTGTCTCTTTTTTCCATGTTGCAAACCGCAGTCAGAGTCGGGTTTGGGATGGAACATGATGGAACCAAGCGAAAGATTCACCGCTCGAAACACCAAAAAATGTCGTCCATGCCTGGAGCTGTCCCGAAGACCTTGGTGAAGAAGCGCTGTCGGGACTTGAGGAGTCAAAGAACGAAGACATCGTATAGCGGCCACGGCCATGACCCCAAGGGATGGTGATATCTTCCAATCTGTGAGCAGAGCATGTTTAAAAGGGATGTTCTCCCGGATACAAGTTCGAAGAACTCGAATAGACTGAATAGACTAGAACTTATTCGGCACATTTAGTTTTATATATTATATATATAGTTCCTTATATATATACTTGATATCTATACCAGAGTAGCACCAGAGTCGCTACAAAGCTTCGCCTTGCTTCGCCTTGCTTCGTGTGCTGCCTAGACCTGGTGAACATGAATCACTTCTTTTGGGCAATGATAACTATTTATAATATTGTTTATCATTGTAGTATTTATATACACTATTTTTATAATATTCTTCTGTAGTATTTTTATACACTAGTTTTATAACTATGATAAAGATGATATATAAAACTATGAGTTTTCATAACTATTTTAAGATAAAGATGATATATAACACTCAGAGATGTGATGACTTTTCCTGGTGATTTAAGCTGGGTTTCCCGGCAGGTCGCTGAAACACCTAAGGTGATCCATGCGCCCCACTCGAAGGTGTGGGATCCTCGCGTTCGAAGGATCGATTTAGTGATGCATTGATGCAATATTTCGTGATATTCTATATCAATTGATAGTTGATATATGTTGATCTATATAGTATATATATAATATATTCTATATCTATTCTATATCTATTCTATATCTATTCTATATCTATTCTATATCTATAATGATATATCATGATATATCATAGATGCTCCGTTTTGATATATCTGGCATGTGAAACGGAGTCCTGCTGCCTGGGGACATTCGCCGTCGCCGGCCTGAACCAAGATCGCAGGGGATCATCAGGGGATTCCGGCCTGAAACACATTGAAACACTGTAAATAAGCACCCTAATATGAAGCAATATTAAGCACCCCCCCGAAAAAACCATGGTTTCGGGGATGAAATGGATGAACCCACATAATTGGGACTATTTAGGGGGTGTAGGCCTATTAGGGGGATTGATGGAATGAATCAAGGGGATATCCAATGTTCACCCCTCGGCCTCGAAGTTCCATGGTAATGTCAACTGTGCTGCGGCCCCGAGGAAAGAAATCAACCCCCTGTAACACCACTTGGTAGCACGCGAGCTGAAACGTTGAGATTTAGTGTGGGGATTCGCGTAAAGTGTATTGCAGGGTTTGAAAATGTTATCCATTTTAATCTACAGCAGGCTTATAATTCAAGACTGTGCAGCCAACTACAGTAGTGTGGTTTGCTGCTAACGCATTGTGAGTTCACCATCCTGACTCCAAATTGAATATTGTTGACGGAGGCATTGTGTGAGTCATTAAGTTGGATGGACAAACTTTGGACGTGCATGGAACGAAGGTCCAAAATACGTGATATAATGATATAATGATATAATGATATAATGATATAATGATATAATATATATATATATGTATGCATGCATGCATGTATGGATGGATGTATGGATGTATGGATGTATGGATGTCTGGATGTATGGATGTCTGGATGTATGTATGTATGGATGGATGGATGGATGTTATGTAATGTTATGTAATGTTTTCTGTAATTTTATGTAATGTTATGTTATGTATGCGTAATAATGTGTATACATAATTACATATATGTATGTATATATATATATATATATTCACACCATGGTTGTTCCAAAGGCAATTGATCCCTCAAATACTTGTTCTGTCTTGGGTAAACGGAGCTGTGTGCATAATGTGTGTGTATGTGTCAATGAAAAGAGTGCGTACACTAGATTACAATCTACAAGTGTGTACTTGGCTACTCAAAGTGAATGTGTAGAGATATAGCAATAGAATGGTATTAAGAATGGTATTAAGAATGGTATTAAGAATGGTGTTAGAATGGTATCAAGAATGGTATTAAGAATGGTACGGGATAACCACAGATATCCACAGCTTCTGAGGTGACTAGCTCGTGTCCCTGGGCTTAGCCGAGCCCCAGCGGCCTACTTTGCTCTCCGCTGCTCGATGCACCTGGCCAAGTATTGGAATCTCTTTCCGAATCGCCTCTGAAAGAACCAGGTGATCACTGGTTTTTTGTTCAACAGGGATGTTCAAACGATGACTTGACCCACCGACACGATGAAAAAACGCCTGTGAGCAAAAGCTTCAATTTTGAGCACTTCAGGGGAGATTCTTGACGCCCCATGAAATTGGTGGCAAATTTGACCATATCCCGACCAAGTTCCAAGAAACATCCACCTTGTGCTGAAGAACTGGATGAGCTCCCGCCTGACATCATCATACCCGGCCTGGTAATTTAACAAAAAACTATGGAAAGATCCACCATTTTTCATGGGAAAATCCACTATTTCGACTGGGCCATTTTTCAATAGCAAACTGTAAACGTTTACCAGAGGGTAGATATCAACAGATCATCAACAAATCAACAACAGATGTTCTTTTTTCGTCCAGTTGGTGTACTCGTCTTTGCTGGGGCTGCTGCCCCAGCCCAAGGTGTTCATCAAGTTCATCCGTGGCCAATTCCTCGGCGTGGCGTGGGAGTGACCCGTTGGACCAACGGGCTGCACCAACACCATGTGATGGGAAAAAAACCCTGTCCCTTTGTGCATTCTCCTGAAACCTATCATGTCTATTCAATATCTTGGATTAGTTCTGGTGGACTTTTGCAGGTCTTTTCTTGTTGAACTTATTGGCAGAGAAGGCTTCAAAGATGTTCAAAGTCGGCCACGAAATCGACTGACGACCACGACCACTTGACCAAACAAATCAAAAAAAATCGATTCTTGGAGCACTGCTGCCATTGGGAATGTGTGTGTGTGTAGGGTATATGTCCTGATATGTATCTGTAATCATTACAGCAATTCTTGTTCACCATACCACTGTGTGGTGCGGCCGGTGCATTTCTTAGGACCTAGGATGCTTTGGTTCATGTTCAAACCACATCCACAGTACCAGGTCGAATCAGCCAATCTCCACCATTCTCGACCCTGCAACTCTGTCCAAATGATATCTGACAGTTTCATCAACCATCAAAAACCCATCACCCATAGGATCCATGTATGCTATATATGCTAACATTTGGGGTATATTGATGGGATCCATGTTACCATATATAGCAGCACCATGGATCCTATGGGTCATAAACCCAACATTTCCAGAATTCGCATCTGGGCCGTGAAAAATCTAAGAGCCCCACCTGCGGAAAAAACCACGGCCATTGGACTGTGGCTTTGGTGCACTTGGCGCTGTGGGGACCAACTGCCTTAGGAAATGACAAACTCCTGGAGGCTGAGGTCCTACTAGGCTTGAGAGGCACAATGACAATCAAATGATGGTCAACAAATGCATACATACATATATAATCATATATATATGTATACTTGTACTATGTATATATGTATATATATATATATATATGATTGACCGAGATAAATTGCAATACCAATTCTTAGTATTTTTATGTATTTATAGTTTGAAATCAATCACTTGAGGATGTTGAGAACTCGAATAACCGCAATTTTTGAGAAGTGAGTTGATTTTAGATATGACACCGGTAACACTGTAGCACCAGCAATATGACGGCTGATAGTGTGACCTGAAGTCCCAGTTCTTGAAGTCCAAAAAAAAATAAGTCCATTTTAACGCCAAAAACCATTACTTTATCATCATTTTCCCATATTTTCCCTATTAAGATAACACACCGAAATCATAGGTGAGATATGCCACTAGACAAAAAATCTAGAAGAAAATGATTTCCTTTTAGATAAAAAAAACTTTGATGGTGAAATCAATAAAATCCACATCATATATATATATATATTCATTAATATAACACCCATATAAATATGTTAATATGTTCTCAAAAATTGGATCATGGTATAATATATATATATATATTCATTAATATATGGTATAATACCCATATTAATATATAAATATAATATAATATAATATAATAACCATAGGATCATGGTATAATTATGTAAAGCTCCTATGGTTTATTGCTCCATGAGGCCATGGCGAATAGTGCGGCTCTGGGAAGCCGCCAGGGTGGCGAACTTCCAGTCGTTCCAGGCTGCTCACTGCAGCTGGTGGGCCTGGAGATGCCAAACAGATAGGAAAACCATGGGGAAATCATGGGAAAATCATGGGGAAATCATGGGAAATGATGGGAAATCATGGATGCACCAGTGGTACTATGAGGTATACCATGAGGTATACCATGAAGTAATACAGAAAAAACCATGGTATTCCATGACCGCCAATTTAGAGCAGTGCACCTCCAGGTGAGGCTGCTCCTCCCATCTGAGTAGCTCCTGGGGGGCAAATGTACCGCGTAGCCAGCGCGAAGCCCACCTTTCAGCCTACGCCTCCGCGAAGCCAAACCCCCCCCAAAAAACACTACTCATCTGGTAGCCCAAGACATGGCTTCAACATGTTTCAAACCTCAGTATAGCTAGATATAGCTAGATCAGCGCCAAGAAAGCGCACATTTTGGGCAAGTCAGGCGCTCCGAAAGTCCAAGTCTTGCAAGTCTTAGGGCACCGTAAGCCAAAGTGGAAGGAGGTGCTGGGGACCTTTGTCATTCTCCTACTATGTTGATCTTGCTGCTGTTCCTGCTGATATTGTTGCCAGATGTTGCCACAATGATCGGGCCTCAAGTAAACAGTGATTTCATCCGCTGACTTACAGGATTGCAATCATATAGTCCAATTGTCCAGTTTTTTTTCAATGTTGGGAAAGTGCCAAACCTTTCAGACATGACAGGGGTCCTTCAACAGGAACCTCAGTGCTACTTGTGGGAATCGTCTTGGAGACCTGGATATAAAGCAGTTTCTACCAGCGCCTACCAGACTATGTAATCACACTGTAGACATGCACTTCTTCTGCAGGGGAAACAATACCATCCAATACCATCAATCTAGTCTCTTCACAGGATGCGCTAACCTTCAGACATAAATCTTATAGAGGAACACAAGGTGTTCATGATGAATTCTTCCGAGCTCCTTGATTTGAAGAAACTCCTGATGGTGCTGCCTTAGACCCCAACACAGCTTCGCACAAATTGCGCCGAGAACTGTCATCCATGGCCAACTGTCAAAACCTCCAGGTGTATCAACTGATCAATCAAGAACTGTATCCAGAACAGTATCAAGAACGGTGTCCCTTTGCAGTTTTCAATCAGTAAACCATATACAGGGGCCACCTTTATGGACGGATGGTGACTTGGTGGCCACAGCAACCACCTTGGGAAGCCCTGCTCTTCGGCTAAAACTTGGCATAATCGACCTGCAGCTGCGGCCGCTTTGCACAACCGGGTAGGCAGAGGCTCCATAGCATAGTCATTGCGAAGCGGAACCACGGTGTGAGATGAGTGGGTCATAGTGGGTCATAGTGGGTCAACTGAACAGAAAGAGAACAAGTGGACCTTGACAGCATGTAGATGCGGCACGTGTTGTGGCCATGGATTCTCTGGGTTGTCCCAGAACTTTCCAAAAGGAAACACCACAGGAAACCCATTGAGAATTGTTCTCCTGGGAAAAAACAATCGTGGCTTTTGGACATGTCTCCTCCAAGCAATCCATTGAGAGTTTCCAAGCGAAATCAGCGAAAATTCTGGGATGATTTTCCAGCACCAGATCATTGTGAGGTCGTCACCGGTAAACTCGACAAACTACTGGATTGCAACCCGTGGGAGGAGGCTCGTTGCCAGTGTGGAGTTTAAACCACTCACAGGATGTATATCTATCTATCTATCTATCTATCGATCGATCGATCAATCGATCGATCGATATGTACATATCTATGTATATGTATATATATATATATGTTATTTACACGTACATGTATACAATCATATATACCTTTACGATCCTTTACGATCCCACATCCAAACCCATCATTGCTGGTCCGTCGCCTGGGTCTGGAAGGATCTCGTGGACTTGAAGCCCATGGCAGGCCCTCCTTGGTCTGTGGATGGTTGCGAAATCCATGCACCAAAAGGGTTGAACCCCCGAAAAAATAATGGGATAAACATGGATAAGCCATCAACTGGTGCAAGATTTCTTAACCATCCACAGCAGAATCGGGAGCAATGGTGCTGACTTTTATGCTTTATCGACAGCAAAAACATCTTCAAGGGGGTGCCCAAAAACAAATTTTCTCTAGATCCATACGACAGATTTGGACAAACAGCTTGGGGATGCTTGGAGATGCTTGGACCTGGAGGAGATTGAGGTTTGAAGTTTGAGGTCGAGGTTGGGTCAAAACTTGAAGCCTGAATGAACCCTGAAAACTGGAGGGCCCGGCAACCCCCAGAGATTGAGGGAGGAACTGACTGGAAATCTGGATGTTTTTCTGCGTCGTGAATTTACCATCCAATCTTTAGGGTAAATGATTTTGACAAAAACTAGATACCCAACCCTGAGGGGTGGGGCAAAACAAGTGGATCTAGGTGATACAGGTGATTTTTCATGGATGTTGTTTCAGAAACAAGAGCAACATTCACATCCCCTGTGGCAGATTCCCACTTTCGATCAATCTTTCAACTGAAAATGCAGTACAAAACATTTAAATATCAATAGCCAATAGGATAACTCGGGTGATATTACGTTCCAAACACCAGCCCAAGGATAAACATGGAATATGGTGTGCGTTGCAAGATGGATACCCTGACCAGATATTGTGTTCGTTGATTTTGCTGCTTGTCATCTCTGCATCTTTCCGACTGCAGATATTCTAGAGATATCCAGAAATGGGGCCTTTTACACAGCTACACTCTCCCATTTAATGGTCACGTCGTGTCAACCAAACTCAACTTCCGCAGATTTCGCTAACCGCCGGCCAAAACATCGCCAAGAGTCCGCAATGCGATTGCGCATGCGTCGTAAGGCCAGGATCGCAGGCCCGGCAACGGCCTGCGAGCTGAGCGAGCTGACTCTGGGCAGGTCCCACGTGAAATGCATTGGCGGAGCATCCTGTCATATCATGACAATGTGTAAGCATACAACATAAAATTCATAAGTGTCTATATATATAGAGACACTTATGAATTTTATGTTGTGTGTGTGTTATTTGCACATCAGAAACCCATGGTTTCTGCGGAACGTCTCACCTCTCGCGGCTCCACGGCTCTTGCCTCTTCCGCCTCGGCAGAAAGCGGTACCCCGCGGAAGGTGACACTGCTTGGAGGTGCAGTTCCAGTTACCCTCTGGTAAACACACAAAAAACTATGGAAAATCACCATTTTTAATGGGAAAACTCACTATAAATTGCCATTTTCAATAGCTATGTTAAATTACCAGAGGGTACAAGTGGATATAGAATATACAGAATATATATACCCTCTGATAAATAAACAGTTGGACCCTAAAAATAGCCAATTTTTATAAAGGAAACTAGTCTTCCAACCCCGATGACTGCCAGGGTCTATGTTAATTTACCAGAGGGTATATATATATATGTATGTATAATACTGTATTATATATGAATATATATATATATATGGATACAGTAACATACAGTAACTATATCTATGCAAATACACATTAAGGTAACCATAAGGGGCATATCAGAAAAAATCCCAACTTATGGGCGCAGCTCACCATCTAAACCACTCATGGCTGGGAATGGTTTCTACATAGCACCTAACATTGCTGACTGGGGGATGGTAAACATGAAGTTTATGAGACTTTTAAAGACCCACAAAATTAGCAATATGACTTGACATAAATCTGTAACACTGTGTAACTCTTCACCGAGTTTGCCACTGCTCGTGCCGATGCATCTCGACCTCTAGCAGTCATGCAGTGCACATGACAACTTCCTGCAGTTGTAGGACGTGTAAACAATATGTCAAATATGGTCAAATCGAATCTACTATCATCAAATATCATCAATTGGAGTCAAGTAGTATCAAGTGGGTAGCAGCGTCGCACAAATCGATTCCTGATTCATCCTTGCCACGACCAAAAAAAGCCTTAGCACAGGTACAACTTGTTATATCTGAAAAAAAAAAAAAGCAGCTGTCGGCCAGAGCTCTTGCAAGCACTAAACTTCACTAAAGCCTAAGCTTAAGGGCCGTATGGGGGGCCGTGAAATAGCGTGAGACCCAAACTCATTTGTCTGCCGTTTTCAAATGAAATGCGTCTTTCAGGCTTTCGCCAAAATGTTTGCCCATCGTAGAAGCTATCGCAATTTAAAGAATGAAGTAGAGCAGTGAAAAACAAAGCAATCTGAAGGTGAATCACATAAATGAATATATATATATTAATATATGTATTAATATATGTATGAGTATGCGGGCATGCAATTCAATTAATTCCAGCGCTTAGGGCTATAACCAAAACAACAAACTGTTGATCATTCAGAGCTGGTTTGTCTTGTCAAAGGATCGACGTGTCCGCAGGTGGTCCAGTTGAAGAGATTAGTCTACAAACAGTTCAGGAGACCCCATGGCATCCTACAATGAAACTTCTCGATTTGACCCACCCAGGGACCCAGGTCTCCCGGCCCTGCTGTCTCAACTCTGCCATGATCTGTGCAGTACCTCCACGCTACAGAAGAACTAGTCTGCCTTTTGCATCCTTTTGCAACTGGGAAAATCGGAAATTCAGAGCAAACTCATCTTCCAAAGCTATTCTGTTACATACTATTGATAATCTCAAGGGATTCTGAAATTCTGAAGCCAAAGCCGCGTCAAGCAGTGCTTGGCAGGAGTCTAAAAAGAACCCAGCCAGAGAGTGATTACAGAGCTTCGAGTTGGATTTCCATCAGATCCAGTAACTACAGGATTGATTAGATACATACATTACATTACCTTACCATTGTAAGCGTAAGTGCAAGCGTAGCCATATCTGTAACCGTAACCGCAACCGTAACCATGACCATAACCATAACCATGATCATTACCATACAATACAAGACAAAACAATCCAATACAAACACTCTCTCACACGTTAGTCTCAAATCCACGCCAGAGTGTGAGACCAGCGAGCGCAACATTGAATTACATTGCATTACATTCCTTTACATTGATTACATCCATCCGCCCGTCCATCCATCCAAACAAATATGTATACGTATAGACACATCCAAACATACAAGTACATTCGTCTAATATGTATGTAATGTAATGTAATGTAAATGTACATGTACATGTAATGTGTCTATCCATCCATCCATCCATCCATCCATCCATGCATGTATGCATCTATGCATCTATGTGTTTACGCATCTATGCATTGATGTATCTATGCATCTATGTAAACCATTTTTTGGGGGGTCTTCGGATGTTGAACCCGGCTTGGTCCATATCAAAAACGGACTCAACTTCACTGTACTGACGTGTCAACAATTTCTGCTCAACTCTATTAGCCCCTCAACTTGTAGCAAACAAAAGATATATCAACCTCCATTCAACTTGACTGTCGACATACTGTCGACCAGAACAAGTAGACCATTGATTGCTCCAACTATCCAAAACATTTCGACCGCAATCAGTACAGAAAATCAGCACAGAAAGACAACTTACTGCAAGTCACAGGCACCTGGAAACTTTTATTGGATGTAAAATTGCCACGCGACAGACCGATGGAAACGCATAATCCTATAGAAAATCCGACCAAAACGATGAGAGATAAGTTCCTTTTCGATGCACTTTAATGTAGGACTATAATGGATTATAATGGATTATTAATCCTACGGTTAGTTTTCACATGGATTTTTGCTAGACTTTCTCTGCGGATCACGATCTGTGTCTCCTCGAGCTGTTGGTGGTACGTCCTGCAACATGCACGCCTTGGATGGGAAATGTCAAACTGGACCATTATATATATAATATAATATTATAATAATATAATATATATAATTACATATATATATATGTAATATATATATAATATAATATATATATAATGTATTATATATACATATATACAAATATACATAGATATATATATATATACGTATATATACTATATCATGTATGACCATCTTCTTGCATCACTTTAGCATTTTCACCTTCATAGAAAAAAATAAGCAAGACAGGGTTCAGCCTGTGATCCTCCCTCCATTCGTTCTGAGTTACTGTCAATGGCTGTATCATAGACTCCGCAAAACATAGAGTTACATGTCTACTTCACCCCATCCCGAATATTAAACACAAAATATGGACCATAAATTTAGGATATTACTATCCGATTATTAGGGAATGTTTAATAATCTTAAATGGTCCTAAATATGCGCAACTACCCAAATTAAACCACAATTTCTCGGGGCTGATATGACTGGGAAGGGAATTTGCCAAGAGATCGCCAAGATCACCACGGCGCATGGTAAAACCGTTTGAAAAATGGGATGTCTCAAAGATAGACTCCACAATAGATCATAAAACTATGGTTTGATAGGGATAATCTTGATGGGAAATTCATGGGTTTTTTTTTGATGGGGATAATTTTATGGTTTATGAGGTAAACCCTACCAGCATCCTGCCATAAACCATACCCCAATGGTTGGCTGACGGGACGGTTTATGGCATTGGGTTTCCACGTTGAAAATTTGGTTGGACCACTAGCCAAGTAATGACAGAAGACATATGAACCAACCTGCGTTTATATTGTGAAGAAGGTAGCTGTCCTTTTCTGTTGTGATGTGTTCATTAGAAGCCTCGTGATGGGAGAAAATAAACTTTTCTATGTCCTCTGAACAGAACTAGTTCATTAAACTGCCTGCCGCACCGGCTGTCCACGGTTTCTGAATGGTCCGAAACAGTGAACTACCCAAGAATGAGCGCACAACTGATCAAGCTGCCATGAGGACATGACTTAAATCATGAGGCCTTTTTATGATAGGAGCAAGATGGAGCAAGTGATTATAACGTGGGTAAAACAATGTCATAAACCACCCACGAAATCATCCATTTTTATAGGTGCTATGTACAAACCATTCCCAGTCATGGGTGGTAAAAATGACACCGCCTTACCCCCATTTAATCGAGTGATTTATCCAAATCGAATCGACTGACGCGGGAAGGTCCTGAATCGCTATGACAACCATTGGTCTTTCACTCCCTGCTGCCTGGCAGATTCCCAAGATGCGTTGCTGGAAATGTGGAGAGATTAGCATCGACCAAAGCATACCAAAGCCGTCTATGAGTCTTTTTTGGTTAAAAAAACATGCCAATAGCCATGACCACAACAGTTCAACAGGAACTGGAACTTCAAATCTTAGAAGCGAACAAGTCTATACATTGAATCTTTCTCCTTTTTAAACCATCCACATCTTGAAGGTTTGTGGCAGAAAAGTCAACAGAAATTCAGACCCTATTATGGGCAATGACAAATGACAAGGGGTTCGGATTTACTGCCTAAATGTAGTTAGACGTTAGACCTTGGTTCTTGAGGATTCCAATGATACGAAAAGGCCGTCTATGTTCCTCTGAAACCTTTAATTTGTCAAGTTGTCATGTAACATGTGTGGCCTCACGCGGCCATGTCTGAAAATTGGAGATACCCTGACCATTGGTGGGATGAACATGATCTAAAATCCACCAAAAATCTGCACATCGTTTGAACTCACAGCATCTTCGTAGAGCTTCGGACTACTCAACCTGCTTCATTTTTCCAACATCAACATGGCTAACTATGGAAGTTTGTTGCACATTGTGTGGCACTGCCCTGCCAGATATACCTACATCTCTTATGACTTACCAAGAAAAACAAAGTGTCGACCAATCGCCTTGCGTGGCCGCTCGAGGCCACCAAATCATGGCACAAAACCCAGCCTATAAATCTCCAAAACAAAATCCTTGGTTCATGGATCAAAAATTCCGTCATTCATGGCGGTTTTGAATGGTTCAACGACCCATAGCCATGTCCATATTTCTGGGTAAATTATAATAATTGACTAACCTGAAATAAGGCCATTTGGGGATGATTCCCCCTACTAACTATGATTTCCAGTGAGGTCGCAGTGAGGTCGTGAGGTCGTTATAATTTACCCAGATATTTGGAATGAACATCAACCAACGATGTTCATCCCCACATCCCCACCTGTCCAAAGAAGGTACCATTGAGAGCGGCCGTCGCTCCGTTCTGCGGTGGTGAGGTTGCAGCAGCCCAAGCCCTGGCTGAAGGGTCCAAATGGACAATCAATGGATAGCCATTTTTTAGGGTATCCCAATGTATACAGTAAGTAATGTATATTTGAATGGTTATGGTTGATAAGTATACCTTAAATTACCTTAATTGGGATACCTTAAAGGTTGAGATATGACCCGGTTGATAAGTTGATGTTAATCTCTTAAAATATGTTACAATTCAATGCTAAGAAAATCACCACATCGGTGGTTTTGATTTTTCAACTTGCGTTTTGATAGATACCCGGAACGGCTTTTTGGAGAGGTCAAGAGAACACACAAATACTGAGGAAACATGACGAATCAAACTGCAAGTTGACTTTGCAATCTCTATCAATGTGGATGATCATCTTTGGCGTTCATTTGGTGTCAACCCTCGCAAACATAGTTGCGGACTCGGATAGATTACAGACCATCTGCATGCATCATTGTTGGTGAACTAGTATATACATGATTAATCTGATTAATCATGATTCTACCTCATTCTATCCCGATGAAGTTGGCCTGGCAGCAGCAGCCACGCGTGCAGCTCCAGCTGTTCCTGGGTATAGTGGGCCCTCCCCATAGAATACACAATGTATATATATATATATATGTATGTATGTATATATATATGTATATATATACACACAGTCTTACTGTTTATGTTGTAATACTGGTCTCTGGTCCATGCAATTGTATGACATCTACCATGTACTCCTTATGTAATCTCCTTAAAACTCACATGGTGTTCGGTGTCCCTTCATCCCAAGAGATCCCGGATTTTTTGCGCTGAGTGGCGATGTGTCCTTTATCGTTGCATAGCGGGGCCATTTAGTATTTGAAACATTTGGAAACTACACAAAGCACTCTGGGTACGTGAAGAGGTGACTTCATGCAGGAACGTTCATGAACATTCATCATGAGACATCTGCATTTCACTGCCTTTCCGTGCCTTGTGCCGCTTGTGCCGCTTGTGCCACATTGAAAGGAAATGGCTAATGTTGAGTCAAGCTGCTCATGGATTGTATTTTTTGGTTCCATGAATGTTCCATGAATCTCAAGATTCCAGAGCCTCAAGATGAGAATCCCATGGCCAAACGATGCCAAGCGTCTCTGCTTGATGGGCTCTGGTAGTTGTAGGAAATCCGGAGGCTCGTCGGCAGAGTGCAAGGGTCCTGAAGGCGCTTCGGGAGCGAACATCTATATGATTATCATATATCTATGTACATTATATATATATATATGTATCTATATGTGTATATATATATATGTATATGTATGTATGTATATATATATATGTATTATATATATATATATACGTATACATCTATGTGTATGTGGGCCACGTTCAATATTTGGTATATAGCTTCAAGTCATCAATTTTTGAAGTGTGTATTATCGTTTTTCAGGTTTTGGTATATAAGCAAATGTTATCGCTTTTCGAAGAGTGCATTATCGTTTTCCAAGCCCCAGCTCAATTTCCAACAAATAAAGATGTCTCGAATACTACTCTCCATTAACCTAAATTTTGGCTGTAGCTCATATATAGTATACATCTCGAGAAAAGATATCAAATATGTCATATGTAATATGTCATATGTATCAAAAAAAACAGGTGTATTCATCTGTTCTCTCACCATGTCAATGTGAAGCCACCAATTTGAAAGGAACCCCAAGATGACCATAGATGGCTACTTGTACCATCCAAAAATGCTAGGTTTATGACAGGTTTACCAGGTTACCAACTGCTGATGCCAACTGATCTGCGACGGATCTCCTTTGGACCGAACAAAAAGATGACTGCACCCATCCAATGCGCACTCCTGCGAGACACATCCCTAAGAAACAACTGGAAGTGCTCTATGCAACGGTCTTCGAAACAGGTTCATGAATCGAAATCGAACCAGGCTTTTCTGCAGCACGTTGCATTTACCAATGAATGTGCCTTTCCCCGAACAATGATAGTTACTGATAGTTATCACTGATACCAATTGTTCACATATGTTCAATTCATATCTGGATGCAACTCATCGAATAAACCGTTCCAACTGGTCCACTTCAGTTCTCACAAAGTTGGCAAATTGTTCAACATTGTTCAACATTCATTGGTTTCATGTTTGGCGCAGCTTTTTTCGGACATGTGTTGAAACATGCAGTTAACCCGATCTTGGAATTCCGCATCCCTATCATCAGTTGTCATGATAAATCTGACCAAAGTGTCTAAACCTTGGAGCACTGGTGAAACACCCATTGGTGCTGCAGAACTCTTGAATTCACGGTCCCGCGACGCCTCATTGTTTCGGAGAAATCCCACAGTACAAACCGTGCCCTCCAAAAGACTGGAAAATCCTGGAAGATCCTGGAAGTATGGTATCTGTCAGATCTGTAGGTCTTTGGTCCGTTCTATACACGCCCTTTGGCCGTGATGCCAGTCCCGCCCCATCGCCTCCGGTCGTTCCAAAAAACATGGCCTTCCGGTTTCTGTGGGCTCGACGCTCACCTTCCCAGGAGGATCTGACCGCATGGAACAACCAGTTCAACATACTTCAACGACTTTTTTACGACCAGAATATGTCATAATTTCGCTTCAAACACACATTTCTTTATTTTTGTTTGACTCACTTGCGACACTTTGCATCACTTTCACCACTTTCGAAACATGTGGGGTTGTAATAACGTTCCTAGCTGCTTGCACGGGATTGGACGCTGCCAATCAAAACGCGTAAAAAAAGCGAGACACAAAAAGTCACAAGCGAGGCCTCAACGGTCATTTTTAGCGAGTCATCCAGGATTCAATCCGAGAAATTTATGCAAAAAAAAGTACCCTCCCGGGTGTTGGAGGTTTGTAAAGTCTGGAGTTTGTTGAGGGTTGGTTTAAGCCTTAAACCTCATTCAGGGTTTAAAATTTATAGTGTATAAACCTTTATAAATTTTATAAATTCATAGATGATGTTTATAGGTGATGCAGGGATTGTTTAGACATGTTTCATGGTTGAGTGTTCTTTCATGCTTCTGGCAGGGTTTTGCTATGCTGGGAACCTCCATGATGATCAACCATGTAAACCAGTGGATTTTGGGGATGGGATCGCTGTTAACATCGCTGTTAACATGTTCTATACTCTGCTGGTAAAAAAAAAAAAAAACACCAGATATCCACATCATTCCACATCTGGGGATGGGTCAAAACCCTGGTACCTAGTGAACCCCAAAATAGCTGGGATTTATGGATGTTCATCCCACTAAAAATGTATCTATAGGTATTGACCCATACCCATCTTAAAGATCCTTAAGGGTAGAGACACACATCAGCAGTGCATCCAGCCGTGATCGGACCGGATCCGTCGGATCTTTTTTTGGCGCCTCTGAGTCCTCCGCCTCGGTATCAACCTCCAAGTGGCAGACGCCAGGCGCTCCAACTCCACCTGCACCGAGGACACCGAGGAGTCCGGGCCGTCTCCAGGAAAAGGTGAGGGGCTTAGGGGCTTTTTTGTCGGGTTTTTTTGTGCGAAACGTGACCTCCATGGTAAGCCCTCCCCATCCACAGTTGAAGACTGAACCACAAGATTAGTCACTTGGACTTAATCTAAAAATTAGTGCGAGGGTTTGACATTTCGACCCTGGTACATTACATGGTGCTGAAAATACACCTTGCGTGCCCAAAAAATGCGGCTCTATGAAGCGCCAACGCACCTCCACGAAGGGTTTGCAGGATCTCATCATCCTTTGCAGGGCAACTCTAATTGCAGTATCTCAACTCACCTGAGGTGAAGACTGGAGATAAAAATCCTAAAGATCAATATAGATACAGTAATATAGTCCTCAGCATGTTTTCCACAATTTTGTCGGCATGCTGGCATATAAATATGTATCTATATATACACACACATACATATCATACCCTGATTTACCCGGATCTATCCTGATAAATTGCATGTTCACGCCGCTGAGACATATGCATCAAATGTGAGTTACTTAAAGATACTTAAAGCACCTGTAGACAAACCGTGCTGCGTTCCCCTTTGAAGAGTGACCTGAATCTGTGCACAAGACCTGCTTATTTTGTTCTGATTTTTTATGCACTTGTATAGTTAGTTATGTATATATAGTTAACAATCTGAGACAAACCAGTAGCGAAGTGTTTCTATGACTCCTGTAGGTTGGCAATTTGTTCCACCTGCACCAAGAGAGCAAAACACTTTCGCAAGTCCTCATACTCATCCAAGTCATCTGAAGCCACTTCGAAAAGGTTGTACAATACGAATCAATACGACATGAAGAGCAAACCTTAGGTTTGAACCAGTCATACCAGGCTATTTTGGGTCCTAAACTCACTGACTTGGGAGGCAAACTCTCACCCATTGCTGAACCGCGGGACAGCTGGGAAACCACATCAAAAACCTCCATCACAATGGTGGAAGTTTATTATTATTCCAGCAAAATGTCAACATACAGAATATGGATAAACAATGATAAACATGATAGATAGATATATATATATATATCATTATCCTTATATATCATAGAATGATTGCATGATAATAAACTATGGTGCAAATATCCTATGAATTCCTACACTGCCATGAAGCCGTGTCGGCTCCGTCGCTGGCCGGTCCTTCTTGCCCTCCACTAGCGGTGGCTCCAGGGTCACGGCCAGGGCCTTCTGCTTCAGCAACTCACGACCTGGGCGGCTGGATCTACCTCTGAAGCTCGGAAAAAATCGGTGTCTAAGCCACAAACATCCACAAACCATAGCAGAATAGCACTAGGACATTAGGTTTGAAGATGTTTTAAGTCTTCAAACGTCCACAGAAACTGGCGAGGTGAAGATGTAGTGGGCTGAACATATTCTATTCATTTTTAGGATGTTAAACCGAGCTGCGACCTACTTGACCTGCAATCTGGGAGCCATGTGTGGGCCTGGAGGGGATAGGGAAAGGTCAACCAGAGTTGCTATGCAGGCCATGCTATCGAGAACAGCGTCGCTCCTTTTAATGCTGCAGCATAAGCGATTCACTCGAAGAGTGTGTGGTCTGTGTGGGCACTCTAGTTTATGGGCATACAGATTGGGTTCAGTGGGAACAAGCACAGAAACATCCCAACTGCATCCGCAGCAGAGGCTGTTCCCAAACTAATAGCATGTCTCAATTATATCGAACACATCGAAAATTCTGCAGGCATTTGGGCTGTTTGAAGGTGTTCGACCCTGTTACGACCCCTCAAGAACATGTGCAGTCATGCGATACCATGGCAATTACCATACAAGTCATACAAACAGATTTCGACAACATCCAGGCACTTATTTGTGTTTTATATAACATCTTTTTAATACATCCTGATTTAAGCAGTAGCGTGAGGACGACCAGTGCTGTAACTCCTGGTTTGCGCAGTAGATTGATCATGACATTTTTTGCAGCACGCATTTTCAAGCAGGACGACAATCATCTACCACCAACGCCGATTCTGGATACAGTAATTACCCAACAAAGGTGTCCCTCGTGAAGCCCATGGCACCACTGCGTTTGTGGTTGTGGTGGTGGTGGTGGTGGTGGTGGCGGCGGCGGCGGCATTATTTGTGTTTGCACTTGTTCGCGCATGTGTTCTAGTTGTCGTTGTCATGGTCATGGTCATGGTGTTGTTGTTGTTGATGATGATGATGATGATGTTGTTGTTGCCGTGATTGGACCTAAAAGGATATGTATGATAACAAGGCCAGGCCAGGGTCAGGTACCTATCTGGTAAGGCTGGAAACTATCATGATCAGGCAATGGACCACCTCATCTGGGTAGGAGTTGTTTGTCGATAGTTTGGTCATGCACCGTGTCACATGAAACTCACCAAAACCATCCAAAATCTGAGATGAAGAATTGGCAGATCATTCTATGCCTGTTCGCAGTTACATGCATTTCTAGAATCCGAATGTTCCAGTTGCAACACAAAGAACATGCGGTACCGTTTTTGAAGTGGCATCAACATTTTGGGCGGTGCAAGATTTCCCCTCCAATTATCTCAGTGATCTCGGCCCTCCAATTATCTCCAATTGCCCAGCAGCAAGCTAGGCATAACTGGGCTTCCTCACTACGAACTGCGGAGATACATCGACGAACTCGGGGTGGTACTGCGGTGTTTTTTTCACGCGGGGCTGTCCTGAGGCTCAAAAGGCTCACTGGTGTGCGAGTGTGATGATTGTGGATTCTGGATGATTCTGGTGGAAACTGCCGCAAAGCCCAAAAAGCCCAAATATCTCCAAATATCTTCACGCCCATGGCATCCCAAGGTCAGAAATGTGTGAATTGTCCATCGATTTCCCCCCAAAACCCGTCAGTGCACCTTTCTGGTTGAAATGGCTCCTGTGCCGAGATCTCAAATCTCTTGTTTTCTTCTGAGAATCTCTGGAAAACAAATGCCAAGAATTTCTTTAGTCTCAAGTCTCAAGCAACTTTGATTCAAGTGCCCTTGTTGCAGTATGTTGCAGTGACAAGACCGAATTCCAAGCAGCATATATATATATATTCATATATATTCCATCATTGCGTAAAACATGGTATTTTCTGGGCATATAGAAAATTGGGCGGGCTTCTGGTGGATGCCAAAAGGCACAACACCAACTTGGCTTGAAGCAACCAGCAGTGCTCAGCATCTGGTCATCTAGATTCATCTAGATTCATCTATCTATAACCATTCTTAACCATTCACATACCATTCACCAATCTCAAGTGCTTTTTCGTTTAAACGCAGAATCAGTGGAATACACCAATTTTCAGTGGGATAGATCATGATAGATATTGTATGTTAAATTATATGATACTATGGATATGGATTCGCATCATCCTTTTGATCACTTGCACATGTCGAGAAATCGGTCACGATTTCGGTTCTCCTGCAAATCTTCTATGGCCCGAGGTCTATAGACCACAAAGGCACCATCCTGGACGAAGTGCTACGAGGTGCCGGGGGACCCAAGGGGGCCCAAAGTCTCAGGCAGAAACCTGATGAAATGAAGCTTTAATAAATTAATTATAAATTATATGACCTAATCTGACTGTAGATGTTTTCGTATGTGTTTGTATGTTTTCGCATGGTTTCTTTGATCTAAGAAAGGTGCCATAAAATGCCATAAATCTCTTGCAGCTTGATGGAAAAGAATACTGTGATTATCTCGCAATGCGCCTGAATGCAGTGAATGCACCTTGGAATGGTCATTCTGACGTGCTGCCCCTGTCCTTTGATAAAGGCTCGTAGACACCAGCGAAATCATCTAGATCCTGTGCCGTTAGTCGGTAGTTTCATGATGTTTCATGGGCCCAAAAATCCAGCTGAAGGGTTGCTTTCCATGGCAATCATACAGTTTTTGCTTCAAAATCTCGGGAAGCACCACATACATCATCCATCATCATCCTACATCAACAGAGAAAATGGAACGAAAACATGCAAACGCCTGTTGATTTGGAAGTCGGATCAAAACACCTGGTGGGTTCAAAAAAGTCGACCTATAGGCTCCAACAGAACAGTGGAATGATGTAGGTTGGTTCAATCGAATTCCAAGCACAGATAAGACATCATCAAGCAGTCTCGTGGTTCCCTCAACCAAGTTACAATTGCCTGAGCATGGTGTTTGTTTCCTGTGTAATAAAATTTGTCGGTCTACAGAGTCTACAGTTTGGCATACCAAATAAATCCAAATAATCCCAAAGGGAGAGGATTCATGGCTGTGAAAATAGAGACCTATCATGACCTATCCAATCACCAGCTCCACAATTGCTGCCAAAAAACATCTCCCACGGGGGAGGTATTTGTTCCGCTCATGGTGTCGAAAACTATCTGCGCCCGTCGACGGTGAACAGTGAAAGTCCAAAGAAACCTCATGGCCACGGATGGCCACGGATGGAGACCTGGAGGGAGACATGAAACCCCAGCCCTGCTGACTGTTTCGATCACCTGCTTACTCACCAATTTACTGACTGACTCACTGATTCACTCACTACACGGCTGTTGCGTAGATGCCTGGCAGGTGAGCATTTCCATACTTATATTGTTGTTTCCTTTCCGCATCGGAACAACTGGCATCCAATCACTCAGCTGAGCCTCCAGACTTGGGACGGATACCCTTCGGCAACCGTCAACGACTTGAGATCGGTGGTCGGTCACAGTTGCCGCGTCCGGCTTAGCCGGGACGCAGGCAAGACGTGACCTCCACCAGAATTCCTGCGCAACTTGGGAAGGGTTTCGAGAGTGGTTAGGTGGGGGGTCACTCAGAACATCCCGGATGTTCTAAATCTCACACGGAGGCACCTGGATCAAACAAAGAAAGCAAGCAAGCGCTGAAGTCTTTGAGTGCAGACATGATGATAAATATATATATATATATAATATATATATATATATATATCATAAAATCATAATATTATAATATTATATATATACACAGTTATACACACATATTGTGGATCACCAGTTCTAACAAGACCTGCATAAGACACCCATTGCTGCGCTGCCTGGGGTGAAAGTGGGTGACCAGCTCAGATGCTACTGGTCACTGATCGCGGCCCAGCAGACTTCGGGCCAACTTTGCAGCGAAATGGACAAATGGACCGCCAATAAATCAGAAATTACCCAGAAATAACCCAGAAATAACCCAGAAGATTCCAGAAATCGGCACTAAAACCTTGATGCTCTTGATTCATGGCCATTCATGGCCATTGCCATAGCGGCCATGGCCAGTTGCACTGCAGTTGATGGGGATCATCTGACCAGCGAAGCGGGCAGCACGCGCCATCTTTCCCATCGCCCTGAAGGGTGTTGATTCCTTCCATCAACATCGGCCTTTCCTGAACACCCCATCAACATCCATCAAGCCATGGCTTCTGGTTGCAATTCGCGATGCGTTCAGTACATGCCAGTACAAACCGTGGGAAACAGGCTGGAAAACAGGTTGATTCACTAGGTTACCTGGGCTTCATTGTTTGACACGATGCTCATAGGTACCTGTCAATAGGCGCCACCGAAGGCTTTAAAAAAATGAGGGGATATTGGAAGCTGTCATTATAGCGGTGCCAAACTGTACCTTTGGGGTGCCAAATCAGTGGAAATGCCATGCTAGCATCTGCTAGCGCTACCTACCACCCTTCGCTCTTCGGCTTCTTAGAACCCGCTGGGCTGTTCTTAGAACAGCAGAGCTGCGCGGATGAATTCATTCGCAAACGGCTGCGGCGCCGATTTTTGGAACAGTTGTGGCAAGGAATACATCTGTGATTTTGTAAGGCTGGAAGGGTTTGCCTTCCCATGGGCGCATAGTGACATAGTCCGATGTTTGGTGATTCAACATCCCTGGCGAGCTTTGCCAGTTTCACTCCGACGGACGGGCCAAACCTCCCGTATGTTTTCCTCGTTTCGACTCCGCACTTTTGGTTTTTTAACCACCCTCGGAAAAAAAAACGGACGAGGGTGAACTCCGGTGAGACATGCCGAAGGACGAGGCACCGAGCAGACTGCTCAAGGGTCGCGCTGGTCACCTGAGCCGATTCCAAATACAGAGGTGAAAATCAATGATTTCCCTCAAACCCTCCATATGGATTTCCTGTATAGCAGTTCCCTCCAGCGAATTTTATGACAAGAAATGTGAAGCCAACAAATACGGAGAATAACACATGCCAAGAATGGTTAACAACCCAGATGAGCACTGCACTTCCTGAATCTCATGCAATCTCATGTATAACTGCGAAAACAAAACATGGCATAAGCTATGGTTCTTGGGATAATTACACATCTTTCCGTACTTGCTACAGGAAGCTACCACCAAAATGTTGGGTGAGTTGTTTGAATCTCAACATGTTGGCGATGTTCATGATCTTCAGTATCAAACCGTGAGACATTGATTGCCAACCGATAGGTCATTTGCTTGAAATAACTATAAATGGAGGGGTTGAAACACTGCACTTAACGACGATGGGACATACTAAACTAAACCAAATGTCACCGGGGGCCTCCACTATTTCACCCCAAAAAAAATGCAATGTTTAATGTTTATTCATCATTCCAGATGATCAGATGAATGCTCCTGCAAAAATGACTTGGATACCATCATTTACAGATGTTTTATTGAGAGGATTCCCATCAAGCGGCCAAACCCAAATGTTTTCCTATTACCCTCTGGTAATTTGTTGCATAGCTATTGAAAATGACCATTTATAGTTGATTTACCCATTAAACATGGTGATTTTCCATAGTTTTTTGTGTGTTTACCAGAGGGTACGCGTGGATTCGTGTGAAATGTTGTGTTGTTGACATGACGCATCCCTTAACTCTGATCATTTATCTTTCTTCAATTGCCAGGGCTAATCCTCTCTGCACAACCCCCACAACACATCGGAAAAATCTCCCAACAATATCCCATGATCCCAGTAAGATCCCAAAAATCTCTCATAAAAATATCCCATTAAGATATATACCCTCTGGTAATTTAACATAGCTATTGAAAATGGTGATTTATAGTTGATTTACCTGTGAAAATGGGTGATTTTCCATTAATACATCTCCTCCCTTAAATATGCCGGCCATCCATTTTAAGTTCCTTTTAAGCTGGGGCCATCCATCCCAACTCTCCGACATCCCGCACCTTTGCCATCGTCCTGGGCTGAACGGCTCCTGTCCCTATAAAAATGGTGAGGACCGGGGGATGGTTTGTTGTTTTACCCACATTATACCTAATTAATATCTATCAAAATCTATGTCTGTCAATATAATATCTGCTGTCAATATCAATACAAAGAAAACATCCCGTCAATATATCTAATTAATTTACTTCGTGTGATCCCCACCGTGGCATATATCCGGATACATTCGTACATTCTATCTGACTTCTTATCTGACATATATATTAAATATTATCCGACATCTTCTTTGACTTCTATCTGACATATATTCTGACATTCTATCTGACATTGTATCTGGCGTTCTTTCTGGCATAGCGTTAGGGTCCAGCGCACTCCACAGGGCTGGCAAGCTCGCTAGAGAGTGGCTGTGTGCCTGTACCTGTAGCTTTCTTAAAATCTAGAGACCCTCACCTGGTAGGGAAAGAAGTAATCAATGCGTGGATAAAATATCATATATTACAAAAGATTCACATCTTAAAGATTCTTAAAGTCTCAAATCTTAGGCTTCGCTGGACTCCCCATGAATGCATGGTAGCAACGGTAGACTTGAGGTGAATCTTGGGTGATTGAAATTGGCCGCTCCCTTAATATGTCCAACAAACCTACAGCGAACATGACCAAATCAACCCTAAATCAAAATATACCCTGAAAATAGCCAATCTTTACCCTCTGGTAAACTAACATAGCTATGGAAAATCACCATTTATAATAGGTAAATCAACTATAAATCACCATTTTCAATAGCTATGTTAAATTACCAGAGGGTAGTGACTTTAGTGGAAACTAATCTTCCAACCCACAACTCATGGAACCCATGGGCCTATGTTAGTTGGGTATCACTCGCGGACACCACACTGGCATCCCCAAGGCATCTGGTCGATCGGTGCCGGATCACCCAGTTCCGATTCCGAATTTGGGGCATTTTTTTTCTGTCCCCAGCTGTTATGAATTCCCGAGGCGCAAATTGCCATACCCTCTGGTTATGTCAACAGTTGGCTATTGAAAATGACCCAGTTGAAATAGTGGATTTTCCCATTCAAAATGGTGGATCTTTCCATCGTTTTTTGTAGGTGAAATCCACCATTTCCTGGCGCGCCGTGCCTTGGGTTCCGAGTCAGGCAATCGTGGTTGGGGGCCAAATTGCGCCGTCGCCTCCGCAGCGCAGATTCGCCGTTCATCAAAGATCAAGGATGACTTACTGGGAGATATATGATCTACTGGTGATTCATCATCAAATTTGGAGTCTTGATACTGGGAATATCCACACCAAGGATTCGATCTATTGGTCACCGAAGAATCTTTGCAAAACTCGCGCAAACTGGAAACGACATGTGCTTCATTTCAATAGCGACGCAACCTGATGCCACCTATGTGCCACCGGAATCCTAATGACGTAAAAAATGGACTACAATGGAAAACGTGAATTCAAAAATCGTACACACACACACACACGTATATACATATGTATATATACATACATATATATATATATGTGTGTGTGTGTATGTATGTATATATACATACATATATTATATTACATTTACATTTAAATTTACATGTTCATTTACATTACATTACACTACACTACACTACATTACATAGATATATATATATACAAATTATATACATATGTATGCGGCACAGGTCTGTAGTATGATCCTTGCGAACCCCACTGGAGGTCTCCCAAGATCTCGGCCTTGGAGGTCTTGGAAGCTCCTCTGTCCGCCAACTGTGCTGCATGGGCCTGTGAACTGAAGCCATTTCAGCTGAGACTTGACAGCAGAGTATAAGGTGGTTGATTTGGACTTTTTGAACATGGCATAAGTATAGATCTACCAGCTCACCTTTGACTGCGTATTCTGGTTCCAGCAGCCAATTTAAGGCCTCTACAGCATAAAGACGAAAACCATCTTTGGATTCCATGGACCTTCTACCAAGATGCAACAATGAAAAATAGAACATCATGATTTGACTTTTTTCAAACCATTTTTCATCAAAAATGTAACATCATTTTTGACATCATGTTTTCTAGTGGATCTTTTCGCGTGGATCAAAAACAAAAGCATGATGGCCCAATGATGGCCCAAAGATGGCCCAATGATAGCACCTCTAAGGCGTTTGCAGCAATCTGATCCGTACTGAAACGATGCGCATGGCTTCCCAGGGCATTGGCTGCGAGCTGCTCCGGGCTGAACCTGACATTCTCAGAATCAGGTGATGTTTGAGGATTTTTTCTGATTTTGGTGAATGTTTTGGTGACTTTTGGTGATTTGTTGATGATTTTGGTGATTTGTTGATGATTTTGGGTGATTTGTTGATGATTTTGGGTGATTTGTTGATGATTTTGGTGATTTGTTGATGTTTTTTGTGTTTTTTTTTTATGATTTTGGGTGATTTGTTGATGATTTTGGCGATTTGTTGATGTTTTTTGTTTTTTTTATGATTTTGGGTGATTTGTTGATGATTTTGGTGATTTGTTGATGTTTTTTGTGTTTTTTTTTAATGATTTTGGGTGATTTGTTGATGATTTTGGTGATTTGTTGATGTTTTTTGTGTTTTTTTAAATGATTTTGGGTGATTGTTTGATGATTTCTACCACCTTTGCCATCCCAGTCATTGGTGACTCGGGGTACCAGAACTGGGCGTCGCCTGGAAGGGGAAACTACGCAGAAACAACCCACCGATGCATCGGCGCCAACAAGCTCCAAGTGAGAACAGTATAAATCACTGGATCCCAAAGGATCCCAAAGGATCTCAAGATAGTATCCATTTATGTATCCTATATTGTGGAATCAGCATGAAACTTTGATGACCCGCTGATAGCTTGAAAGCGCCAAGGACTATAGTGAGGACATCGTTCCGTTCAAAATTCGTGTTTTTTTTTCCATTCCCAGTGATGATATCCATCCACATCGATATCCACATCGGATTCCCATGGCTTTCCCCATCCCAGCCGGGATTCGGCCAAGGATCTGCTGCATGTGTTGCTGCAAGGCCTTCTGTGCCAGAGCTGTTCGTGGTGACACTGCAGGGCTGCTGTGGGAGCCATGGGAGCCGCCACTGTCACTGGCCGAGCCAGAACGACTGCTGCCACCTCATGCATTACCCTCTGGTAAACTAACAGTTTGCTATTGAAAATGGCCATCTATAGTGGATTTTCCCATTAAAAATGGTGATTTTCCATAGTTATGTTAGTTTACCAGAGGGTAAACAAAGGAAATTGGCTGTTTCTGGGAACCAGAACATCTGCAGTTAGGAATAGTATGGAATAGCAACCTCGGGTTGAAGCTTTTGAAGATCTCAAATCTGGTGTCGAAAGGAACAAGGAGAATGGTCATGTTTAGTCCAGAGTTGGTTTTTTCTTGCCTATGGTGACCTATGGGGCTCAGCTACCTGCATTCTATACAGCTGCTGAAAGGTCATCAAATAAAAACCGAGTCTGGAATGTCTTAAATCAACCTGCCTATTTCCTAGGGTCTGGAAGGAGGAGCCTGGCAAAGGTCATGTGTCTGCTTACCAAACATGCGGTTAGATGATAAATATTAATGCACCATGCGGTTAGATCCTAAAGCCTGAGAAATGGGACACTCTCCCAGGGGTTTCAAAGTTGATTGATTCCAAATCGTCCACAAATGTACCAAATGATTTAAATGTACTGTTCCAAACCTGGTCCTCAACAAGGATAGATGGGGTCCCTGGTGATTCCGAATGGATTCCGAATGGTATGGCTGGTATGGATATGACATGATGTGAATGTCCAAAGAATTGAGATCTATAATTTACTTGTCTACTTGAATCAATGATTTTGGACCATTAGGATCAGAAATTCATCCCACAAGTCTGATACTCAGCTGAGGCACCGCTTTCTTCAGAACCTTCAGGTGTAGAAGCTTCAGACCAGGCATCGTCCTCCGCAAAAACAACGAAGGCAAAATGTGACCACGAACTGATGGGAAAGAAATGGGCAATGTTCAACATCCTCTGTTGGTTATGGGGGATTGTACATTGCCCCATATCTGTCAATGATCACAATCCATGAACGGGGAATCCCGTTCTCAAATAAGAATGGTGGTATCAAACAAATGAACAAACGATCGCAGTACCTGAGATATACAGAAGTAGATGCTTGCGCTGTAATACTGAGGCGTCCGCTACATTAAAGTGTCGAACAACATGTTCTTCGGATGGTTTCTGTGAGAAACAGGCCTTTGCCTATGTATGTGCAGTGGTATTTCTAATATATGTATTGCAAGATATGATATGATACGATATGATAAGATATGATATGATATGATATTATGAGATAAGAATATGATATGATATTATATGATGCAAGGTTATATGGCACAATATTATGTGATATGTTGTTATATGTTATTCCATGATCTGATATGATGTGATATGATGTGAAACTAAATCATATATAATATTATAGTGTGTGTTATTATATCATATGATGTGATACCATGTGATAAGATAACAATAATGACAGTGATAATGATAATGCTAATGATAGTGACAATGTGAATGATCATGCTAATACCAATGCTGATGACAATGATAATGACAATGATGATGCTGATGATGATGCTGATGATGAGGACAATAACAATGATACTGCGTATGACAATTAAACTGGTAATGATAATGACAATGATGATACTGATAACGACATTGATAATGATAATGATATTGACAAGGAACTTAGAAATTCTGATTTTAAAAAAATAGGGAACATGAGAAGCATCATGAAAATGATAGTGATAATGATAGTGATAATGATATGCTATGACATGATAAGGTATGCGGTATGATGTATCTATATATATATAATATGTATATGCGTGTGTGTGTGTGTGTGTGGATGTATAGATGTATGGATGCGTATATAATATGTTAGGATGCTATAGGGTGGGTGTGATAGGATGTAATTGGATGTGATGTGGTGTCATGTCATGTCATGCCTTATATGTAAAACACATATAGTACATGTGCAGGCGAGAGCGTGTAGATGTGTGCGCTGTGAATTATGTTCACCTCTCCCTGAAAATCAGGGCACTGTGGTAGATCAAGCTTTGACTTTCGGAATAGTTTCGTTTTGTCTGCAATAGCATGTTCTTTGGATTCTGTAGGGTAGGTGCGCATGTCGGGAAGCCATGGGAAACGGTTGAAAACAACAAATCCAGAAGTAGAGAAATACACAAAACACTGCCACCATGAATGCTCAAACTTTGCGTGCTTTAGTTCTCACTTTGGTACGATTGAGATTGCCTCTATCCAACACCGGTCTAGTTGTAAACGTTTCTCTGTCAGCCATCGTACCCATCCTTTTAAAGCTCAGCCTTTTTGAGTTGCACAACCCATGAGATGGTTTTATTCAGCACAAACTGCAAACATTACTAGCAATTGCCTGGCCACAAACCTTAGCATTGAACTTCAAAGTCTCACAGTTTCTCAAGGTTCACCAGCTCAAATCCGCCCGAAGTGGGGAACACAGCTCCCCTCCGTTCCGCTCTGCTCTGCTCCTCGTCTTTGTCTCTGGGTGTGTCTGAAATCTCCCAACTGCTGCCCTTTTTGGAAGCCTCTGCAGGGACGATTTTCACATTCCGCCGGCAACATGAAAAAACATCAAGACATGTAAGCAGACTGCAGATCCAAGGGACACAGATGGACACAGCAACCTAATTGAGACAAAACTGCAGAATGCACATGTCCACATGTATTCATGTATGCTCCACAGAATGAATCAATCATGGGGAGGCGCTTAAAATGTTGTTCTTAAAGGGGACGTTGCTGTCCACAATTCCAGTGACATTTAGCTCAACAGCTGCAGGTTTAGAGGCAAATCAGTCTACCAGATTGGGCTGCAAAGATCCCATGTAGTTCCAGACCAGCGCAGCCAAAGCTTAGGAAAAAAAACATGGGTCTTGGGTCAGAGGATTGCACAATAAACATGTGTATATATATATATAGATGCTACCCCCTTCCCAAGACCTACCTTTTGGGTAGCAAATATGTTTTTGACATCCCTTTTCTTGCTGCATATATTATCACTCGTTGCAGCACTAAAAGAGGAAAGTACCTTTTCAGTGGCGCAAAAAAAAAAAGTACACACATCTATCTATATATATATATATATGTTTAACATATTTATACACATGCATGTGGTTACTCTATTGTTACCTTAGCCTCAGCAGGTTGTTGAAGTTCAAACATGTATAATATGGGCACGACCCCGTGGCCAAATGCACGGTTTGAATCGGCTTGAATATATCATATATTCATATGCATATATATATATATATACATACTCATGCATTTACCTTTGATTGATGCAACATTTACGCCACAGAATCCGAAACAATTTTTTCGTGTCTTGTTTTCAAGTTTTGAAGGGACTCTGGTCAGGAAGTTGGGCATCCTGGCACCCTTTTCTAGAGGATAATTGTACATTTTGAAGGCCCCTCTGAAGGGTATTGCCCATTCTGTTCGTGCTACACCCTCTTAAGACAACAGTGTTGAACAAATAAATTTTAGTACTACGACGACGACCACCACCACCACTACTACCACCACCACTACCACTACTACTAAACTTACACGTTTTTTCTTGGAAGTAATGCATTCATTAAACAAATCTATGGTGAAGTAGTGCTGCGCATTTCAGAGGGATGTTCCAACATGTCTCTGTCCTTTCCCAAGTAATAGTGCACCTTGAAAGGCTAGGGGCGTTCTAAGTACTGCTGCATCTAGAAAAGGGTAAGGATGCTAGTTTAAACATGTTCGCTGCAACCCTGACGTTGCGCCGCGTCTGACTTCAGGTGGCTATGAAGATAAAGTTGGTGTTATTACCCCAATCAACATATTGTTGATAGGGGGTGGCGAATTTTGACCCCTCATGAAGATAAAGTTGATGTCTTACCGGGTGGATGGCGATGATCTAGATTCCATGGTGGGGGGTTGCTGTATGGGGATGGTTCAGGAACATGTTTCTTTGAAATTTCATCCTATAACCAGTCTCTCTTCCAGCCAAAAAGCCTTTGTGGGAATATCTAAAGTAGCATTTTGGAACCGATGGTCTTGTGGTCATTGCCGCCGACTATTTCCCCCCGAAACTCTTTCAAAAGAATACTGCATCTTTACAGGTAAGGATCTTTCAAAGTACTGCTGCATTGAAGCCTTCTATTACAGAGCAATGTTACATTTTCTCAAAGAAATACCAAAAACCATTCCCCAGAAGTGTCAGTTTCCCAGTGCATCAGTTTTTGGTCGATCCGGAAAGGTCCATATATATATATATATATCATATAAACAGCCTGCTGGATGGCGCCTGCTTCTTGGCGTTCTTCTTTGCCATGGCGTACCTCAAAAATCAAAAATCAGCCATATCAGCGGCCGGAGCCATGGAGCCAACTGGTTGCAACTAGCAACAAGTTATACCTACCTAGTCAAGAATCAAAATCTGTATAAAAATCCTGAAATGAAAAATGTAAACAAGCTAATAATTTTAATATCAAGCCATTTGTAAACCCACCAACCCGGCGGATCTCTTCACTTTGGGGTCCCATTTGGGGTCCCATTTGGGTCAAATCCTCGTCGTCAGACCGACATAGCTGAGGATGTTGAGCGTAAATCTCCCATTTTTCCACCAGAATATTACATGTCATATTCCATGTCATATATGGAATATATATGGAATATATATGGAATATATATGGAATATATATGGAATATATATGGAATATATATGGAATATTCTGGTGTATTCCATATGTTGGCTGATTTTTGGTTTGCTCACATCATCCCATGAAAAAAAAATCACGATTCGATCCACAGCCAGGAGGCTGATTGGAGGACTTCGCATCAGCTGCGCCGCGCAAGGTGCCGTCCCTGTTCTCCTGGATGTCTTCGGAATCGAAGATGTGATCATGAAATATGAATATGAAATGAAGTTTAGATGATATCTGGGTAAATTACAATATTTCACTAACCTGAATTAAGGTCATTTGGGGATGATTTCCCTTACTAACCATGATTCCAGTGAGGTCGCAGTGAGGTCGTTATAATTTACCCAGATGATATCTACTTTACCTATTGTTGAGTTTGTCATGTACATGATGATGACACTTTTTTGAATGTCTGTTATTTTTGGTGGTAAACGTGGTAAACCCAACACCTCATAATTCACAATTTCTAATTCCATGTAATTCCTAATTCAACAGACATGGGCAACCATCCCCCATTCGAAGTTTACAGACGGATTTACCTTGTGAGAAGTGTGCAAAGGTGTCTAAGTTCCATATCGACTGCGACATGTTTGGTGCACGAGCTGAGCCTGGAGACTGGATCTGCGCATGATTGTGGCTGTTGGAAATGAAGAGTCGGTTTCATGTTTACTTGGATGACTCCAAACGCTTTCAATAAACAAAAATCCCGTGTGATTACTTGAATAAAAAGTCTCCTAATCCTATCTTATGAACCTCGGACCCCGGTTTCAAACGAAAATATGGTACCATCCAAAGTCACGTGGCTGGACGGAAGGCAAACAAATATTCTACGACCTACGGCCAAGACCTCTAACAAACACACCATCAAACATGTATAGACTCTGCATAAATCCTCAGTTATTATCACTATAATACGTTTTTGTTTTTAACTTATCTACATAAGTTGTAATTCGAGTTGTAATGAGTTTTTACATAAGTTGTAGATATCACAGGCTGAATCTATGGGATATATGGGATACAGTACGTTTTTGCGCACCTGAAGGATGGTGGGCGCGACCTTCTCCATCTTCTCGTCCTTCTTTCCTTGAGGATTCGGCGACTCGAAATCATTGAGAGGTCGAAATTCCAATGCAAAAGATATGGAAATATTAAGATGAACAAAATATGAATTATATATAGAATTATATAGATATATCAAAGGACAAGCAAAATTAATTGTTTTTGAATCAAATCAAAATCCATCCATCAACATCCTGATCAAAAAATCCGATGTTTTCTGCCAGGTCTCCCTTTCCCTCCTCTAACTCTTCGGGCAGCACCTGTGGCATTTGCCAAGTTTAAAACCAAAAAAACTACCAGTTGTGCTCAGAAGTAACATGAAGTAACAAGAGTTAACAAGGAATATTTTTGACAAAAAAAAATGTTCAAACCAATAATGAATGGTGTTAAAAAGCCTGCTGTGAATCTCTCCTAATCCCAAACAGCTTTCGTGGATGGGACGCCAGAAACTTGGGGTTCATCCATGGTGAACGGAGATTGCTGCACCGCAGCGTGCTAAGTACAACCATTTCAGCTTCAGTGAAGCCAAAAAAAGCCTAGGCAATTGCTCGAAGGAAAGAACTCTTCAAGACTTTGGTCACTTTTTTGGGTTTCCCCCGCGGTTGTCCCATCGAAGATCATTCGAATGGTAGAAAACTGGCAATGATTTTTGCCCCGAGTCACAACTGGATCCAACTGGTACATGTGCCTTCTGAGTTGTTTCTTCCCTAAGCATGGGAGATCCTGGGAGTCAATGCCAAGTGGCTATTGGATGTTGGTATGAACTCCTTACCATCCGCACTTGTGGCTTCCAAGCTGATAAACAACTTGGATCCTCTTTCAAGCAACTTTGAAGATCCAGCACCAAGATCTCTGAACAGAATCATACAAGAAAATCATTCGGATCTTAACACCCGTAGATACATAAAAATAGGTCATCGGATTTCCCTGCTGAAAGTGGACCGCTGTCACACCATTGGCATATCATGATCAATGGACATCTATATATATATATATGAATATATATATATATGGATATATGTATATATATATATATGGATATATATATATATATATGTAATATATATATAACGACATATATATATATATATAATGATGTAATATGATGTGTGTATATATATATGCGTGCACATGTATGGATATCCATGGTCCAATGGTTTAAAGCGGACCAAAACCTTCCGAACGTTCGCCTCCAGTAACCGGCGTCGTCGGCGCTTGATGTAGAAACGTACGCCCAAGCCGCAACCGGCCAGAGCCAGCACGAAAAGACCAGCCCAAAGCCAAACCTGGTTGGTTTACAATGGAAAATCCATGGAAAATCCATGGAAAATCCCATCAAAAATGGTTGGTTTACAATGGAGGATCCCCAAGAGCTGGTTGGTTTATAATGGAAAAAGCCATGAAAAATAGTGGATGATGTGGGGATGTCCTCAAAATATGGCTGATATATGGCTAATATATAGTTAATGATGGTTACTAATGGTTACTCATGATTAATCATGGGTGATAATGGGATTTCCTAAAATGGCGATACCCCAATCGCTGGTTGGTTTATTTCATGGAAAATCCATAAATGGATGATTTGGGGATACCTCCATTTTAGGAAACCCCCACATGGGACACATCGGCTAAGCCTCGTCCCAAACCAACAGATGTCTTTTTCAGTCGCACGAGATTTTCTGGTACCCTACTAGAGTTAGAAGTTGTCGAAAAGGGCTTTTGAATACAGTTCGCCATCCTGAATTCCATTGTGATGTGCAGGACAAAGTCTGCCTGCTGCAATGATTGCGGTAGCTGGTACAACCACTCGCATTAGAACCGAATTCTGTACCAAAAATGACCTACCAACCACGGATAGGCACATTCCCAATCATTGGGGCACCCCTTTGAAAATGGGCTGGTGCCGGGGTAGCTCAGGAGGAAAGCTGGATATTAGGTGACTACGGGTAACCACAAGATACTACTTAAATGTAAAGTGGTTATCCAATCTTTTCGATTCAATATCCTAATAGCATCAGCCAATGATTGTCCGTTGACAAACATTCACCCACAATGTATCCCTGTAGCATCCTGTACCCATTGTGCTTCCGAGTCACAGGTGGTGTCCAGGGTTCTTGGGGAGCTGCTCGTGGAGGTATTGTGGTGAGTCGAGGCGCCAGGACCTAAATGGATTTCGGGATTTTGATGAAAGATGTGGAGAAAAACCATGTTACCCTCTGGTTATTTAACATAGCCATGGAAAATGGCCCATGTATAGATGATTTTCCCAGCTAGATACCTCCATTTATGGTTGGGATTTTCCATGGCTATGTTAAATAACCAGATGTTAAACCATTAAAAAAACAAAAACCTGACGTTTCATGAGAGAAAACGAAAAATAAAAAAGAACACGTCCGTTGATGTTCCCTGAATAAAACCAGGAATGTCTAGGATACCGACGCGTACCCGCCATCGTGGGTATCAGTCAGCTGTACCACACGGGAAGAATATATCGATCAACTCTATGGACTGATCATGGGAATGCAGGATGATTGAACACCTGTTTAGGCGACCTATATAGGCAACCATCAACAAAGCCCACTTAAATAGTGTCCTACTAAAATGGTGTGTGAGAAAGCTTTACATGCCATGCCACCAGCCCTTCATCCTCTGCAGGGATCACAACCACTGGATCGCGCGTTGTGGTGAGAAAGACAGCCTCGTTTGGTGTGGGTAGCAGGAATCGCGAAGGGCAAGACATACTCCAACACAAGACAACCGTAAGACGGTTCTTGCAGAATGCCTCAATTCCAGTAAAAAAAACGTGTTTCACAGATGCACTTTAAGAATGTTTGAGACACAAGCCTGTGGACATAACAAATATGTAAGCACAGAGGCACAGCGGTTCGATTCCATCCGAAAATGTGGCAACATCAATTGGGCAGTTTGCTTCCCCGAGATTCGAAATGATATCTCTACTTTGAAAAATAAGTTGTGTATACATAGATACATAAAAGTATATAAAAGTACATTTCGGAAGTTTAGTATACATATGTATACATCATGAATATATAATAAATTCAATAAATCAAAGTAAGAATGGACAGTTTTCTATTTATCAGTGATATTTGCTGATATTTGGCCCGCATCCCTCGCAGCACAACCAAACTCAGCTGCTCGAGTGGTGGCTGTGACGGTGTATAAGGTGGTTCGAGTGGTTGGAGGAAATGTGCTGGTCTCCTGTGCGAGAATGACAAGAATGAGGACAGTCCGGGATAGGAATGTGACCAATGACCGCGTGATATCTCAATCAATATAATTTTACATTACAACGTCTATACACTTATTGTGAACGTGTATATTTTGCATATGTAAATCTTTTTGAATATAGTATACATGGTGCAACCAGCTATACACTATGTTTTCTTTCATAAGACTGAAAAGGTTCAAGCAAAAACGATCTAGCAAAACGCTGAACCAACAACAAAGTTGCGGCATACTCAATCGATGGTCTGCATGAACTATCGTACTCCAGTCCTTCCAATAGAAAGTTAAGACCGTTATCTTTGCCATACTAGACATGTACGTTATCATACGTCCATATATATATATACATACATATAAAATGTGTATGATTATGGCTGTGTTTTTTTCCAGCTGTATGCATGTTTTCCTTATATTCGTATGTACTTATCCACATATGCACACTATAAACATAGACAAACAAAAACAGAACGGAACGGAACAGAAGATAACGTGACGTGACGTGACGTGGTGTGGCGTGACATGACATGACATGATACGACATGATATCATGAAAGAACATTTAAAAAAAATGTCATGACGTAACGAAAGGTGACAGGATTACACATTGTATTACATACTGCATTACCATTACCATCATTACCATTCAAAACACGTTTGGACTTGCCTTATCTAACACACAGAATTGGTAACCCATCGGACTTTGTGCGGCAAGTCTCCGGCCATGTGCCAAAGATTGGCTGCAAGTTTTCGCAAACACCTGGGCGCGCAACGGACAGCTCTGATTCTGTCGGGATACAATCGGATACAGGACAGTTGCTGATACACAGCGCCATAACTTCAATTTCCGAAGGTGAGAAACATGTGGAAATCATATGAAATCATCTCATGGTGATATGCAAAGATGGTACCTTATCTTTGATACTGCATGTCGCGAGCTTTGAGGTTGCTTCGGAGCACTGGGAAACCAGTACTGGATCCACAAAAGCGTTTTTTTTCCCATCAAACTGCTGCTTTCGGTTCACTTCACCGCAGGTGCCTAGTGCAACTCCAGCAAAGCGCCCTCCCCACGACCCACAATTTGTCCTTCCTTTTGTGTGACCATAAATATATATATATATTGTACATATGTCCAGTTGCAAGCAATATCCTCGCAACATACAGCACATCTTTGGAACAGTGTTAAACTGCAAAGGATTCAACATTCCCTAAAAAAACATGAAGCATCATTTTAAAGAACATGCACCTTCCTCTTGAAGTAATTCCAATTGACAAGAGCTGGCTTTTTCGACACTTTTATTCAAAGGGTGCCGCCTTGAAAAAAATGCGCCTTCCTCTTTGATCGGTAGCATTCCCTTTTAAAAAATCACACTTGTCGACAGGAACAATTCTTCGCTCCAATGAGGTAGTGTTTACTCGTTTCAGACAGTGCAATATATTTCTTGAGGAAGCAACATGTTGCAACATTTCCTTGCAACAGTGGGTTATCTTGGAAGCAAATGCAGTATTACTTCAGAGAAAATGGATGAAAATGGTATTATTTTCAAACATGTTGAGTCATGAAGATGCATTTTTCTATTGAAGAATTAAATCAAATCGACAAAACAAGAGCTTGAACAACTATTCACAGGATGCAGTATTTCTCCACGAACTTTGCGTTCCTTTTCAATAGGTGTGTCTTCAAAAGGTGTACTTATTCATTTCAATATGTCGTATTGGTTTGGAAGAAACTGTTTTTGAAAGCAAACACTTCATTTCAAGTGTGCATTCCTATGTTCTTACTTTCCAAAAAGCGAATACGTGTACTCACTTTTGAAAGCACAATATTCGTTGAAGGGAGCAATATGTAGTGTTTACAAAAAAATGTTCCAGAACAAACTAAGAGCCATGATTCAACCATATGCAATATTGCTTCAAACAAGCGGGTAGCTTTCAAGTAAACATAGTATGACTCCGGAATAATGAATTATCATTTTCAAACATGCAACTTGATTGTAAGGGTGTAGTACTATATAGTATGTTCTTAACCAGAGACATAGAGGGGTTCCCAGATATTCGGGATGTTGAAGCACGAAATGGACTCAATATGGCGCTCCTTCTACCTAAAAGGCTGGGTCTTGGGGCTGCAGAATATATATATATATATGTATGCATATACCTATACATTTACGCATATACACATATACACATATACACATACCTACATACCTACCTACCGTTGCATACCGTTGCATACCGTTGCATACCGTTCCATATATACCGTGACATACCGTTACATACCGTTACATACCGTGACATACCTACATACTGCACTACATATATACGTACATACGACATATATATATATACATATATATACCTACATACCTACACATGTACATATATACACATATACCTACATACCTACACCTTCATACCTACATACATACCTACCTACATATATACATACATACACACATTACAGGCATTACATACATTAATACATATACTAATACATACATTGATACATACACTAATTGATATACACTAATTTACATACTCTAATTTACATACATTACATCACATCACATCACATTACATATACACATACCACATATATATACATATATATATATACACATCGATTTAAGCAATGAAAGTATATGAATTCGGGTTTCCAATCACCTGTAGCCCAAGTCACCGTCTCCAGGCAACTTGTAGAGGACATCCGTGGTGTCTTCCAGTAGTCGCCATGGAGGTGTCCCTGACGGTACGTCCAGTTGGAAGAGCAGTCGGATGGTGGTCCCTTCCTGGCTGTGACAGGATTTCATAAGGGAAAAAATCATGTGGGAATGGGGTCAAAACCCTGGTACCCCTGGTGAACATCAAAATAGCTGGTAAATGGATGTTCATCCCACTAAAAATGTATCTATAGGTATTGACCCATACCCACATGTCAACAAAATTCAACATGTTTGTGACCACTGAAAATGTGAGTGAAAATGTGACTTTTACTGAAAATGTGAGTTGGACTATATTTTACTACTTGAATATTTAGACATGTTACAAGACTTACATGACTGCCTGGTGAGTGAAAAAAAGGATCCACTGGAAAGCGTTTGTTTGTGCGACATGCGACATTGGAAGCCATCTTTTTTGGTCAGGCATCATCGATGTTCAGAAACCGAGCGTTGGTTCCGTCCCGAGCAGTTAGGACCCAAAATCCATCCAAGGGTAGCAGGGCTGCCGGAACAATCTCAGGATGCCTGGACACAGTCTACAGGCCCCGGAGCGAACAAGCTGAGCAGTGTCCACTGATCAGTGATCCGTTAGGCCAAAATCCTCCATTGTCATTTTTTGCCAGTCTTCATGAATATGTCAATCAGGTGTTGTAACTACTCTATGTCAAACATATGCAGCTCAAAAATGATGTTTTTTTAGCATTTTGACCTCATAACCTTCATAATGTAGTAAACCCAATAATACACCATTCCTGATAGAGGCTTAGTGTTGGGTGGTATACCCCAATGACCCCCATGGATAATGGGATGCTGACATCTAGTGACGGTATTGGACCTCTGGTAAACTACGCCATGGAAAATCACCATCTTTAATAGGAAAACTGGTTGGTGGTTTCAACCCCTCTGAAAAATGATGGAGTCCGTCAGTTGGGATGATGAAATTCCCAACTGTTTCTGGAAAGTCAATCCAAATTCCATGGTTCCAGTCACCACCAACCAGAAAATATCGGAAAATCAAGTGTCAATGTGCCATTTTCAGTAGCAAACTGTGAGAAATTACCAGAGGGTATACCATCCCGTGGCCATCCGCCTCTCTGCAAAGACCTCCGGCAGCACTTCGCAGTTGCGGCGCTCATGGCGCGTGACGAAGGGCAAGGAGCCTTCCATGGTGGGCTCGACCGCAGTGTTGGTGACGTCAAAGGCGCCCACCAATCGCCTGAAGGCAATGGACACAAACCGCCAATGGAATAAAGGGATATAATATATATATATATTATTTTATGTTATATTATACTATATTATATATTATATTATATTATACTATATATTATATATTATATTATATTATATTATACTATATTATATTATATTATATTATATTATATTTATATTATATGCATATATATATATATAGATATACAACGAGATACATATATATATATAAAAAGGGAGTGAAAACATTTTTTTCAGAAAGAGTGTCTGCGAAGAAAAAATCACTGACCAGTTCCCAACGCTGCCCTGATATTCCGGCATGACTTCATCTTTTGATATTTTTAGTGGAATATCAATTGACCAATGTTACATCATGGCAGCATGTGTTCGTCATGTGTTCGTCATGTGTTCGTCACCCTTCTGCCAGGTGTCTTCAACCTCAACTCCACGTGCGCTTGTGCATAAGTCCTTGGATGATCGATGTCCATATCTGGAATTTTGTGCTGGATCTGTTCTGCTGGGTACCCCTTAGCTGCTGCCCAAAGCTGGCCCAAAGGATCTCGTTTTTGAAGTTTCGTTCAGCAAACGGATTAATGAGCAAAATGTTTTTGGAACCCTGCTGTCGCAGCGCCACACTTGTGGATTCCTGCCATTTGTCCTGCTACGAATTAATTTACATGACTTGTCACAAATATCGCATCGTTCGTGGGGGTTATTACTGTCCTATTCTGCAGAGTTGCTTATTTTTGTGACAGACCATGTCCGGGTGAATAACAGACCCTCCAGAAATTCATAGAGATTCAGTCTCAGGTAGCAATGACATCGCATTGACATGGATTTCGCATCCGAATTTTCACTCCCTGGAGAAACAGCTATGGAGCGATCATGATGTCCTTCAGAACTCACCAAGTCATCTCTGGACGAAGTGTGAAATTCAGCTGCGGAGGGCCAGATTTCATCATATGGCTATGGGATCTGAATCATTTTTGCCATATGACTATGGGTAAACCGTCCTTTTGTGGGGTACCCCATTTTCACCCATACCATGCTACGCAAATTGTGTTTGTTGAATCACATCCAAACTTTGGATGTAGAGCATGTGCGATTTTCTTCTGGTGCCCTCTTTGTGAACCCCAAAAGAGCTGGCAAATGGATGCTCATCCCCGCAAGAACATCTTGCTTTTCTTAAATAGTTGCCTGATCGTTTTAACACGATTCCAAGGCATTCGCATCTTTGGCCTCCAAACCAAGTAATTAATCCCATCCCCCGTTCATTTTGAACAGCTCAAAAAGAAAGTGAGCGGTACAAGAAAGTAGGGGGAAAAGCAAAAATATGATTGTGACATATTGTGACCATAGGGTGGGGTGTTTGACATGTTTTTCTTCGGTGTGCCAAGTGACCCACTAGGCGCCTCACCCGTCTCCTCACCAGCTTGCAGTGGCGACACCAAATTGTCAGGCGACAGAAGGAAGGCTTTTGCCTTGCAGTTTTGAACTATGGAGAGTTTTCGTAAATGGGGAACCCCTTTCATTATCATACCCATATCCAACTTATTTGTGTCAAATTTGAAGGAAATGAACGGGGAAACCACTAACTTGGGCGTTTTGAGAAACCCCCATATCGAAATATAACACCAAGTAGTTTTCAAAACTCTTGCTGTTCATTGCTTTGGGGGGCAAGAGTATACAACTTATATTGCTCGTTTTGGATTTTGTTGGGGGATGAATCAAAGCAAATCGGGGTGAATAGGGATGAATAGGGATGAAATGATCCTTGTTTTCCGGTAAAAACACTGAATTGTTCCGGCAGGGTCGAATGATGTCGAATGATTCTTCGAACACTATGGGAATGCCACGAATTCTGATGGGCAAACATACGTAACAGCCACGGGTGAATGGGGACAGGACGGACACTTACTTATTGACTTATTGCATGCTGGCGATGTGACAAACTCGAAAGACATTTATGGACATCTGGATTGCAGACACATAATAAACCGGGGGATTTGGTGGCGCAACTTTTGACATGAGAGAGGCAGAAAGTGATGCCCTTGAGGATCAGAGGCCGATAGGGCCACAAACTTGATGGAAAATTGGACATGCAAAAAGTGGTGGCACATCCTAAAGCACGTGCCCTCTGGGGAACCTCCTCATGGACTGTCAAATCTTTAAAAAAAATGTTGAGAACAAAAACAGAATTTCCAACAACTTGGTATTTCTTCTGTTACTTTCAATCCGCCATGAAGCAGAATAGCTCTGATTGTGATGTACACCAAAGGCTTCCACTCTCACTGGCAGAGCTTTGCAAACAAGCACATGCCGGCAGAGAACCCTGTGTTGTCTTTTGATAAGATTCCTGACACGCACTTCTTGATTTCTGGGTCATGCATGAGCATCCGTACTCTGATAACTTTAATATGCCAAGTGAGCAGGTTAAAGTCGGCTAAAAAGATGTAAGCATCTGAAATGGCCAACAATCATATCAGATATAGATAATGATAGCTATATAGGTCATCAATGTCATCAATCATCTCATTCCCGATCCGTTCCCGCCTCTGCATGCATCATCAAATGAGGCTTATCACCTGGTGCTCGAATACGTAGAATGGTGCTGCCGCTCTTCCTCACGACTCGGAGGCCATGGTGACCATGGTCAAAAAAACCATATGTTTTTTTTCATTCTGCAGCTGCTAAGGAGGTCCTTGTGCTGACTGGTTTCAGGGAATTCTCTGGAGATCATCGGACCGGTTGATAGTCCGGAAAAAAACTTTCCAGGACCTGGAAGGTTGAAAGAACTGAGCAGTTTCTCCTGCTGCCACTTTCACCACGCCTTTGGAACTTTGAAGCTTCCCCCTCTTTTCTGTCACCACATTGAGCCCACTACATGCGGGATAGGGCTCAAATGGACCTCAAAAATGATTAAAAAAGAAAAGTGTAGGTGTGTCTGAAAATGGGGCCCCGAAAAAAAAAAACACATCGTGTGAAATGGTTTTCACTATGTTTTCACTATGTTTCCTGGCATTTTGGATGGTTTTTCGTTGGTGAAATGCCCAACAACTCCGGCCACTTGTTGGTCAAATCCAAGCTGCAGCAGCCCTGCAAATGCCACCGGTCGATTCGTCGACGTGGCGTCAATTCCTGGCTGGATTTATCCCTGTTTCAGGGGATTTCACAATAAGTGGTTCTGTTTCTGCAAATTATTTTGGTTATTTAACATATATAGCCATGGAAAATCACCATTTTTTATAGGTCTGCAAATGATTTACCATCTGGTTATGACATTCACAGTTCGCCATGGAACATCACCATGCTATTTTCATAGGTAAACCCAGGTAAACCATCTATAAATGGGCCACTTTCCATGGCTATGTTAAATAACCAGAGGCTAATTGGTTCTGTTTCTGCAAATTGTTTAAATTGATTATTATCATGTGCCTTTATAGACATCCTACATGGATACCTGGGGGTACAACGGTAAAACCGAGAGAAAACATGAAGACTTGCTAGCTACTGGTAGGAGTTCGAAAAACTTGGAAATTCACACACACACACACTCTCGAGATCAAAGCGGTGCCTTCCCTTGCAACTTAAAGATTTTGGTACAACTTGTTGAACTATGGGAAGGACATTTGTCACAAATGGAACCACAAAAAACACCGAAGATTCGGCAAACATGGCGAAAACTCGCTTGCCACCCGCGATAAAGATCGGTTTAAATTGTCGTGGATTCAGCAGAACAATTGTCGTGGTTAGTCATAAAGCTTCGCAACCACCAATCCTTGGGGCTAGCAGTCGTTCCCACCTGCCGTTTTCCTGGAGGAACACCTGGTTCATGTCCGGCCAAACATCAAACATGTAAAGCAAAACATCTCCCAAGGATGTAGAAGAATATCTGATATATCATATGAATTCATATGATATATCTCTTAATTTTAAGGATCTTGGTGGTGATAAATCTCACATAAATCTCACATGTTTCGGTTTTTCGGAGCTCCAAGCGTCGTAAATATGCTTGTGAGCCGCTGGTCGCTGCCAAGAGCTCCTGATCGTCAATGGATTGCTGGAGCCTCAGGTCGTGGCAGGTGCCATGGTGCCCATGGTGCCATGGCCATGGGCGATACCCGGGTGGTTCTTTAACATAAAATATGCTAAAATGAGCCAACAAAACAGATGATTTATGATGATTTACCTATCAACAGCTGTGATTTTCCATAGCTACGTTAAATAATCAGAGAACTACAATATTTAGTCATGTGTTCATATATCATCATTATATCGATATCGAACCCCAAGAATTTGGCATGTAACTGGTATCTCATGGTATCTTTCACATCCCGAGAACGCCATCCAGAGGTAGATGTATGTCAGGTTTGCTGAGCCCAGGTCTAGTTTGACCAATGTGGCAAGGATACATCGCTCTTAGCTTATAACTTTGGAACCACCAAGCTGGTAAGGAACCCTTTTGTGGATGTAACTTTTCTGCACTGGACGTTTGGGACATTTTGGCTCTTTGACATCATCTCCCATTGTGTTCCAGTGTCATTTCCCAGTTATCCCGGTGGCGAACTGGTGATCAGGCATCTGCTTGGCATTTTGGGATGATAGTGGAAACACACAAAACCCTGAAAACGCTGCCAGGGGCAGCAAAAATCTTATAGTCATCCTGAAAAATCAGCAAGACAATCAGAGTCATCCTGATATGAAAAATGGCAGTATGGTCCAATCATCATCCCCCAAGCAGTTCCAATGTCCCGAAAACTCGACTGGGTTCAGTGTCAGATGCTTAAAATGGCCCAAGCAGCTTATTCCTTGCGGCATCGTTGGCCGCAAAGAAGGCTCCACTGCTACTACCAGGCTGCCTCCGTTGGAGATTTTCCCTTCGCTAACCCCATCCCAAACACCAAACCTATCGTGGACCTATGGTGGATTTAAAGAAATCAAAATCTTCGAGTAGTTATGTCAGTCGTTGGCCAAATCAGCCAGCAGCTGGGCGCTGAAAAACTGGTAGTTTTTCGGCCAAACACCTCGATTTGTTCGCGCCTGTTGACCCGCCTTCTTCGTATGAGCTGAAAACCTGGTAATAATTGATATTTTAGCATTATGGTTACAGCAACTTAAAATTCCACATCAGAACGCGCAGCATAGGGAGCTGTGCGAATTCGTTCCACATCATCATCATCATCATCATCATCATCATCATAATCATCAACATCATCATCATCATCATCATCACCCTCATCAACATCATCATCATCAACAACAACAGCGTCAACAACGTCATCATCATCATCATCATCATCATCATCATCATCATCATCATCATCATCATCATCATCATCATCCAACATGATCATCATGATCATCATGATCATCATGATCGATGATCATCATCATCAACAACAACAACATCATCATCGTCGTCATCATCAATGAAGATCTTCAATGAATGTAGAAGCTTAACGCGGGTGGGAGAATTAAATCCTTATTGAAGAACTTCAATAAATGTAGAAGTTAACGGGGGTGGGACTTTTATATTCCCTACTACCCTTATTGATCGTCCGTCCCAAGTCAAGCAGGGTGTGGGCGAAACGGGGTGTTTGCGCGTAGTTTTTCACGGAAGGGTTAACAGATGCCGGGGTGCTGGGAAGTATTTACGGATGCCTTGAACAAACACAACAATGACAAGTGTACACCAAGTAGCCGGTAGGGTCAAATCATTGGCCCGACCTTTTTGAAGGTTTGCACACCATTGTCGGTTGCAGTTTGTCTGAGTGATGAAAAATACCATCACATCTCAAAATGCTGGTTGGTCACGAAGTATCCCTTGATTAAGTCCTGAAATTCTCACCAATACACATGCGAATTAGTACAACCAACTAGGCTATAATGACTAATCAACAATCATTCAATGCAATCAATTCCGTTCATGGTTCAACACCCAACAAATCATGGCTGAATCGGTGAGTCGGTTCAAACTCAATGAAATCACTAGTCAATGGATTGGTTCCAAGGGAAACTTCAATAGTACCCTCTGCTAAACTAACATAACTATGGAAAATCACCATTTATAGTGGATTTTCCCATGAAAAATGGTGGATCTCTCCATAGTTATGTTAGTTTACCAGAGGATATTTCAACCGGAAACCATGGATTTTACCACAAAATATGCGGGTCTCCTATTGAACTCGTCAACACTCGGGGTTGGATCGCTACACGCGCGTAGGGTTACCGCGACGCCTCGGACTCCAAGCAGTCCAGGGCTGACGCCAGCTCCACCCTGCGGGGCCCAAGAAATATCCTCGGAGGGCAAGTGTTCACCATTGTGTTCGCCACTGTATCACATATTTTTAAATAGAGAGAGAGAGAGAGATCACACACACACACTATATATGTATGTATATATATATTATACACGTGTGTATATATATATACATATATATTTAAAGAAATATGTATAGTCATTTTTAGAAACAACGAGGATATACACTGTATAAATAATTATATGTATATATATATATATATGTGGTGGTATCCTAACTGGTTGCAAAAATGACTTCTGGAAACAACATCCCCATGATGAACATGTAAAGCCACTGTTCTTCGACAAGAATTCAGACTGTTCATTGGGCCATCCTTGGCACCCTGGTGAGATTTAAACAACTGAATTACAAGAAGTCTACATCAACCAATCCCTCAAGATCCACTCAATGGATGTCATGCAGATTTGCCAGTGCTCACCTGGAACCACAGCCATGCTCTGCTGACCGAGTAAGAGAGTTTTATGTTAAGGTTGTGATGTTGAGGTTGTCATCGCCTTGGAGTTACCTAGGAAAACGTCTTGACATGGCATCAGTAGCTTTGTTGGCCACGGACTGATGAATGCCTGGTCACGTTTTGAAACAAAGCTGAACCAATCTAAAGTGTTTTTTTTCCCCGCATGAAAACTAGCTGCTTTCACACACACACGCATGATCATTACAAATAATGTACATAATATATATATATATATATATTATACACATGTGTGTATATATATATACACATAATATATATATATATATATTATAACTTATTTATATATATAATTTATACATATAACCTATATATACATATCGATCACATGTGTCTTTCCACGGATATGCACTTTGCTCCACGTCCACTGAATACAGATGTTGTAGCTCACACTGCACATCCTAAGCCCTAAGCACTTGGCAAGCTTGCATCGGCCGCTCAAGCAAAACTCACATTCTTACCAAAGAACCTGGTTCATTCAACAATGAACGACTTAATGCATGTACGCCAAAGCTGCTTCTTGGACAAACACAGAACTAGACAGCGTGTTTGGATCGTAGTAGCTAGCCGCTTTCAATCTCAGTGGAACATGCATTGACAAATCAGCGCTTGCAGCAGGGGCTACAATGCTACAGTTCAACACGGTCGCTTTTCGAGCTTGCATGGTGCATCTACAGGAACACATACACTCCTCATTGAAACGATAAGGAGTTTGGGAAAAAAGAACTGTAGAGTCAAGCTACCAAAGGCGCGGGCATGTGTGAGAACACCATCTGATCTGCTGTGAGTTCAAACTGAATCACATGAACAACACGGCATCAAAAACATAGGCAAAAACACTCTGTATTTTGCCATGTTCTCTGACATAGTCAAGATGTACAAAACCAACGAGAATCCCTTGGATGTCAAAAAAAAACTCTTCACATCTCCCTACCAGGATGATAGTGATTGATATATTTTGGTCTGCTTACCAAAAATATAGTGGTCACTACTCGTCGATGGGTTTGCTTGCGCAACAGAAAGCTTAAAGGTACATGTTATTCCCTGCAGCAGCAACCACAACAACAACAACCACCACCACAACAACAACAACAACCACCACAACAACAAGAAGAACAAGAAACGAGAACGAGAAGAAGAAGAAGAAGAAGAAGGAAGAAGAAGAAGTCGCTACATTGCAGTTTCAACAATTCTTTTCGGAATTGTACCGTGTAAACCCAAAACCACTGGACTCATTGGCTCAAGATGCGTCCCTGTCTACTTGAGCTACCTAGATATGTTAATTTCATGGTTAACATCATGTTTACCCTTTGGTAAACTAACATAGATATGGAAAATCACCCATGTTCATAGGTAAATCAACTATAAATCACCATTTTCAATAGCTATGTTAAATTACCAGAGGGTATATATCTTAATGGGATATAAATGGGAGATTTTGGGGATCTTATAGGGATATTAATAGGATATTCATGGGATATTCATATTCATTGTTCATATTCATGGGAAAATGAATCATTTTCATCATTTATAGATAATTTTTACCTATTTAAACTACAGGATGGTGCCCCCCAGTTATAAGTTGGTTTATAAACCCCATTAACTAGTTCGTTATATCTGCCATAAACCATAGTTACTGGAGTTATGTTCACCAACTTAGCTAACGAACTGGGGCACCACCTTGTAGCGATTTTCCATAGCAAACTGTTTCGCAGGGGGGGGTGTAACGGTTAGCCAAGCCGCCATCGTCCCTCTGTCGCGCCAGCCACGCTGCCAAGGCTTCGATGCGGCCCAGGCGTCGCCGGGCCAACAGGGCGGCGCTGCGCCGCGCCGCGGTGAGAAACGTCTGGAGACGTTTGAGCTCCTAACAGCAGTGGATCATTGGAAAATCCCATGGATTTGATGGAAAAACCATGGATTTGATGATAAAAAAACATGGAAAATGGATTTGACTATTGGAAAATCCCGATTTCATGGAAAAAAAACATGGATTTGATGGATGTTACCATGAAAGAGAAATGGAAAGTTGCTGAAAATACCATGGAATCTTATCATGAAATCATGTGTATCGGAATTCTAATGATATATTCACAAATAGACACTCACCTTTACATCAGATAAGTTCATCAGGAAAAGTTCTTTGATTTAAGTACTAACTTCTGTGTATTGACGTAGATACGGAATCACATTGACACATTCCTAGGACATCGACTGGCGTGACACCTTGGCAGGTCACGATGATTTTTTTCAACCATCTTTTTGCTGACATATTAGTGCCGTGGTCAAAAGCCAGAGCTTTTTTGGGGTAGGGTCATCCAACCCCATCCCCCTTTATGGGAAAATCAGCCATTTAACTTGACCATGGCACTTTTTTATGGTATCTATTGATATTGAAGGATATGGACATAGAGGTCCGGGTAGCAACGGACCCCAACGGATTTCAAGACCCAAAAAATTGGTGAAGGCGCTAGTGCTTGCAGTTTTCTGTGCTTGCAGTTTGCTAACATCCAAGACTGGCGCCATCTTGAGTGCATTGGGCATGGAATCCAGGAATCGATGAAAGGACTTGTCACTATGTAAGAAATGGCGAAATCACGACCGGGTCGTCGGGTCGTATACTCCTGTGTAGTCTTGCCCTGTTACGTTCTCCCAAACAAAAGGGGCATTGGACGCCTCCACTGAATTCGCGGAAGTTTTAGAGCATTTGAACCTAGATATTGATAAATCGTGCCGCCCCAAATATTGCGCTTGTCTGAAAATAGGCTACAGTACCCCTAAATCCATGGGTTTCTCACGATTTTCCCCATAAAAATTGCGGTTGCCACGGTTGCCCCCCAGGTTCAAGTCCTGCCAGTGCCACAAGGCATCAGGACGATCGCTCAAGATGGTCACCTGGGTTTCAGCCAGCGGAATCCACAGACATCCATCGAAATCGATGGCGAAACCTCGAAAAATTGCAACTCAAGCGGCATTCTGCGGCGCCTCTGACCAAGTCCTTGGCGGCAAGGCTCTTTTAGAGAACTGGAACAGCCAACAAAACAAAATCTCTACGTCACTATGACGGTATATTACATATATACATATATATATAATATACAGTTATATACATATATGGAATCAACTCATCGCTTTGTTTCAGCGTAGCTATGTTCACCCCATGTCAAGCCACCATCCACGCAGATCCACGCAGATCCCAGGGGTCCCAGGGGTCCCAGGGGCAGGAGTCGTGACAAGTGCATGGACAGCTTCTCTGATGAGCTGGCAATCTCGGACCTCAGCTGGTGAGTGGACTTTCTTAATGCTGAAAAATCTATGAATCTGAATCATCTGAATGTCACTTTTTTATATGTCTATACAATTCTATACAGATATATTATTAACACAATATTACATCGGAGATATTTTTTGGCACTGTGATTGTTCTCAGAAAATGCACATTTTCTTTGTTTCATTTTATGTTTCCTTGCCTTAACAGTATGTGTAACGGCCCCCATGGATTTTTCCACCATTCCTAGCGCTTGGAGCCTAGTGGAGCCTAGGTGCCCGATGCTCGGTTGCTGCTGCACATATCTTAGGTCCACGACCTCCAGTAAAATCTCCTCAGCACCCGAGAAGTTACCCAGCCTGGTTATGACATTCACATTTCGCCATGGAAAATCACCATTTTAAATAATAGGTATTTCATAGGTAAACCCAGGTAAACCATCTATAGGGCCATCTATACCATGGCTATGTTAAATAACCAGAGGGTATCCTGTTTCATCTCTAGGCTTCAGCTTCATCGTTTTATCGTTTTATCGGAGGGATGGAAATCTTGAGTCTTGATGTGTCTCGTGGACTATGCAAAAGCCACTATCCAGCGAGCATCTGCAGGCCGTTTGTGCGAACTCACTGATCTTGCATAACTATGGACTATCGATGTTGACATTATCCGTTGGTTTTCATATTACGATACTACTTTGCGTATTCTTGCTCTGTAGAAAGCGGCAGAGATCTGGTGCTGCAGGTTGCCATACAATCCGTTGGTCACGAGCAGGATCGCGCCAAGGGCAAAACAGGTAGAGGCTGTAACTAGTGATGGCCAGTGATCCCCTTTTTTGCCAGAAGTTCCTCTAATGTTATGGTGTGAGACTATGTTTGGAAAATGCAGTACCATCCAGTCGTGAGATATTATGATATCTTTTGAGGTACCCTAAAAAGATCGCATACCCTCCGTAATCAAACATATAGCTTATAGCTTGCTCAAAAATCACCCAATGATCCATGATTTTCCCTCCATTTATAGATTTTATAGGGATTTCCCATTGCCATCTTTGCTGAAGGCTAAAATGTCATCCAAAAAGTCCCGGCTCAAGGGCTCCTCCAAGATCCGCAGCCGACCCCACACCAACGCCAGAACCTCCTCTGAAGCGTCCTGCACAGCGTATGGGATCTATTCAATTGGAAGGTTTGTACAAAATGGGAGATGATTGAGCATACCCTTCAAGAATTCCTGGAAAATCATCCATTTATAGATTGTTATCCATATTATTCCATATTCATATTGTCCTATAGGGGGAAAAAGTATCCACATCCACGATTTCTTTCTGTTGTAAAAACCAGTATGTTCAATGGATTTCAATGGCAATTTTCAGCATACCCTCTGGTAATTTAACATAGCTATTGAAAATGGCCCATTTATAGTGAGTTTTCCCATTAAAAATTGTGATTTTTAATAGCTATGTTAGTTTACCAGAGGGTAACTTCATGGATTCCACCTTTCAAAACGCCCAAGTCACGTCGACGTCACGTCACGTCCTTGAGGCGTAAATCTTCGATGCGAGGATCGATCCAAGGTCGCACGGCTTGGGCTCCGAAACCTTCCCAAACATCCTGAAACGCGCTGGCAGTTTCAAGCAGCTAGCGATGTGAGTCATGATGGATGTGGATATTTAATGGATGTATTATGGATGTATTATGGATGTTAAAATCACATAAAAAAAAATTGATGTTTCATGATATTTTTATATATTTTTCATGATGGATGGTGTATTTGGGGGCATTTTTTTTGCCAGATCTTCCAGCATCTTCCAGCTGCGTGGCCGCCATCGCCAAGGATCCGAGAGAATGACGTCTTTATCAAAGAATTCGGTCGCAAAGGACAGGCACCAGCCACGGACGCTGCAACTTCCAGTGCCTGGAGGATCTGGTGGAGTGGTGGAGACTGGGTGTTTTTGAGGGAATTGACTCTTACCCTCTGGTAAACTAACATAGCTATTGAAAATCACCATTTTTAATGGGTAAATCCACTATTTCTATGGTCATTTTCAATAGCTATGTTCAATTACCAGAGGGTAAATATTCAAAGTTATTCAAAGTTGATGTTGTTTGTCCAATCATCACAAGATATCACAAGGACTTCATACACATACTTCAAGAAAAAGGGATTTCCACCACTGAGGCGATATGAACATGAGACAATGAGTTCTTGCATGTTCATGAGGATCTCATTCATCCTCACTGATGAATACAATTAACTTCATTTGAATTCCTTGAAAGACTCCTACGTGCATGAGAGTATAATCCAGCGGATGCTGCTGGAATGTTTTAGCCAGGATAAGAAAGTTGCTCCAGCAGCCGAATGCCCTAGAAGTCAAATTGAAAATGGATTCTTACTGTATCTCTTGTGAAACCTGCGGAATTTTTGGCTGGGATTCTCCATTTCTTAAAAATATGTGCTTGAGAAAATAACAACACGTAGTCAAAGGGCTTTACTCTCTGGTAAGCTAACATAGCTACGGAAAATCATCATTGTTAAAACGCTAAAGTGTAAATTCATCACCAGGTTCAACCATATTGGAAAGTTCAACCAAGTTCTTCATGACTATCTGGTCAATCCAATAGGCAAAGTGGTTGTTTTAACATGTTTCAACCAGGCAAGATCTCTGTCGATCTCCGGCGCCTGGGAAGGAAATGTTTGGCAAATCTCCAGCCAGCAGCAAAGCGCCATCACGGGTTAGGGGCTCCACCACCTGGAGAAAAATTACATCACCACTGATTCATGGCTATCCTCGGAGCATGAGATGGTCAAATGTTGGGAACATCATGAACATCCAAAAAAAAAATCTTGGGAGAATCTCAACCAAGATATAAAAGATTGAAAATCGAAGATCGGCAGTTTTTGAAATGGCGAAAAACCACGGCCAGCACGGGCGATCGCACGGCCAGCATGGCACCTGCTCGGTGAAACCTTCAACCTCAACGAGCACTTTTCGCACCATTGGCAGCACCCGATCCAAACTCCTGGTAGAGAAGCTAAGCCTGCAGCAGCACCGCAGTTCCAGCAGTGCTCAGTTTGAAGTTGAAGTCAGGCAGAAAAATAATGTAACCATCATGTAAGTATCATGTAAGTATGGTGTAACTTAACACCTCGCAATATGAATCTGTCGGGTGACATATGACATGGATTTCTAGGTGAAGAAAATCCATGGTACCCTGGTATCCCTGGTGAAGCCCATCGATTTCCTGGGCAAATTTATGTTCCTCCTTCCATTCGTGTGGCCTGTTGTTCGACTTAGACTATCAAAATGTATGAAAGTCCGTCCCACAGCGATGAAAGTTATGTCTCCTGCAGATACCTATCACTGAGGCTACTGAGGTGACGATCTGTACGCTGTGCAATTTTTCAGGCCACAAACACTCCTAGTCTTGGCATATCTTGACAACATGCTCAAGCTCCCTTTCAGAAGAGGAAAAAACAAAAAAGAATCATCATCATCGTCGTCGTCGTCGTCATCATCATCATCATCATCAAACGAAGAAGTTTGGAACAATACCCTCTACCTATCCAAGCACCAGAGCCCATGCGACATGGTGCACCTTCTCGAGCCGCCTGAATCCTGCAGATTCCATCATGATTTAGCAATGACCTGACCCATGGTATCCCATGGTGCAGGTCATGGTAAAATATCAACGAATTAAATATGGATGATACCATGGTACACTGGTATTTAAATATAGTAAAATATCATCCATATGGTATTTAAATATAGTTCTGTGGATGATATGGATTGATATGGATGATACAGTTTGTGGATTTCTTGACACAATCAGCCCACATGCAACACCGCAGTCCTCGGTTGTCGATGCAACAGGCGTGGTGGATGTGGTGGGTGTGGGTGTTGTAGATGCTGTGGTGGTTGTCCGTGTGCTGATGGCCAGTAGGAGCTCATCCGCATAGCTAAAGCAAGACTGGGCCACCTGGACATTGTGGTGATGGCCGGATGTCGGCTTTCAGGGCAACTTTAAACATGGGGATGGGTCAAAACCCATGGTAAATGGATGTTCATCCCACTAAAAATGGTATTTTCATAGGTATTGATCCATACCCATATGAGTTCTAGCAGTATCTGTGGGCTAGTGGGACAGTTTCCTTGAGAAGCTGAAAATGGGGCCCGTTTTAACCAGCGCTGTCTCCCAGGAATGTTGGCTCCGGTAAAGCTGAGGATTGCCAAAAACCTGGGTGTTTTATGCATAGCCACAATCATCAGCCCAGGTCAAAAGAAACCCTAAGGGCCTTGCGTTTTTCAGAAACAGGGCCAGCTGCTCGGGCCAAACAAACCCACATCCACAATCCTTTCAATCAAGAAACACCTCACTGAAGTCGGGGGCATGGTATGAGTTGATAAGTGTTGATAGGTTGGCACTCAAACAATTCTGGAATGCAAGCAGAGCATGTGGAAGATATTAACCCAGAGAGCACCGGCAATCTTATCACTTGGAGAAGTTGGACGTGTTTTCCATATCTCACAAGGATGTGTCTAATGCGATTAAAACCATTCAAAATCTTTAAATTTCATCTTCTCGGCGGCAAAGCTTGCATTTTCCAACCTCTGTGCAACTGTGTTCGAAACATACCTACACCTTTCTCCAATGTCCATGTTCGGAAGACATGTGAGCAGTGTCCCTTTCTACTGCCTTTTTTTTTTCGGGATTCCGATGATGATCATCCCCAACAAAAACTGGCTAGTACGAGCTCACTAATCATATCTGATCATCCAACAAAAGTGGATCCACAGCCCAAAATCATCAAATTTCGCCTCTTCGAAGTTCTTCCACAGTCGATTCCTGGCTTCTGCCACCGGAATGGCTCCAGGCGGTGGCTCTGCCCCCCCCAGAGCTGAGCCCGTCATCAAGGGCGGCCACTGCAACTCATCACCCTCACGCACCTCGGGCACCAGGGATACTCTCGTGGAGGTTTCTCAACATTGGGAGTTCACTCCCTGAAAGCAGCTAGAACGTGATATTTGGTGAGATTTTTTGGAAGGGAATTGAACTAATTGAACCAAGGTTTTTTTTTGGGTTTCACTGACAAGAATGGGATTTGCCCAACAATGATAGAAAAATGGGCAAAATGTGCTCCGGGGGAATCATGCTCGGGGGAATCATCCCAAGTGTAGAAAGGATAAACAACGATTTGAAATGGTGAGGTGGACGCCAAGAAAACGAATGAACATATCATCAATTTTCATATACGACCATCATGGTCATTTCATGTCATATGAGCCATGGTCAATACTCACTATATGGTTGATGGTCATCCCATCCATTATAAGGATCCTTATAACGGTTATTATAAATCCCTATGAACCATTGGATGACTAGCCCCTATTAATGGTTATTAACCATGAGTATTGACCATAGCTCATATCAAACCAAACACTTCAGATTCTAAATTCGACAGTCGTGGCAGAAAACCAGAGGGAAAATGATCCTCATTCACCCTGCCAACCTCGGCTCTGTATCTTGCGGATGATTGGCATCCGAAGTTCACGAACATCTACACTCGACTAAACAATACTAACCAACTACTATTGAACAATTCTTGAGCTTGGTGCACTAGTGGAGGCCCTGTCACCAGCCTGATCACAATACTCCACTTTTTAGCTTTGAACTATCAATTCATATTTCAAGATGTTGGTTTCTTTGAGTTTGCCAGCCATAAAGGCTGTCGATTTGACATCTTCCAACTTGTCAATAGTCTTGGATAATGCGAAAGAATGTACACGTGGAAAAAAAACACATGTTAATTGGGTTTCTGTCGTTGGAACAGGGAATGAATATCCCATACTTAGCTTAATTCGATTCTCGCCATACATGTTGCCTGCCGGACATGAGAGAAGGGTGTGAGCATGAAACAAAAGCTCCCAGTCCCTGCCAAAATTGTCAGACCGCCTGGCATTTCAAGCGCCAATCCTCAGCACAGGGCTCAAAACATCCTTCAAAAATTATTGGTAAATTATCTTCACCAAATCATCAAAATGTTTGCAAAATTGGAGCATGTTGGTAAATCATCCTAATTTGGATGATGTTTACCATCATCCTGACCCAAGATCCTTTGTGAAATATCAATTATGATCATCATTCATCACCCATTTTTTTCGGACATCTGCGATCCGAATCAATGATTGATGATCAACCACCATGATCATCCATGATCATCCATGATCTACCCTACGGTACCACATGGGGCCCCCCGTACGGTACCCATTTTTGCACGGATCATCGTCGCCAAGGCTCGATCCCATGGTACCAGGAATTTCCCCAGGTGCCAAGAAGCATCAGGGCCATAGATCCTGGAGTCATGGGGGAGTCTATGGTTAATAATAATGGTTAATGGTAATGGTTAATGGTAATGGTTAATCTATGGGGGAGTCGTCACCACTGGTCACCTTTCTTTGGTCAGTCACCTTTGTTTGATGACTGGATGAGCTGGATGATTTGGAGCCGACTTTTTGGAAAAGCTCCGGCCAAGATCCAATGAATCTAATGGATGAATTCTGCGAATCAATGATAAAGCCATATATTGGCATCTGGTAATCAAACATGGTTTGCTGGAAAATCAGTTTTAGATATCCTAGGTCCTAGATGTTTTTCCCAGCTAGAAACATCTATTTTGTTCAGGGATTTTCCAGCAAGCCATGTTTGATTACCGAAGGGTATATCAAGATCTAATGGATGAATGAAGCATGGAATGAAAAACCGGCCCACTAGTTAATTAGAATATGTTAGAATAGTTTCAATCCAAAGTTATTTTCAAGCCAGCACTTCATGCACCACTAGAGTCCTATACGTTGAAGAAGTTCCCCCATCTTTGTCTCCTCGGCTGCGTGGCGTATGAAAGTCCATTTGGCATCCTTTGATTTCTCGCCCTAACTTCAAACTTCCATTTGAATCGGCTGTGCAAAGGTTGAAAGATGTTGAAAGATGTTGAAAGTTTCATCTTTTCACAGCCCTCCAAGACATAGGTACAATTTGTTGCAACTGCCCAGAGATATCGTCTTACACCTCACCTTGTCATCCAACGACAGGGTCGCAGAGTTCTTCATATCGCTGAGCTCATGGGAAAGTTTCCTGGGATGATGCGAAACAATGCGAAACAATCTGTTTTAACTTTTGGAACAAGCCAATCAGCCAATCTCCCATTGTCATCCATTCTGCTGCCATTCTTATCCCTTATAAAATGGTCCCATATTCTTCCCATATTCTTCCCATATTCTTCCCATATTCTTCCCATTGTCAAGGTGCCAAGTAATGGCTTGAGCCATGCGAACCACGTCAAAGGTGGCATTTTTGGTGCTTTCACCCGTCAAACGATCAATCTCCTAGAGATTGAGGCCAGTTGGGTGCACCCCCAGGATGGGTTGGTGAACACCAACACTCTGCAGCTGGATTGTCATGAAAACTGAACCAAGGGATACCTTAAAGGTAAAACCAGAGTTCCAATTTGGAGAACACAACTTGGATTGGCTTAGTAAGCTTAGTACTGAAGATTCTTACATCTTACGCACTGGTGCAATCTGGTGCAAACTGCGAGATGTGCCAAGTGGTTTTTCAAGTGCCTGATTTTAGTCACAAGGATGGCAGGGTTCTCAGGGCCTCCACCGGTCGCAATCTCGGTGCTGAAAATGGTGTCACTTTGGCTCTTTGGGAACCACCAGTGCCCAGTCAATCCACCAGGTCCTGGAGATTTTGCAATTTCGGCGGCAACAGCCGGGCGCCACTGGAAATTTCGGAAGCCCATTGCTGGTGCAGCGCAGTAGCCTGCCATGCTGGGCAGTGATACCTTGTGAACTAACTGGCGTCATTTACCCTCTGGTAAACTAACATAGCTATTGAAAATGGCCATTTATAGTGGATTTTCCCATTAAAAATGGTGATTTTCCATAGTTATGTTAGTTTACCAGAGGGTAGATTCATTATGTGGTAAGCCCACTGCCATAAACCATCCACTAACCAAACCATGACTGGGGGCATGAAAAACATCATCCCAGTCATAGAGGATCATAGAGCTATATCCAATGCCATAAACCTCCATTGGGGATGTTTTATGATAAACTATGGCATTAGGGTTCACCACATTAATCATAACTAGACCATACGATAACTATAACTCAACATTTTTTTTCAAATCTGGTGACTCATGGTGTTTTTTCCTCCGGCCAATCGCCTAGCCTCGCCTAGCCCAGCGGGCCCAGCAGCATTGGACCATGGTCAGGATTCATTGGCCAAAAAATGCCACAAATCCAATAGCGGTTTATCATTGGGTGTTTTCCTATGATTGGGATCATTTTTAAGATGACCTCCAGTCATGGTTGGTTAGCACTGGATGTTTTAAGTGGATCTACCACATTTATTATCCCAGCACAGCCCCACAAGGTGGGTGCTAGGCCCTAGCCCAGCTCTGGCCCAACTATCTGAAGAAGTCATTTCCAGGAAAAACCCTGCATGGAGATCCAAAAAACATCCTACACCAGAAGACAAAGTATGCATAATCCATCGTATTTGCAATATGTCATGGTACTCAATCTAATGCATTCGCGACAAGGCTACTGAATGGTCAATGGCCATGAGTCCGCCGTCAATATGTCCAGCTTCGAAGTATCGCGAATCCAAATGGGTATCTAACATGATTTAAGCATCTTCAATGAGGATCGTTTGCAGAAATTCAGGGAAGGGATCGTTTGCAGCACACTTCAAAAACCACCCTCAGGCCAGTACAGCATCATCGTGACAAATTCAAGGCACATCCTACATGAACTCAGGTGATATTCAGTAACAAGACTGGGGAATTGATAGATGTTGATAGATGGCTAGAGACGCTGTGAAAAATTGCCCCACATGTTTTCAGCTTCCAAAAATTGACGTTGCCAAGCAGCAGCTGTTGATAGCTCCTGTGCGCCACTCTTCAACAGCTCTAGACGGGCCTTCGCCTGTGCTAGACGGAGTAGGAAGCTACTGATGGACAACGAAGGATGTGTAAACATTTAAAGATACTCGTACTGCACCCTCAAGCTCTATCATGCAACAGAGTAGTAGCCAGCATTATCAGTATTGGCTCATCCACAGCTGTGCAAGCCATCTGATTTTCATACCGCATCTTTGAATGTCGATGCATTCCTCACATATTCTTGTTGTCTATCAACTTCACCCAGAGTCATCAGATCACAACTTTGCAGGCCTCCTGAGCGGTGAACATGGGAAACATTGTGCCTCAACGTCCGAAACGTTGCCAAAAAGCAGCGATCTTCAACCAAAAAGTCGCTTGGGTGAGTCAGGTGCTGTCAAAAATCCGCAAAATGCGGATTGTCGAACCTTCTGAGTGGATGTTTTAAATCTTGGTTCGAAAAGGGTGCACAAAGTCCGCATAATATAGTGGGACAATGCATATGAAAGACTCCCTGGCCAAACCGGCAGGACGTCTGGAAGTATATAGCAATTTTCCATCAAGAAAGCTGCTGCCCGACTTATTCGTAAATCAGAAATTATTTCCTTCAGAGCGTATACCTACGACTAAGACCACAGAGTATCAACCATAGGCAGTGGCTGATTTTCTTTTTGTCCAATCTGAACCAGCTCGACTGTGAAGAAGCGTCTTCAAGAAATTGTAAAATCGATATATCTTGAAATCAATGGCCTGGGGTCATTTTGCAGATGATGCTTGGTATGCATTCATCTACACACATGGGGGCCTTCTCCATGGATTTGTTTAATGCTCTTTTCTGGACGCTCCTCCTGATTCTGCCCCTCCATCTGGCAGTGGGTCAACACCTTGTACCCCTGTAGTTCACATCAAAATAGCTGGGTTAAAATGGATGTGAATAACCCCCTAAAAATGGTATTTTCATAGGTATTGATCCATAGCCATCTGCCAAAGAGCTTGTGGTCGTGGTGTTCTCCAAAAGTCCAACGCTGCCAACCAGACTTTGTCCAACGAAGAGGGGCTGCATCAAGTGTTGCCAGACCTCGGAAAAACTGCCAGCCCACCTTGACCCTTTTCACCAAATATATATATATATATGTAGTATAATGTAATGCAATATAATATGATATAATATAATATAATATAATATATAATATAATAAAATATAACATATATATATAATATTATGTATATATATATATTATGTATATATAAAGTAGTTAGGTTTGTCTGAACTTGAGGCCAGGGGGTAGGTACGAAAGCTAGCGGGACGCTACTCATGTTGTACAAGCCTGAAAGTTTCAGGGAATCTAACGGTCTACCGTATTTTGAGAAAAATACCACATTTTTGGCCGAACCCATTTGAAGGTCAAAGTGTAAGCTAGCAGTTCCTTGGATGTCTCTTCTACGAAGCCCCTGTTTCCATCGTGATGTTGATGGAGAACATTCTAGACATTGATAGGCGACCGAGCAAGCACCCTTTCCTAGCCAAACATTTATATTGTATATGTACATGTGCTATGAGTTCGGATGAAAATAAACAACACTGAATCACGAAAATAGAAATTGTCAGCATTTCACTTCCATGGCACACTTCTCAATTGCATCTGGGGAGACTGTGTGGTGGGCATGGCTTAGATATGCTGTCTGTTTGGATCCGCTACGATGAATCTAATTTGCTAGGCCTGCGGAGGACGATGTTCCATGATGTTCCATTGCTCTGCCATCAGAGCCATCGCCCACGGATCATGAAACAAGACCGTAGGTTAGCAAAACCCAATGATTGTCTTCCACTTGCCATGTTTCAGGGACACACTGTCGCACAGCGAAACGGCCAAGATGCTGTGGCGTTTTCTGGGATCTTGTCCACAATAGCCTTAGATCGTGACAGGTTATAGGCACTGGGCATGAGGGGTTTGCCCGGAATGCAATGCGTTTCGGGGAAGACGTTTTTTCTGCGCGTTCACACTGTCTTGTAACGCGGGTTGGATGGAAAGACATACCCCCCAGCAAGTTCAGGTCGGATTTGGCAAAACTCAGCAGGAATCAGCCTTGTTTTATCAGCGAAATCAAAAGCTTGTTTGGCCACAACCATATGCATATCTCTGCATGGAGGAGATGTAATCTCGAATGTACACGTCAAGAAACATGGATCGCTATGGTATTGTTGGATGGGGGAACTTAAGATGTTTAATCTTTCGCCATCGACTGATGGGTAAGCCCCATGGTTGCTTTGTGACACTCGTGTACGACACATCCCTGGGGCCTTTGAAGTCTGTCGAATTTTGTGGTTTACATAATTTTGACAGGGATCAAGTCTCCTCACCAAGACATGACTCCTATCCCACATCTATAAATCTTGTGTATCTGCATGCAGAATATTGTTAGGCAAATGCCTGTTGGGCAGGTCGTACAAGTGAATCGTAGGAGCAAAGCGAATAATGTCTAGCAGCTGTTTGTACATTGCAAGAGTAGACAAGCAAAGTTCATGTAGAAGCAATGTTTCTTTTTATAAAATTCGGTTGTTGAGTTCCCTGCATTGTAGATCTGCTCGATGTCCACCAATCTATCGCCAGCCTTCGGGCAGCTCGGGATAAGCCATCGAATATCCATTAGCCAAGTAAAACACAGCTGCAATGGCTGCAATGTGCTGATGTGTTGATCCATCCACCCCCACCCAGCCCTGTGCCCTGTCCGTTCACTTCATCAGTGCCGAATTTCTGATTTGATGACAGTTGAGTGGGAACGTTCACATCAGCCGCGCACGGCAAACAGAACCCCGATTATGGTTAATTCACCAGAACCAGGATCACTGATCTCTAAATCACAAGTTTTCCACACATGTTCAATGATATTTCACGATTTTGGACACACTTCTTGCGCGTTTCAGCCTACGATCCTTGTGTTTTGAATTGACAGAAAGGTGGAAGCATAGTAGAGCAGGAAATTCAAATTCAACGGAGACTTTGACATCTTTGGCCAGGTCCAGGTAAAACGTGCACCGGAAAGTTCTTGAGTTTATCTTAACCGTACCCCCATCCACTCCTATGTGTTCGACTGATTTGGAAGTCCTTGCGACAAGAAGCAGTCATGCCGCAAGTGTGATTATGACTGCACGCCTCTTGCGTAGCAAATGTACTTGCAGCATCCGCCCTTCAAATTTGTGAAGTACATCTTCCGCGTACCTGCTGCTAGTGCTACTACTCCTCCATCTCCTGGTCGCTCCTGCTTCTCCTGCCCCTACGACCACCATTACAACTACGACTACGACTGGGACAGGAAATCCGCAAAATGCTAGCTGGACTACCCGTCAGCATTGTATCCAAACAAATAAAGAACGGCCTGACACAGGAGGGGTGCATGCTTGAGCGGAGTGGAACTTTGCACTAACATGCAACCTCACAACCAGTGTTAGGGGCAGCTCGCGAAAAGTTCCATTGCAGAGAGATGTTTGTTTGACGCCCATGCGTGGGGGGCCGCCGGCTGGGAGACCACGGCAACATTCTATCTTTCAAGTTTCTTTGCAACACCAAGATCACCAAGGCTCGCTTTCTGATGTGGTAACCCCACAGTGCCACAGTGGGTCTCATTGGTCCACGAAATTCACCCTAGCTTTGTGCCCCTGAAAAGGGCGATGATCCATCCTGTTGCATCAATCTGTCCGCCTCCAGTTCCACGCAGCGCTGTATGTGTGTGTCTGTGCAGCAGGGGTGTACACATTTCAAATGGGCACAGTATATGAACAGCATCTTTTGCAAAATGAATCTTTATAAAGCGGAAATCAGACCCGCCCCTGGCGTTTCTTGAAGCACTTGCATTCCTAAAATACTTCGCCTGAATGTGCCGCAAACCCATCTCTTGGCTGGTCACGAGTGGCCGTTTTCAGTATTAGTCTTTAATAATATATATATATATACATATATGTCATTTCATATAATATAATATGTATATATAATTATATATATATGTAGAGAGAGAGAGAGATGTGTGTTTGCAGCTTCAAGATGCATTTTCTATCGATTCTTCCGTTTCGATTCTTTCGGCACGGCACGGCCTCATTCACCGAGAAGGCAGCACCCATGGCAGCCACCTCAGCACTCCCTGCAGAGTGCAACAGAGGCATTGGCCTTGGTCGATTGGTCCGAACCTGGATCTGATGGAATATTTGGAAAAGTCAAAAACCTAAAATATATTTTAGTATATTTAATATACTTAGGTGTATATATATATTTAATATATTCTAATATATTTCAGGTATCGGTACCCTAAAATAGCTGGTTCATGAAGGTCTATTCCTGGTATGGCAACAGATTTGGAGCCATCCCCAGGTCTCGTTGGTGCTGAAACACCTAAGATATGCGGTTGTCTTAAAATGTTGGGGAAGCCCAAAAAAAATCTAGAGCTTTATCATCATTTCCGCACCTAAGAAACGTTGCTGGATTAACTCCCAATTTTTCAGGTTTTTCAGGTACCATACCCATATCTGGTGGTTGGAACCCTCCCTGAAATACGTCAAAAAACAACATAAGTCAATGAATGTTGATCATGTTTCATGAAAATCAATGATGTTTGAAACATTTTGAAACCATCAAACAGATAAAATCAGATAACCAGATATGTTTGAAACCATCAATGGCGTTTGAAACCGGTTTTTGGGTACCCCAGCGGGAGCCCAAATCTGTAGCTGATCAGGTCGGGTCGTTTGGGGATGGTTCTGTGCCCCAAGTCATGAAAGTCTGCTTGCACCCCAAAAAACTATGGAAAAATCAGACATATTATATATATATAATGATGTGTATATATATATACATATACCTATATACATATATACATATACATATATATATATACATATTAATGCATGTAAATATGTACTAATATTATGTATGTATACTTCGCTGGGGTATAATATGGTTCCTGGTCTTGTTGGTTATTACTAGCGGGGATGCACCCCCCCAAGTAGGCCAGATGACAACAGAGCTCTCTGACCAACAGGAAGGCCCAACTGTAGCGCCTGCGCCATCTGACAACCATCAATAGATACAAACAATGCCTGTCAACATCTATTCACTATATATGTATTACTCCTCGTATTTCGTCATAATTGTAATCCATCCTAATTCATCCTAATTCAATATACTCAAAAAGTGTCGTAATGTATTTGTAATTCAATATCATCAAAAGGTGTTTTTTGTTTATTTGTATTGTATCATATCACACTTTATCATCCGGCAAGTCCTGCACACTCCTAAGGCGGCCTCTAGGCCTATGTACTTCCAAGCTGCTTGAAACCCAGTGCCACCAGTTGGCAGAGCCCAACATCTCAAAATTGGAGGCCCCACAAGTGCCTGATCTCCTTGAGTATTTGAAATATCGAAATTTAATCATCTAATTTTGATGGACCAATCTTTTGGCGCCATACCAATCCTTATAGGAGTGCTGGACTGGCATGTTGCTGTCTGTGATTCCCAAGCCAATGGGCATTGCCAAAGGAGCGGCCCAAAATATCCGAGGCCATAGAGTAAGTAGACAGGGCCATCGCAACATGGCAGTGGGTCAAAACCTTGTACCCCTGTAGTTCACATCAAAATAGCTGGGATTTATGGATGTTCATCCCACTAAAAATGGTATTCATAGGTATTGATCCATAGCCACATTCCCATCGCAGGGAAGCCGATCTGCAGCCTTGGCTGTCTCACAAGCAATCCAGCTGCCTGGGCTGAGGAAGTCACCACTGCAGCTCCATGGAGCGATGGACAGCGGAAAATCGTGGGATTTCTTTGTCTCAACCATGGATCCCGAAAACCAGAGTCACAATTAACAAAACTTCAGAACATATCAAACATATCTGGTGTTATTTTTTTCTACAGGTATTCTGTCAAACATATCAAACAAATTATAAACACAAAAAAAAATAGATTAAATGGACTCGAAATGTTGCTCCCACTCTTCACTGAGCACATCAGCAGAGTGTTGAATCATTGAAGTGAGTAAATGCAACCCATATGGGAAAAGAGTTGAATGTCTGCCGCTACACAGCGCAGCCAGAAAAATGCACAATGCTACGCTGAAATTTCGCCCCATCCACATGGCCTTACACATCTTACACTTGTGGGTAAATTGCATAGCCTCTGGTAATTTAACATAGCTATTGAAAATGGCCATTTATAGTGGATTTTCCCATTAAAAATGGTGATTTTCCATAGTTATGTTAGTTTACCAGAGGGTAGCCCATGTTCAGAATGTTCAGACACATCCAGATTGCATGCCCTGGTTGTGTTTCTCATATGGTTCATCCTTCGCAACCAGGGCACTGGGAGTCGCAGTAGTGGCACAAGTTTCACTGACGCGTGCAAACGCATCCTGGAAAATCATTTGGCTGTTGCGATGTACCCTCTGGTTATGACTAACAGTTCGCCATGGTTTTTCGATGGCCCTAATCGAAATAGATGATGTTCGCGACAAAAACCTCCATTTATGGTTGGGAGTTTCCATGGCGAACTGGCAATGTCATAACCAGATGGTATATCATGGACTGATGGACCCAAAGCAGACTGTTGATGTTTCGCAACAAAAATCACCATGGCGACTGTATGGGCCGACATTCTGTTGATCAGGTACTACAAATACCCAGACCCACATTAATGATACATATGATTCATATGATCTAATGATATCTAATGTAATCAAAACCTAACATGTTGTCACATTAACATCTCCTTCCCAGAACGGGTGTTGGAAGCATTTCCACTCACATTCAGCAAGTTCCAACGAAATCTCATCTGATGTCTTTTCATCATTGTCATCATGATGAATCATCATGTCAGTCCGGATTATGATCATTCCCAATATTATATAGTGTATATATATATATAGGGTAGATCCAAATCCCCTGTAATAACTGCCTATATATAGTATGGCTTTTGAACATTACATATATTACATGATGATCGCTTGGTGATATGCAGTATACGGGTAAGACATCCCCATTAAATCCCCGCGTTCGCGGGCCTCCCAGAGACCCCCTGAGATGTCTTCACTGGTCAATTCCAGTGCTTCCTGGAGATTGGTCGAAAAACGAAGGGAGAGGAAAAATGGCTGCTGATTACTGGTGACTACGAAAAAAACTGGTGATGGGAATCTTCAATCCAGTTGGGGTAGATTAGTAGATTGGCAAAAATTTTGTTTTGAACCAAAGCCCAATATCAAAGTCAGTGAATATGTGAGGATTGCTTTAAAAAAAACAATTCTTTGCCCATGTTTTCGCTATTTCAGTGCGACTCGATTCCCCCCAGGTTGTGGATGATTTTCTCAGCTTCTTTTACTAAGAACTGATGAGTTTTGGTCAATCCTTAACTGCCCTAACTGGACAAGCTGGTCGCCAGGCCCTGGGGCTCTCCTTCACGAGAAGTTCTCGTCCTTCCAGACTAAAATCCTGCGGAATTCCGGTGACAGAAATGCCCACTGAAATGCTGTTCATCATTTGCCAAGGAAAGAACGGCTTACTCTGGAATTTCTGAAGACCTTCGTAGAAGGATGTAGAAGGACTTTTTTCCGGGAAACAGCTCTCAAAGACCCCGATTGAAAAGAAATCTGTTGGACCAAATTCGGATGCATTGGCGTCAAAGGCAGTTGTTGTATCTTTTTGTATGAATCGCATCCATGTTCACCATGGTCATAGGGATCGTCGTCCGACGGACCCTTGCCAGAAAAGATTACCCTCAAACATCTGTCTGCAACAGGAGGTGGTCGAAACCTGTTTTACACAAGAGTTCCAAAGCAGGGAGAAACTGAAAGGCCTGGTGTGGGAAACATTTAATTAGCTCGCCAAGCAAAGATTTGAGTGCATCTTTTTTTTCAAGCTTGGCCTGGATGAAGGACCCAGCTTCCATGGTGCCCCAGTGGCTGCCGGTTGAGATCATACCTGGGAAAAGCCTCGACCAGAACCTGCTGAAAAACGGTTACACTCTGTTCATGGCTGCGTCATCACTGCATCGCTGAGCACCTCTTCATTCTCCATGAAACCATGAGTAAAGACCTGGGTACTGCAAGGTTCTCATTGGCTCTGGTCACGCAAGACCAAAACCAAGCGCTAGACCGGGTCGCTGCACTCCCACTCTTGCAAGCGGGTAAATGTCGGTGCACATTTGTGTGCACTATAGCTATGAAATCGCTTATGAACATAGTGAAAAGATCTTCAAACATGTTCCAAAATTTCCAGCTTGTCCAATGGTTATTCAATTATCGTTTTTTCTATCAGTTAATTGAAGCTGCAAACAAATGGTTATCGAATATCCAACAGTTATCATGTGACATCATAATATTGCACTGTAATAAAAAATGAAAATAGTAGTATATAACTTACATAACATGTAATATAGAATATCTAATGGTTTTCCAGTTTTCCCTAGACTACACTTACCAAAAGAAACCAACAAAAACGTGGAGAAACCCCTCCGAAAACCCCATGGCTTCCCCGGGTGTTTTTTGTGTCGCTCCTCAGAGTCGGCGAACAAGGGATTCGTCGACACGGCCGAACAGCAGCTCCTCACCGCGGTGACCGCATTGTCTGTGGTAGTGGTAATAGATTGTAATATATCTATATATACATCATATATATATATGTGTATATGTATATGTATGTATCTTGTATCTTGCATAGATTGTAATACTGTAAATTATATATATATATGTGTGGTAGTGGTTTATGATAGTTTGTGTATATAATATGTATATATATATATACACAATGTGTTGTATGACATATGACATTCAACAGCATCTGACAAAGTTTTCCAGGGATTGTAATGCTCACAACGGGCATTACGGCGGAAGCGGCGCGGCGCAGCGGCGCACCCGCCAGCGTCGTAGAAGAAGACTCGCAGGAAGTAGCCTGAGGCCTGGTCCAAATGTCAGTGGATTCCGATGGATCCCACAATAAGCTGTTTTGGAATGTTTTGGAAACAAAAAAATATCGGGAAAGTCCCAAAAATAACTCTGTTTGAGATGTATCTACTTTTGTCACTCACTTTTCTTCAAGATGTATGTCAGATATGTCAGGATTCACCAATATCATCCAATATGATCGCCTCTGGAAGGCCAGTGGGGAGCTGAAGGCCCCTCTTCACCATCACAGCATTTGCTCCGTCCAAACTGGAAAGGTGCCTTGGTGATTCCATTTCTTTGGGCCCAGTTGCAGCTGGACAGGAAATATCATTAAGTATCATCATATCCACTATCTCCTACGTTTTAAATGTGTGTATCCTGTAGTCATTTTCGTTGTACTCTGATAAGTTATATGTATATGTATGTGTATATATCATGCGTCGTATTTAATTGTCGTGATCTTTGTGTGGGTAGGTCATTGGGTCATTGGGCAAGAAAAGTCGCAGAGGGCGTCGAAAGTGAGCCCTCCCTAATCCATCTGATCGGTTGATCAACAACCATTGGGTAGATGGTACCAGAACGGCCCCTCAGTCCTCAATGGACAAGCACATCGTGGATTATTTTGGACAAGCAAAATGATATTCATCACCATCACCATCACCATCATCATCATCATCACAATCATCCTCGTCATCCTTATCCTCATCATCTATGTGAATATGTATCTGTATATGCATATATTTCTCGATATATACATGAAATATACGTATATATCTATATATGCAGTTTTACCTTTAATCCATGTGTATCAAAACTGTCAAAACTGATATGCAAAAGATATCAGTTGTCCTTGAGGTCCCTGGATCTAGGCATCCGAGCTCGAGCTCTGCGCTGAAGAAGTCCCCAAGCTCCGCCATCTGCAGCTCCAAACAAGCGCAGCTTGTGACATGTCCACTAATTTGATTGCCATGGTCATAATACATCATGATACATCATGATATGTCATGATATGTCATGATACATCATCATATGTCATCATATGTCATCATATGTCATCATATGTCATCATATGTCATGACGGTGTTCATGACGGTGTTCATGATTACCCCCGCCACTAGCACACCCAGCACGAGCATCAGCACCACACCACCGCCAGTATCATCTTCGTTGCTGGCTGCATGTTAACTGTAGTGATCAGTGATAATACTGGTGCTACTTACGATGACCACCAGATTGCAGGATGGACACAACTCGCCATTGAATGCAGCTGGCAGCCACTGCTTCTACTGATTCAGCAGCAGCAGCGACGACGACGACCACAACAACCACAACAACCACAACGAGCACCACGAGCACCACGAGTACCACGAGTACCACGAGTACCACGAGTACCACGACCACGAGGACTAAGACAAAGACTACCACAAATGTCGGGGCAGAGAGTTGTATATGTCGTATACCACGTTGCTGATCCACTCAATGAACTGGCATGGTTCTGAAGAAAGTCTTTAAAGAAAAGATGCTTGCAATTGTCCTCTTAGGTCACCTAGATCAAGCCAGGAAGGTTCTTGATGAAGATTGCAAATGCAGAACAGCCCTTTTGCCATATCCCACCTCCACACCATCGAAAGCATCCACTTGACGTTGCATCAACTTCACACGGAAGAAACCACTGAGGCAAAGTCCAGTTGCAACCTGGGCAACAAAAAAGGGCCGCATCGTAGCGCCAACAAGGAAATGCTGGAGAATCGCATTGCGGATATCTTAGCCACATGAAGACGCTTGCAAATCCTGAAGCTAGGTCATCATAACTTTGGACAAAGAGTGTACAAGTGCATATCTTGTCATATCTTGTCATATCTTGTCATACATATCTTGTCTATCTCTATGTCCTTACACATTTGCGTTTTGCACAGGTTCTCATATGTACCAAATCCTCAATGGATCCAAACATGGGAGGTCCCGGACTCTGAGCTTCCAAGCTGTGCAGTCACCATACGTTGCATCCAGTTGCCGCTGCGAAAGGCCTTGAATGCTCCACCTTGCTGCAATCTCTGAACCCTGGCCGCGGCTGGGTCATGCTCAGCATTTGATACAGTTTATTCAAGTTTTAAGTGTTACCAAGTAACAGATCAGTCTCTTCACAGCTACGTGGCACTTCGTGGCACTTCGTCAAATGTTCAGTGTCTCCCTGCCTCACAGAGTGCTTCAGTATCAACGCTGGAAGGACAGCGTGGGACATCCTGCAAGTGTCAATGAGACTGCGCTTAAAATTCATCAACCCGACACTGGTGCGCCTTTTTGGCAGAGTTTCGCAGAGTTTCACAGTGCCATTCCATGGCAACAGCGACAAAACTCTGAAAAACAGGAACTGAATAAACCCATATGAATCATATGAGAGTAACCAATCTCTGATTGATTCCTGCAGCTCCTGGATAAGCAGACACAAGTCATGAATGCCTCACGCCTGCAACACCTTGTGTCATGTGCACTGCGAATCCAGGTGTCTGAAGATTGAGTCTTGTTGACTTTTGTCAGTTGGATTCCTAATGAAAGCTTGAAACACATGTCAATTTTGAGTATCAAACCATCTATTTTTGCAATTTTAGTGGTGCAACGGTCCAATCCTTGTCACAACGTCCCAACCTTTGGGTCCTCCCGAATTTTCCCGCCTGCAGCTCCAATCCGGTAGCCATCCTGACCTCAACCAGTTCATTTCACCCCCTTTCGCCTCCATCCTGGTCATTCCAAACAAATCCGCAAATTGGGGGCTGCTTTGGGGGATGTTTAGATATCCACTGGACCATCCTCCACAACTCTAGAATAAATGCATCGAAAACATTAACGTGTCTATGTAATAAAGTATTATCTGTGTTTTTCACTACTTGCTATGTAGTATACGTAAACATATACTACATACATACAATTTCCATACACCGTGCTCAATGACTCCCCAACCAGCGACCAAAAATCGACCAAAACACACAGCGGCCGGAAGCCATGCCGCCGCAACCAATCCGCGCCTGAAATGGGAAATGGATGGAAATGGGATAAGCCCAATGGGAGTTATTAAATTTAACCTATGGAATTCCGAACATTCTTACAAAAAAAAACAATTCCATTGGTGAATCATCAATGGTCCTGTAAAATGATGAAAATATTTGGGTTAAATCCTAATTTTCAGACATCCAGATGTCATCGTTATCAGCCGCTTTACGGATGAGTGCATTAAAAAACTAGTCTTTTCACATACTTTCTTTACAGAAAATCTATGGAATTCATTAGATTCCAAGAAGAGAAGCAGGACTCAACGGACCATTGATAGGCAATGGCGCTGCAACAGGCCACATTTCTAGGGGAAAAAACCACTCGGTTTATCAAGAGTGACTTCGCATATATATGTTGGACTATTTCATATATGAGTATCATATGGGGATGGGTCAAAACCAATAGTACCCCTGTAGTTCACATCAAAATAGCTGGGATTTATGGATGTGAATAACCCCCTAAAAATGGTATGTATAGGTATTGATCCATAGCCATCTTAGCATTATATGAGTAGATTCTGGGCACTTTTTATTCGCATTGAGTATATGAATTCCCCGGATTTCCCGCAGTGCAACTCGGCCAAGGCACCCAAGCACCGGTAAGCTGTAGCCCCTCAACCAGCTCTGTGGAAGTTGGTTCGGTGCATTGGGCACATTCTAAACATGCTTCTGAGACGTCCTGTGCTGGTGGCTGGTGGCTGGGATACCATTTCCGAATCAAAAAAAAAAACACACTGCGAAAATTCCGCCCTGAGGGGCACTGTGAAACCGCTGTTTTTATTCACAGTGGATCCACAGGTAGCAACTGCCAACTCAGATCTACCAGCCGTTCCGTTGGTCAAAATGTCTCGTCTCGGGTCTGCTGTTCGGTCCTCATACCTTCCTTTGCTGCATTCGGTGCAAACCTGGTGGCATCTCTAGGGGTGGATGTGGATTCCAGTGTGGATATGTTGGTTTCGTTACCCTCTGGTAAACTAACATAACTATGGAAAATCACAATTTTTAATGGGAAAATCCACTATAAATGTGGTATTTTCAATAGCTATGTTAAATTACCAGAGGGTAATTCCACCTTTGGGCTAGTAACGGCTAGTAGCATGCACCAGGTGCATGACAAAATCATGCACCCGGATGGTTTTTTTAGGTCCAGAAAATGATCAGCCTTCTACAGCTCCATTGAAACCCCAGTTTTGACCCATCAGCATATCTAAATTACTAAAGGTACCTGATCTGGTATCTAGACCTACCAATTCTCATTGTGGGAGGACATAGGGTGTGTTGCACTCGAAGTTGAACAAGACCCAAATGTGCCAGCAACAGGATAGAAATTTCCGGTAGAATCAACGGCAAAATGAGGTGAATGTGCTCGCAATTGTCCAATAACAAGAAACATATCACATAAAGAAACATGAGCAACGCAGCAACTGGCACATATGGACAATTGATCATGATATGTCCACCCATATAGAAACATGATGATGATCCGTTTTTGGCCCTGGCCCCTTGCCTGGCACCCCAGTCCGCTCATGATCAATCCTGGACTGGGTATCCCCAACTCCTTGTTGCTGTCCACCGCAACCATGTCGAATGCGTTCCTGCGACATGTTGCAATCACCAACAAGTAGCCTCCAGTCTGCCAGTGTCATCAAACATGGATGGAAAAATTCACCTTTTAACTTCCATGCGTTGAAAAATCCATCTATAAACCTCCATGGATTTCGGGAATTTTCCCAGCCACCTTTGATGACACCAGTAGATGAAAAGTCAGTCAGTCGCCCCGGTCCAAAGGGAAGCAGGTAAAGCAGTTCCGACAAAAAGGCGCGGCAAAGAAGCTTCCACCCTGGCACCAAATGGATCATCAATGACCATCAATGACCATCAATGACCATCAGATCCTCTAAAAGCAATGGCTTGCTTAAAATTTACACGATTCAAACCTACCTTGTACTTTTTGAACAAAGATCACAGCAACAAATCCTACCTGACAAGGTGCACAATATCCCGGACTGGCACCACCTTGGTAGATGAAATAGATTGACGTTGGCATCATGGCATTGCAAATTCTATTCAGTTCCATGTGTATCAGAATCTGGCTTCATTGATGTCTATGTTTATACATGTGCATATAAAGATATATATATATATATAGAGAGAGAGAGATATGGATATAGATTTAGATATTGGTATAGATATGGATATATATATATGCAGTATCTACCTCTCTGTCTATCCATCCGTCCGTCCATCCCTCTCTCTCTCTCTCTATTTATGTATATATATATGTATATATATATGTATATACTTTTATATATAATATACTTATTTGTATTTCTAAATGTTTATGTATATGTATATATATATATATTCATATCTATTTATACATATTTGTCGATTCATGTACTTATTCATTCAATGACTTATATATGCATAGCTATACCTATGTGTATATATCTACATATACATATGTGTAGGCATGTAATATGTATGTCCGTGTATGTATGTATATATATAATACATGTACACATTCTATACGTTAATACCTGTTATGTATTTCATATATGTATATGTATGTGTATGTATGTATATACATATATGTATAATACATGGATATGATGATATGATTGAAACCTGCAAGGAAACAAGAATTCGTTTTTCTGTGCTACACTCATTTCGGGGCCCCTTTTTTTGTTGAGGCGAAAGCACGGGTTCATCGCCACTAAAAGGGGCAAGTCCTTAGTATGTGGTGACCAAGGTACCACAGCCCACGCGCATATGGCCCGTAGGACACTCCTGGATTTGGAAAAATATGGCATTCTGTGAAATCCCAAACCATATTTGTTATGGAAAAATATGGCATATGGAAAGTGTGTGCATGTGAAAACCTGTTTCAGATGCGAGCATTGTGGATAAATCTGCAAGCTAGATGGGTCTGGCGGCCCCATTGTGGCTGTGCAACAGCAAGAGTTTTGCAGTCAGAAATCTCTTTCGGAAAAGAGGTGAAGATAGGTTTAACATCATTTAACATGATTTAACCTGATTGAACTGGAAGCAGCAAGTGAATCTTGTCCAGTCCTCACAGGGCAAGCATGGATCCGTATAGGATCCTTCCAACCTGTCGTGGCATTGCCATGACCAGATTCCGAGCATATCCGGATTACCCAAGACCTTGTCCAAATCTTCGACAATGACGCCATATGAAAACCAACCTTTAATCATCGGAATCTCTGCTTTAATCTTTAATAGACATGATTACCGCTCTCTAAAACTGTTTTTGTTTGCGCGCGAGAAGTCTCAATATAATCTTGGTCATTGTCATCCAACTGCTAGAAACAGTAATTTGCTGTGACGCATTGCATTTAGCTGTACTTAGCTGTATATACAGTAAGTCTGCTAAGAGTGAGCCATCCCAAACATGTCAGAAGTGCCCCTTCAATTTGTATTCCTTCCCTGCTTCACATTCATTGCAAGTTCCCTGCGTCGAAGGTCCACAGCGGCGGCGCACCCTCGCAGCGATTCTCGCAGTCACTGAATTTTGCTGCTCTACAATTTACAGGAATGTTTCAGATGGGTTCAACTTCCAAGCATTTTCTATGGGAGGGCGCAGCTAAGCCGATTTAAAATACATGGTGAATTGCAGCAAGGATTTTTTCTCCAAACCCGCTGTGGAGAGGGGGGAACGAATGGCGTGAGCTTACCATCAGGCAACACATGAAACGATGCCTCTAATTGATCTACGCCAAGTGGTGTCAGCAGTGTGTGTGTATTTATGGATCTTTGAGCTATTGCTATTGATCCTTTTATACACAACATACACCTCTAATCAAACGTGGCTGGCAGGAAATCCCTAAACTAAACGGAGGTGCCTGCCAGCTTCACAAGGTTGGCAGGGCTCACATTCGCTTCCCGCATAGGTGTAAAGATTGAACCTGAACCGGGCTGTTGGGTTGAAGTGCGCTGCCAACGCACAGATATCTTAAACAATATACATTTCAAAATCTCTAGATAGCATGTGTATGTGTATATATCTATATATACGTTACATATATATTTATTTATATTATAATTATATATCCGCTACATATGTATATATATATATACATAACTCATATGTTAGATACCAGGAGGGAGGTACGAAAGCTGGTAGGACGCTACAAATTTGTTGTACCGGAGATGGCTGGGCTGCGTCAGAGGAAAGTTTCATGACGATGACGGTGGGCACGAATGATGATGATGATGATGATGATGATGATGATGATGATGATGATGATGATGATGTGGTTGCCAATGGTTAATACTGGCTATTAATGGTTATTATATAATGGTTATCAATGGTTGATGATGATGATGATGATGATGATGATGATGATGAAATATTGAAGATGATGATGAAATATTGAAGATGATGATGAAATATTGAAGATGACGACCCGGTGCGTGCACGCAACCCAGGTGGGGATCACTCGAAGAAAGGTAATTTCAAGCGCAGCGGGCAAATTGAGGTGGCAGCCGTGGCAGTACAAGTTATTCAAGTTATCCCACCCAAACATCCAAGATCATCCAAGATATCTTATCCCGCCCAAACATCCAAGCTGAGTGCAAACATCCAAGTTATCCCATCATTACAAGTTATTACAAGATCATCCAAGATATCATCCAAGATATCCAAATATACTGGGGATGATCACAATCCATGAGCAAATCCTATCAACCAGTATTACGAACGGCTTCAAACACCCAAAATCATCCCAAACATCCAAGGTCCGCCTTCCAACAGGGCAGTCTTCGCAGTATCCTGCGTCGTAGGCGTGGCAGTCCTTGATCACCTGGCGGCACAGATTTGTTCAACCTTGCCTTACCATTCAACTCTTAACATCTTGCTAAGATATATATATATATATATATAATATAAATAAAACAATATAATAGATATATATATATAATTGTATGTACTTAGCTAATTCTAGCGCTTCACCAGAATCAAAACTCAAAAACTCCAACTCGGATGACGGTATGAACCACCTCACTATTCATCTATTCACTTAGCACCCAGGTGGCAAGACAGGTCAAAAGAGTTGGCTTCGCCTGTCCGGGATAGCATACGGTGCAACATGAAGCGAACCAGAGCTTTCCCAAAATGATGCCATTCTCTGCCTGCGAGTCTGACGACAAAAAATCAGAGATGACATGGGGCCACCCATTTGGGCATCGGGCTAGTAACCTGACGTTCCCAAAGCGGACGGAATTCCACGCAGCAATCTCTCTGTCTCGTTGAATTTATGCGCTTACTTCAGGCTGTGCCAAAAACGTAAAACTCTAAAAGAACCAAAAATCAATCCAGTCCTAAATAAACCCTAAACTAACATCAAAGCAACTAAACCTCCAAACTTTGGGCAAACGTCCACCCCAGAGGGCAGGATCACCAACAGCTTTCACCGTTCATCCATTTCTTGTGACGGGAGAGTCTCTCATTCACCTGACAAACTCAGTCCCAGCAGACCACAAAAATTCATCACTTTGGCCACGTAAATCTCTATGGATCTCCTACAAAGTGGGGAAAAAACAGGGCGCTGCAGCCAGCAGCTTGTTATCATCGATCTATCATCTGGTTGGAATAACTGGAATAACCCCAGTTGGTGAAGCTTTCAACAACTTCGCCTCTGCGAAATGTTTGTCGGTTGTTGGCCCTTGCAGACCTGTGGCTTCCTGCACGTTGATCGCGCCTGATAGCCTCGCAGGTAGCCGTTGATGTTCCGCTGCTGACGACAGCACGTCAACCTTGAGACAAACGCAACAGCGAGCTCCAGAAAAATTGTTTCATCTATGAACACCAATACACTAAATACATCGAAATACACGATCATTGCGATGGGAAACCAGCTTTCCTAGCTCCATGGTGCCCCATGGAAGATGGATACTCAGAGCTCCTTAGATCCTCCACCACTGGATAGTGCTGATTGGCTCTGGACGTTGGTGATTCATGACTTGATATGGTGCTCCATCCACAATTCAACACAATCTACGATAAGAAGTTATCCAATAAACTACAAACATTACAAGTATCAATGGGGAAGGGAAAATACTTGAGACTTCTTAAGCCCTGGCAGTATGACATTGACAGGCAAAAAAAGATATCAATTTGGTGGAGGATGAAGTCCGTGCTTCGAACCTCATCAAAAGTGGCTGAATTCAACTTGAGCTGAGATGATATCCAAGAATGGGTTTGTCCAAATGGTCATTTTGATAGGAAAAATTGTGATAAACCATCAAAAATTGGGAAAACAAACCATTTTCCAACACTACACTTTGTGATAAACAAAACAGTCATTATTTTTAGTCAAAATTGTGATAAACCATTGACTACGAAGTAGATCCTACAGATCCACTGTAATGAATTTGAATCATGGCAGCCATGGCAGAACTGCACCTTGGAATGATAAAGTGAAAGGAAATCTCCAGCTGATCCAAGGGACGTCCGCCAGTCCGGGAAAACGTCATCGCTATAACAAGGTTCATTCCTGCCAGGCGCACGGTGGGCAAATGCACATGACAAACGTGAGTTTCTCAGCCCCAGAGGGATTGTCGTGAATCTTTACCACCCATGAAGCTGGCTTTTCCTGTTAAAGCTGGATGTATCCACCTGGGATCCGGACCGCACCGCTAAGTATCCAGGGTCACACGTCCCTGACTGCACACAGCGCATGGTGTAACCTGGCACAATGTCGCCGCATGGAAATCACTTAAGGGACCCACAAACTTGTGGACATTCCTGCATCATAAGAAATGATAGATTACATTGTTCAATTGAAGTAACAAACAATCATCATTTAATAGTATAGTATGTTGAATCGCAATATGTGTTCCTTTAATATGATACAGCAAAAAATGTTATATTGTATTATTTGATCAAAAAAACTATGAGATAATAAACTATAATATAATTTAATGCAATACAATACAATATGATATAACATAATATAGTATAAGATAAGATAAGATAAGATACGATAATACAATGTAATATACTATAAAGTGTGGCACAAAAGAATCTAATAAACAGTGTAAATTAATAGAATGGAACAACATAGAATATAATATAATATAATTTAATATAATACAATATAATGTAATATGATATAATATAATATAATACAATAGAACATAGCATAATATTATCTTGTATAGCATAGATATGATGTAATACAATATCTATTATATATATATATGTGTGTGTGTTGATGCCTATCTCTGTATAATAATACTTTGTATATATGTATATAAGATCTAAAAACTGTTTATATAGCAAAAAACTATAAGATATATGATAGAGCTGAAAGAAATCACGTAAAAAAATATTGACTAGTTTACAATTTATACAAATAATATTCATAGCGTTCTAAGAAACAAGGTTTAAGTTAAAAGATATAAGGTTAAATAAAAAAACAACAACAACAAAAAAACATTATCTAATATATACCATATAGCATGTACAAGTAGTATGCAGTTAATAGTACATACTATATGACTATATGGTATCAAAAGAATATGTATATATTATATGAAATGAAATAAACCATAATACAACAAATAAACTTCAAAGACATAATGTATAATACAATATGTACTAAAGAATATTCAATATAACAAATAATACTTTTTGAAAACACCATGTATATATATATATATCATTTATCATTATCATTATCATGCGGTGACACAGTGAAACATATTATCTAGTAAGTACCATGGAATACATTGTGTATTAACATGGCAAAGCAGAAGAACGCTTCAATATCGCCACAACAAACAACACGTTCTCCCCCAAGTTTGTTCCAAAAAGCGGCCAGTCAGTGCAAGAAGCTTAAGATTTGCCGCGTGTTTTTGCTCCAGCCTTCCAAAACACGCGTATTTACGCAATTGTACACTTTCTTGCACAAGGACAGAAATCTATTAAATAGCAAGCACACGGTAATTTTTACATGTTCGACTGTTGCCAAGCACCGAAAAGAATGCGAAACACAAGGCCATGCTCACTGTTGTGTGACCAACAAACCAAAAATAAGATTTAACATTGGTATTACGGTATGCACACAGCTTTCCAACTTTCTTGCGAATTACAGCCGATACAGATAGAGTTCCACAAGGATGCAGCAAGGATCGCTCGGTGCTCAATGGTTTGTGGAGCACCGGGTGAGCAGCGCCCCCAAGCTTTCTTGGGTTGTGCTGAAGGCTGGATTTAGAATAGAAGAACTATGAGTTGAACCGGCTCGGAAGAGCTATGGAAGCACCTGCATTGGCATGTTTCAAGCCCCTTAAGATCCTTAAGTATGCGCCCCAGACTAAAGCTGAACCCAATGAATTTATCCGCCATGCCAAGCCCCAGATTTGGACCGCAGCATCAGTATCCCACAGGTAGCTTCAGCAGAGAAACATGAGTCGTCTGAAACTTGGTCAATCTCGGGCACAGTGAAGTGTCTCGTTTCACCTCCGCTGCGGCTCAAACTGATCGGGCAAAAAAGAACCATCCACACAGACCAGTTGGGCCGTTGGGATTCATAGTTTTTCCGGGACGCCGATCGGCGGACTTTCAGTTGCCATTGGCTCCCCGGCCTGTGAATGGCACCACCATCGACCATGTGCCGTAAGCGTCAACGGTCAACCTCTGCTGGATGTCACTGATGCCAGCGTTATGTTCAAGTGGCGTGGAAATCGCCCAGCGGTTTCTAATACAAAATTCAAGGTACACATGAGATTGAAGTTTCAGTTAATTATTTCTCCAACAGGAATTCAGCACATCAAAGGAACATGTGATCTCATGATTTGCAAATTTCAACATGTTTTTTTCATCATGAAAATCTTTCTAAGCCAGAGGCCTTTTTGATCTCCAAAATCAATTGTTTATCATGTGTTTCTCATGTCTTATCATTTTTGGCATTTGATTCTTGCTTAATGCTGGAAATCATATGAAAATCCCCCAAAATCATGGCAGATTTATCTCCAAGGCGCTGCTGATGGTCTGGCACTGGTACAGAATACTCTGGCCTCCCAGCCACACAGGTGCCGATCCTGAGGTCGTCAGACGGACTCCGTTCGGAGGAGATTTTTTTTTTTGGTGGTCAATGGAACGTCAATGGAGCGTCATTGGAACATGAATGATCCATCAACGGGACATCAGAGGAACATCAATGGAACATCAATGGTTGGAGTAAGCTCGCTTGGTGTAAAGATCTGGAAAAAAAAAAACACCAAGAATGTCTCAAGATGGAACCTTGACACAACCAAGGTTAGGCTTCCGGGTCAAAAGCATCAGGCTAGGACCGGTGACTATTTATCTATCAAGGAGGAGCGCATACGATGCACAGGTGTCTTGACTCCTCCATCAACATGTGCGGATCAGCACTGCGGCACATAGATTCAACGATTTCTCATAGACTCATAGACTGACATGTTGCAATCTCTTGAATTTTGGAGCTGAATCATCTTGCGCTACTTTTGGATCAATCCGAAAAGTATGAAGATCTGAGGATCGAAGCTGCCACTGGCTTGTTTCGTCGGACCCCGTTTGGACCCCTGGGACATCGGACCCTTGGAGGTCCGGGTGCTGGTACCTCGAATGCCGTGAGGATTCCATGGAGACATCAAGCCGTTGATCCTCCAAAATCATAGGACTGCCGTGGCTCATGTGTCACATACCCTCTGGTAAACTAACATAACTATGGAAAATCACCATTTTTAATGGGAAAATCCACTATAAATAGCCATTTTCAATAGTTATGTTAAATTACCAGATGGTAACTGCCAGGATCTTCGCCAAAATTCCCATAGGTCACCATAGGCACGAGCCCGCTTCGTTGCTTTCCCCGATGCAACTGGTACAGGACCTGAAGCCGCAACCCACGGTAGAATGAACCCTCGAAGCATACTCGGTGTCACAATCATAGAAGTCATAGCACTGCAGATTGTTGATATGGTGGTTTCCATACATATCATACATATTCATAAATAGGGATACCCCAAAATGGGTGGTTTGTAATGGAAAAGCCTATCAATGGATGATTTGGGTGTAGCCCCATGTTAGGAAACCTCCAGGACTCATGCTTTGATCCACTAGAGTCTGAGCACATCCATCATGATCCAGCTATCCTACCTCCCATGCATTGCTGAATGCTCCGCCCCGTGCGTCATCGTGCGTCTACGTGTCTACCCCCCACCAGAGCATCCCTGACACATGTTTGAAGCACGCAGCACTTGCTTCCTGCAGTGCCAGCAATGCCAGCAATGCCAGCAACACGTGGCACCTCATATCCTGGCGCTGACCCGGCTTCGAGCGCCCTAGGATTTCTTGGAGAAAACACCGGGTGATTCAAGTTATGGCCGCTGTGAATTTCAGCCTCAGAGGACCTGAGAGGCCATCGATCATGGGGGGCCCGTGTCTGCCGAATGGCGCCGTATGATGGACTAATGTTGAGTAATCAACATGGGTGGCCACCCTGGAAAATCCTATGTTTTTGTTGGTGAGAAAATGATTTGGTTCTGACGTTTCTGAGGTGCTGGCTGATACAAACTTCCCACATAGGAATCTCATGGTTTGCCATTGGTTTCCTCATACTAAATCTCAGGAATCCCACTCCAAATCTCATGAATTCATATGAATTCCATTTTTGGTTTTGCTGCTCATTAGGGAGACCTTCTGTGGGGTTTTTTTGAATACGAACTTGGCATTACCCAACTTTGCCAGGGGCGTGCTTGGTTATGAGAGATAGCCTTGCAGGCCCAAACGTTTCTTGAATTTTTCGGTCTGACCCAGCCCCCCTTGCAGTCTGCCTTCGGCCGCGCGTTCACGCGCTCACACAGTTCCATGAACAAGTCTGTTCAAGTGTTGTTGATGTTGCGTGCTCTCTTTTAGCATTGATTTGACACACCAAAAAATTGCAACCACCCAAAGGCATTGGCTGTCGCTTGCTGCCAAATGAAAAAACCAATGGCTGAGATCATAGAACCAACACCCCGAGGGCAAAAAAATCGCCCAAACCTGCTACTTCTTGAGCCAAAAGAAAAAAAAACGACGCGACAATTCGCTGCCTTGAGTGGGTTGCCTTGGTCTGCCTTGGAGCGGAATACCAATCCTGGATATTTGTGTGAGCGGTGTCACAGTTCAGTCACGTCACCACAAAAAAGACTCATTGAGGGGTGAATTTTCAAAGCAAACCCTGCGAGTTTGAAAGTTACAGTATTCATATGGAGTCCATAGTCTGGTGAATTTTCGACAGTCCAACAGCCTCAAAAGCACTTCAACTTCTGACCATATTTGTGCATTGATCCAGACAAGTCACTGCGAGTGTCTACAATATGCACCCACAGACACTGGTTCCACGGTTACACCCACAATGCTCAGCATGTCGACCGGCTTCAAGTGCTGCAACTTTTTTCATTCAAGCGTTGGCTAGTGATGACCTGACATCTAAATTGATTCCACTACCAATAGGCATCATGCTGCATGGTTGGCCTGTGATTGATTTTCGTCCAAACTGCGGTTTTGAATTTTGCCTTTGACAATGCTGAAAGTGAAAATTTCATAGTGCCCAATTTGACAGGATCAGTGGATTCTGATCAGGACCAAAGGAAACGGATACATGGACCTTTCGCTTCAAAGCTCACACTTTCTTGGTGATTTCTGCCCTAAAATTCCTAAATCCATTGATTAATCATCACTTTCCCCATGGAAAAGGCAACTTTAAGGTATCCATTTTCGGAGACACCCTTACTGTTGATTTCTGTGTGTGAACTTAGGTGGTACCAGCAAATATCACGTTGCATCCATCAGCATGGCTAATCGACTGAGACTTTGGGTTTCCTATTTGAAAACCCAATTCTGTGATTGCAATAGAAACCTACATCAACGGTCATCAACGACATCTTGTGACCTTCAAGAACGGGATACTGTACATATTTTGCATCTGATAGTACTGCGAAATCAGGTCGTGACGGTCCAACAGCTTGTGCCCTTTCCCCCTTGATGTTCGATGACTGTTGGGCTACGCGGCTACCCCTTCAACAAATGAAACTTTGGAGCTGGAGCTGAGCACAACAAAAAATGTTGGCCTTCATATAGTCATCAATAGTCATCAACATGATCCCAGACCCAAAAAATGGAAAGTCTAGCGCCGAGTCGTCGCGGCCAAGTCGTCGCGGCTTAACTTTGAGCCACCAACCATTCGACCAATAGGATGACCGATGTCCGCGGAAGAGAATAACAAGCGGCAAGCGCTGTGACAACAGGTTGCCGGAGATCTGTGATGTTTCCTTGCACAAAGAAGAAACCAAACAAATCCAAAAATGTTTCTTGAAATTTAAATGGGTCTTGAAGGCCATGGAGAGAAGGTGTCCAATTTTTGGGGGCATACATGGTCAAAAAAGAATCCTCTCATTTGATGCTGCTAAATCGAGCCTCAAACATCATGTCACCCTTTTTTTTTGTGCTGTTTGTTAGTCACTGCCCTTCGGCCCAACCAGCGCATCAGAGCCTCACATTCATCGTGCTGCCATCTTGGGCTTTCTCTCCTACGCAGGGCGGCATGTCACGCTTGGGACTGGCATCAAGTGAAGAAAAGAATGCTAAAATGCTAAAAATCGGAGATATCCAAGGAAAACAAATCACATCAACAGGCTAAACGCATCACCAGTGGAACAGAATCAGCCCTTGCACTGGTCGCTCATGTGAGCTGACTTGAGGAAAGGAGAGGCAATCTTTATCAATCTTTCTCCAAATTCCAAATAGTCTGGAATATTCTTGATTTGTCAATATTTGGCAGTGTGTCAAAACCAATAGTACTCCTTCTGTTCACATCAAAATAGCTGGGTTAAAATGGATGTGAATAACCTCCTAAAATTTTTGTATTTTCATAGCTATTGATCCATAGCCATTTCATTCTTATTTTGTCTTTGGAATCTCTGAATTTCCTTGGAACCCATGATCCGGTGGATCATCACTGTCACGCTGGAACTTTGAAGCTGCACGAAGCTTTACAGGGCACCATTTTTTCCAAACGATTTGGGTGGGTTACCCTCTGGTAAACTAACATAGCTATGGAAAATCACCATTATTCATGGGAAAATCAACTATAAATGACCATGTTCAATAGCTATGTTCAATTATACCAGAGGGTACTTCCCTTCGTGGCCTCCAACTTTAGCAAGTTCATTGTAAGCAACTAAGCACTGGATAAGGACCTTGCTTCGCGGACCATTCCGTTGGTCCCGATGCTTCAAAAAACAGAGCCTCAAAAGCTTGCTACAGCGATGACCACTGAAATATTCGTCAATCTGCCTTTAACAAAGTTGGAGATAGTTGGAGTATGTACAGTTTATGGAATCTGCTACAGAATCCCAGCATCAGATCGGCAGAAGGATTTCATGCAGCGCCCGAAGATCTTGCTCGTCCATCTGCAACGGCAGAGTAACAGCCTTGACAGTCAGATGTCAGATGGCGACGTCCATTTGCCGCATTGTTGTTCCGAAAAATTACTTCTGATTTCAACTACACTGTAACCAAAAGACATGGTTTCCCGGTGCGTTTGTGTTTGTGTATGTGTTTTATTGTCCTTTTCTTGTTGGCACGGTTTTTGTGGGAGGGTAAGCTGCCACCCGGCCCATCAAAATCTTAGCTGCAAAATCAGGCCAAACAAACAAACCAAAAAAACAACCACAAATCATACCTAAAACATATCAAAACTAAAAATCATGTTAAAAACCCTCCACCCTAGTCTGTTGATATCACATTACTAGGGAGAATGCAGATGCACTTGCGCACGTATTTGATGCTGCGTTGCAGATGGGGTGGTAAAATGGGCCATCCTCCGCCAAGTCGTTTATAATATTTGCAGGATAACGCATTGTTTGGGCTGTGAAATGTAAAAGATGCTGTCGTGAGTGGTGAACACGGGATTTTCCAGTGGCGCTGCTATTGGGTGTTCCAACTGTGTGAGCGCGCGATTGCGCGGCGGATTCTTGTTCTTGTTCTTCCTTTTGTTATTGTTCTTGTTTTTGTTCTTGGTCTTGTTATTGCTGTTCTCTTATTATTGCAGTTGTTGTTCTTCTTCTTCTTTTCTTCTTGGGAGGAAAAATGGGAGACCCGGAACCAACCTTGTCACCACCCCTGAAGCAGACCATGAAATCATGAAATGGTGGACGTGAGGGTCAATCATACTTTGGGAACAACAAAATCGACTTTGTCAAACAAAGAATTCCAAGCACAGACTCAATGCAAGTAAAGTCTGATTTGGATAACATCCGAACTGCTCCTGGTGTGGGTCCCATCTCAAAGACTGGCATCTAGGCTTTTATCGTTGGGGTGAGGCTTGGACCCCTGTTGCAAGTGTCGGATCAAACTATGGGACTCCAGTCGGACTCCATGGACCATGGACGTGTGCGGGATCGCAACGAACCGCTTGGGCTTCACTTGGCATAAACAAGTTGGTCCGACTCTGTGGGCGTGCACTTGAAAGTTTTATCAGTTTTATCCATTGGGATGGTACCGATGGTACCTGATACTTTTCTTTCACATGTATTGAACATATTGTTCCAAATTCACAAGAATTTAAAACCCATCTCGAAACAAGCATCCATCGTACGGTACAACCTCTCCAAGAAACCCGCGGTTTTCGCGCCATGATAGGCACTTTCACCTTTCCCATGGGTCCATGACGCACAGCGTCGTTGGTGGCTTTCAGGAAGCGCGTCAGGGCCACAGAGTCGAATTGCCCACGCGTGGAACGTGGAGCACCAGCCGCCGCTGAAGTGCAACGACTCACCTCCTAGCAGCCAAAACTTCAATTTTTTGGGATGTGAAATCTTGTTGGGTAAAACAATAAAATAAACTCATAAACCATCCCCCAGTTTCACCATTTTTATAGGTGGTATGAACCATTCCCAGTCATGGGTGGTTTATGACATTGATTTACCCACATTAATATGGAATCGGAATAATGCTGGTCATGAAGTATGAGCTACCCGGCTAGGTAATCAAACATGGCTGGAAAAGAACTGCTGGAAGTTGTCATGGGAAAATCATTGAACTGCTGTGCTCACCCGAAAATCTGATCTCAGGGTGTTTCGCACAAGGTTTCACAGCACTGACTCGTTGAATGCAAGTTTCTCCAACTTGCGGACGGGGCTGTTGCGACCTTGTTGCAATCCTCTACAGCGCAGTGATGTGTCGGCTTGCGAGGCATTGTGTTCAGTTGTGTTGCGTTGTGCTGTGCGTGGTGCAACAATATGCCGCGTTGTGTCAAGTGTTGCTTTCAGTCTTGCACTTGTTGTGCGATGTGCTCTACCGGTGTAGCGCCTGGAAAGCACCATTCAAGGAGAAATCAGAGAGGGTTGGGAGGGGTCAGACGATTGGTTAAAACCCAGGACGCACAGAAACACGGTTCAGAAAGTTCTTCAGACTGTTCTGAATTGGATGAAGGGCTGAAGGTGTCTACCAATGCCCAGTCTTGGCTTGACAGTCATGATTTCATATACTTGTGACAACATCACGATGATTCCTCTTCCTTCGGGCAGTTTGACACCATTCAAAATTGCAAAGCTCAACTATCAAAGTATAGAGCAGTCTTGATGTGGTGTTTAAACTTGAGGCCGGGGGTGGATGACGAAAGCTAGCGGGGTAGGAGAAAGAAGGAAGGGAAGAGGTGAGTTGCGGAGGGACTGTCATCATCGTGTCGCGGCATTGTTCGTCCCAACGAGGATGCAACAATGATATATTGATATATGATATATAACAATGATATATATGGGGGAGGGGGCAGGGGGGGGCCCTTTCGCGGGAAAAATCACGTGATGTCCTTGGGGAGCCCCGGAATACGTGCTAAAGCAAGAAGACTCTAGCGAGCTGACGCTAGCTTTCGTGATAATGACAATAATTGCCAATAATGATAAAATGTAATTGAATAACGATGATGATGATGATGATGATGATGATGATGATGATGATGATGATGATGATGATGATGATGATGATGATGATGATGATGATGATGATGATGAATGATGATGATGATGATGATGATGATGATGATGATGATGATGATGACGAGGATGATGATGATGATGATGATGATGACGATGACGATGACGAGGACGATGACGAGGACGACGATGATGATGATGATGATGATGATGACGAGGAGGACGAGGACGAGGACGATGGAGAGGACGATGACGATGATGATGACGATGATGATGACGATGATGATGACGATGATGATGACGATGATGATGATGATGATGGTGGTGATGGTGGTGGTGGTGGGGGAGGGGGGGGGCCCCCTTTCGCGTGAAAAATCACGTGATGTCCTTGAGCAGCCCCCCCAATACTTGCTAAAGCAAGAAGACTCCAGCTAGCTGACGCTAGCTTTCGTGAAAAGAGCCTCGGGTTTCCTATTCAAATATTTTAAAGACCACATTATTCTTGAAACACCAACAAAGGTCTTGGCAAGAACAGAAGTTTGCCAGCTATATAGTTTGATCAAAGCTCTCTAGAATCACCTGCAAATACAAGAAATGAGCCCAGATTCCTCCTTGGCACATTCAGTGACGCGCTCGCGCAAGGATTTTACCTTAGGCAATATCTCATTGTCTGCGCTCAACAAATCCAGGGCTGGACCTATCTAGTGACCTAGTGCAAGGCTACAATATTCCCGAAGTTGCACTTTGCAGGGAACATACTGGAGCGCTCCAATTATGGGACATCTTGTGAGAGACCGCCACTGACTCCTTAGTGTTTAGGTGTCATGTTCCGGTAGTATAGAAGTAGAACAGAAGTAGAACTCATTGAACTGAAGAGTAACCGTCAACCTATTTGGGTCTGAAAATGGTGTATAACCCCCAAATTCTATTATCTTCATCGTAAAAATATATGGGAAAGTGAAATCAATAGATCAATAGATTTAGAGGTTTCCTAAAATAGGGCTACCCCCAGTCATCATCCATTTATAGATAAATTTTCCATGAAATAAACCATCTAGCTATACCCATATTTATGGAAAACGATAGATTTAGAGGTCCCCTATTTTCACAGAAACCCAACTAGTCAAGTGGCTCGTTTCGCCAGACTCTGTAGCCTCGTCGAGGGTTCGGGCTCTGGTTCGTCCAAGCGAAGGGGTGTCATCATCACCTGGGCATCTATGATATGTGATTAATGGTTGTATCGTATCATCCCCCCATCAAAAAGTCATAGTGAGTTATGATTATTATGTTCCTCTGACAAATACATATATATATATATACATATATATATATGTAGAATAAGCATTTACTCAAGAATGGTGATGATGTGCTTAACAAATGTATGGAAACGACCAGCCACAGCACAGAAAGGGTATCTCTTTGGGAATCCTAAAATCCTTCACGTAAGACCTGGAAGTTCAAGCCATGCCTCCCCTAAGCCACGCGGATCCTCAAGTCACCTGATAATGCATCTGAAACCCAATTGACTTGCAAGTTCTGGTCCTTTTGAGTAATCCAAGGAACACAAAATGTTGAGCCAGCGGTTATTTCTAGTCCCTATATGATTTTTGGGCGAGAAAACCGCAGCGTTACGAAAGCTTCGTAGCGCATACATGCATGTAAAAAGTGACGTGAATACCCCCTAAGATTTCCGCTTCCAAAATGGCACCCTCCAGACATGATCTGAAAATTGGTCGCAGTGACCAGAATGAAATGTGTTTCCTAGCCATTGACTCCTGAAAGAACATACATATATATATACTATGTTGTGTGTTATATATTATATATTATACATATACTTGAGCTGCGTGACCCTGACGTGCAGATCAGGCCACGTTCATCAGATCTTCTCTGATCTTCTGTAGTTCGGTCCATAATTCCACAGCACCACCGGTCTCACTGGACTCCGAGTCCGTACGTCTGCGGATGTCGGGCACAAGCCGAAGCTCCTGGCGCTTCGAAAATGTCCAGGCGACCTCCATATGGCCATGGCCAGGTTCCCACCAACCCATGGGGAAAACCGGTAGGGGAACAAATTTATCCAAGACTCACCACCGATTTGATCATGATTTGAAATCCATACCCTAGCAGCTAGGCCCTAGCACATCAACGTTCCGGCTTTGATCACTTTCACTCTGATCTACCGGTTCATCTTGCAGTTCCAGGTCCTGGAAGATTCCAGCACTGTGTCCATTCCTGATGCCCAGTTCACCCAGATCCAACGACGGGGGCCAATTCCAGGTCAAGAAATCATGTGTTTTTCTGCACTGGAGACACTATGTATGAATACTGGGGTCCCAAAAAAACAAACAAATCACACGAATCGAATTCACATATATATATATACACATATTGTTTTTTGCATCTCAGAAATCATCGAAAAAACGATATGGTTGTGGATCGAAACCGTGGCGCCATGGTGAACACCAATAACAAGAAACTTCCCCCCCAAACCCCATTAAAATAAATTTGAAATTAGCACCGATTGCATGTAAGTAAGTATCAGAGCCTAAATGAATCTAAATGAGGCTTCAAATAGGGGTTATTTTTTTCCACCGAAAGGGGAATCGACAAAATCTGCGAAACAAAAACTTAATTAAGAGGTATTGTTTTCCATGTCTTTTGAAGGATGTTGTCTCGCTGAAACTGCTAATGCTCAGGGTGGGCGCGCGGCAAGAGCGACAAACACATAACACCGGGGCAGTGGAAAACCAAAGCAAATACAAAAATAATGAATAAAAAAACAACAACAACAAGAACAAGAACAAGAACAAGAACAACAACACATCATCCACATTACCTGTCAATGTTTTTCATGTGTGTTTTCCTTTTAGCAAAATGTTCAGTGTCAGTGGAACATGCAAGAGTTGTTTAAGAACTTGTTCGCAACAAAGGATGAGGAAATATGAGGAGGCAACTGGAGAGCATCACCACGAGAAGAAAGAAGGAGTGGAGCAATTCCATCTGTTGTTGCGGCCGGTTTCAAAAATGGTTTGCAAATGGATCTACGTTTCCCCCCAAATGGTCCTTAAAAATTGACCCACACTAGATATCAAGGACGTTCAAATCTGGTACGATTGGTTTTGATTCATCCCCATGTAACATGTATTGTGTCACCAGATATCGAAGTATATTCCCATTATTTTCATCATATTCCCAATATGTGTGTTGGTTATACCAGTCTTTTTGATGGTTACACGCCATATTTTCATGATTGCCCTCAAACCTCACGTGCTCATGGTATTAAACACCATATGTTCATATTTTTGTGGTTAACATTCCTATTTTTTGATGAATAATTTTCATGTTAGCAGTAAAAAAAACATGTTTTCCAGGTTTTTTGATGGTGAAACTCTTCTTAGAACCCATTAAAACCCCCACATCGCCGCTGCGCCAAGTCACCGCTGTGCCTTGGCCTTGCATCGCTGGATGTCCTCCAGCTGCCGTGCCACGCTGCGCCGCAAGGCCAAGACCTCCTCAGGAGCCACGTCGCGGTAGCGGCGCATGATGCGGCGCTCCAGCCTAAGAAATGGAAACGATTGGGTCTTTGAATTGTGTTTATCATGCATAAATAGAATATAAATAAATCTATCTATCTATCTATCTATCTATCTCATATGTCATATATATATATATTTATGTGCACGCGCATGTGTTATCGACATGTTTTTCAATCATGAATCATGATGTTTTTTGCTGACAGGGTGATAACCGGGCCCTATTTTCGGACGGCCGCCCAAAGTTTCATTGGGGACTTAGTTACGTTGTGATTGTTCAGGATTTATTTCAATTTTTTTAAGGGTTTGCTTAGGGTTGGTTTAAATTTTCTTGAGGGTTTGTTGAAGCTTTATTTAAAACTGCATGTCTCAGGTTTTCAAACAAAAATACAAAGGACATGTAAGGAACAGGGGTCCAAAGGAAAGACTGGTCCCACCTCTTCCAAATCAGCTCGGAACTGATCCCGAAATCCAAGTGGAAGGCAATAAACAGCGCTGTGACCACCCACAAGACAAACCTCTTTAAGATGCATATATGGTATAGACATGTATAGACATGTATAGACTATCTTTGGTATCACATATTTCATGTATGTATACATGTATTACTACGTACATTTTTCATGTTATATTGTATAAAATTTATATAATATATGCACAGACACCATTCCTGAGTCACCCATAGTGTCTAGCTGTTCAACCTCTCCACCCTATGCCAAGGAACTCATTCAAACGATGCCGCAACTCCTCACAGTGTTGGCTTGATTCCTGGTAGTTGGCAGTCATTTCTTCACATTGCCTTGCAAGGATGCGAATGTAAAACATCTAAAAGATGCATAGCGCGTGTAGTTCCAACTCCCAACTACACAAAATTGGTATTACTAGGAAGGATCAGGAAAATAGATTGTTTAGTTCCAATTTAGCTCTCTCACAGCGTTAGGCATCATCCGCCACTCAACCCTGCTTAGTATCGACATTTTACAGGCGGCTTTGTGAGGTAGAAGCCTTTGGGACGGGCCTACACCAGGCTTTTGAAGTGTTTAAGTTTCAAAAGTCAAGCCCCGATTGAGTGCTTCGCTTCGCGGCTTTGTGGCCCTTTTGTTGACCCTCACTTCAGGCTTCAAGTTCGAGTTGGGTGATTTCTTGGCGAGGTAAGGTTCGTTCAGCAGCTCAATACATTTTCGACCTGCCAAATTGTGTCTGACCTTTGCATGGGACCCCTTTTGTTTGAAACAGCGATGACTTTCTCGGCAGAACAGCCGCTGGTTTCTTTGCTGTTGGGTGATATCAAATCCACCCATAGTGCATGCTGAAATCCCCCGACATCCAATGGGCTGCGACTCCACCAAAAAAACGTAAAGCGCTTGACAAGCGCTAGCAGCTTCTGGCACTCTTCCTGACTTCTGTTTTCTGCCAGGTTGCTCTGATTGATGCTTCCTGGGCAGGGCAAAATGCGCAAACACGAGTGCAATGCTATGACTCGGCCAAATCTCAGGTCATTTCTCCGGGAACCCGCTTGGCGTTCAATAGAAATGGCCAGCTGCAGCCATTAAACTAGAAAGGCCATTGGACAAGCTGGATTCTCCAGGTGGATTGGCGTTCAATAGAAATTGCAGCCATTAAACAATCCACCTGGAGAATCCAGCTTGTTCATGGTTACATGGTACAAAATTGAAGGAGAAGAGCAGTGAGAACACTGTAACAACAGCATAATCAGCATCTGTGACTCTATAGACTGTATATTTCGAATGATTGCCCTTCATCTGTGACTGTTTTTGGAATGATCAGGGTTAAAACAGCTATGTATTTACAATATCTGGTTATTTAACATAGCCATGGTATAGATGGCCCATAGAAATAGATGGTTTACCTGGGTTTACCTATTAAAAATGGTGATTTTCCATGGCTATGTTAAATAACCAGAGGGTACAATATCTTAAGATTGCTGATGAAAAAACCGGAGTCATCGGAGGACAACCACCAACTGAAAAAAATGGGGCCAGGGGCCAGTACCTGGTGCAGCTCAGGGTCACTTCTTTCTCCAAGGCATCACACCTGAGCACTGCATAAGGATGATAATTATAATGTTGGAATCCTAAGCAAAATATACGTATATTCAAGGAAGCAGATTTAAAAAAAAAAACATTGAATATGGTTCGCTTCTTTTGAATTCAGTTTGTTGGTTCTCCTTTTGCTGGTTCCACCTTGCAGCTTCCCGTTTTGGTTGCTCCCCCCTTTGCTCAAACAGGGGAGTTGTTCCCCCTCTGTTTGGGCTGCTGATCTTTGACTTTTAAACCATCTCTGCAACAAAAAAATATGTTCAAAAAGCAAATGGCCAAAAGCTGCAAAAATCCACATCCAAAGTCCATTCACTGGCACCAGTAGATCCGATATCACGATGACATGATGTTGAGCATTCCTTTGAGATGAGAAACGCATCGCCGCCCTTCTGCGCTTGTTTGCGTCTTTGCTTTACGCTGCTCAGCAGCAACCTTGCTGCCGGAACGTGGGCGAAAAAGGTGCCAAAGGATGAGTTGATAACGAACCCAGTTGGCTAAGGTGGCTTCACGACACCACGGTCTAGAAATCTGCCTTTGGGGCTTCAAAATTGAGAAGATTCGTGGGAGTTCACAAATCTAGCCATCCGACTACGCATAATCATACTCATCACCTTATTCCAAGCCAGACAAGCTTGCTGGTACAAGGAGGATAGGCTGTGGTGCCGTGTTCAGCAAAAACTCGACCATTGCATGGCTGTATGGTGTCTCAAAATTAGCTGTATCCAAATCATTCCAAATGTGGGTTTCCACCTCTTCCAGTTTTTGAACAATTTCACCAAACTCATTTGGAGTTTCCATTGGCCGCCCAAGTGGCTGCAATCTCTCGGCTTCAAGGCGTGTTTTCCCAAAGTTCTTCTCCACCTGATCCGGAATATCCATTCATGGGGTGATTTTTCCTGGGAGTTTGGATGGTTTTTCAATGTTTTTCCATGGAACATTTCGAACATTTCAAGGGTAACCATGGCTAACCCCTTGGTCACACCAGCGGGCTCGAATGACCAGAATGACCAGAATCACCAGGTCCACCTCGTGCATCTCGTCTTTGGCCCTAGCCAGTCGCTCCTGGGTGGTACTCATCGACAATTCCACCTTCGGCGTTAGCAGCACCGGACTGCGCCAGGACTTTCACAAACTTTCACATCCAGGACTTTCTTCCATGATTTTCAGTAAACCTACAAAAAACTATGGAAAACCACCATTTTTAATTTTTAATGGATAAATCAACTATTTCGACTGGGATATGTTTGAAACTTTCTGCCGTGCATCTTGTTTCGATCAATTTCTGGCATGTTCTGGAATCCGCTGGCACTCTTGCGTCACAATCCACCATCAATCACCATCCATCACCATCCATCACCATCCATCACCATCCATCACCATCCATCACCATCCATCACCACTTCCCATGTGGTTAGCTTCGCCCAGATACCTTCTCCAAGCCCTTGCTCGCTTGCCTCGATGGATGGTTGGGCTTGGAAACCAACCAAACAAAAACACAGAATAAACCAGCTTTGGTCATGACATGTCATGACCCATTGGCCCATCCATTATCAAAGTATTGCAGCCATTGGCCCATCCATATCAAAGTGTTGCAGGATGTTGCAGGATGTTGCAGGTATCAGAAAAAATGTCTTGCTTTCGGGTTAAAGAACCAGCTCCAAACAGATCGATCAGCTCACAGCCGTCCAAGGGACTCATACGCCGGCTGTGCCGCTTGTTCAGCAACCTGCAGATCTTGTCGTACCTTCTCCCGAAGCTTCTCCCATGGCAGCTGTGCCTGATTTCCAAACATCAAAGATCTTCAAACTGGGATTGTCCAGAAAATGCTGTACCCATTTTTAATTGTCTTATTCACTCCTGTATCATAATTGTCCCACGAAACTTGCAATTTTGGGGTATACCCAAGGTGTACCTATATTGGGCACACCCACTAGGCTTATGGATTATCGGATTATGGTTGTTGCATGTTGCATCATAGTCCAGCATGTGAGGACAGACACTCTCATTGTACACGGTTGGAAAGTTTGCTGGCGCTGCCGTGATCTGGTCCGTTTAACGGTGGAACAACGTGCACAAAAAATATCGTACAATGCCAGCCTGGACCGACAAATATGAAAACATATTATGAGAAAAAATGGTGGTGTGATCTGAAAACATGATGAAACTACAGCAATCTGTAGCATTTGTCAAATGGGCATCCAACTTCCAATGTTTCTCAAATCCAATCCCCTCCAGTCGACTTACCGTCAGGAAATGACAGAACGCACGACAAAGAAAAGCACAGTGCGCTTACAAAAAAGCCTTTGCTGAACAAAAGAGACTTGCGAAAATTATCACACGTTTCTTGAACTCTGGCTGAACTATAGTAATTCACCAACCTGAAAATAGCTATTTCCTTGATAAAAGAGGTGCATGTTTGGGCTGATTCCCTAAATCCAAACCAACATTCTGATGTTACAACGTGGCCATTGCAATTCCAGATGAAATGATACCATCGGTAGCCTCAGCTCCGGCTGCGTCTTTGCTTTCACTTCCTTCAGCGGCTTCAGCGGCTTCAGCCCACATTTCGCTCAGGGTCTGCAACTCCTTCTCAGCCAGGCCTAGGGTTCCGGTACGTTCCGGTCATCCAACAGTCGCTGCGCAAGCGGTCGCATCTATGCGGTCGAAAAGCGTATATGATGTATGAATATGTATGATATCTTGATATGTATGCAGTTCCTATCAAAAAAAGAAGGGGGAAAATGGGGGAAAAACACAATGTTCTCATCCTTTCGTCACATGTTTTTCCTGTACAGGTCCCTTTGGCTTGATTTAGCTTGTTAGTAGCTACGAAGCAGACCTCCATCGCTCTGTATTTCTCTGAAGATTTTGAGCCAAAGTCCATTTTGAGCCAAGACACTGAAAGTTCTGACTTGCTGGGACTCCTGAGTAGGCCGTGAGCGAACCGCTTATCAGTACCCTTCAGCAATGCAAAATGCTCGTTTTGCAAAAGGACGGAGGTGGTTTGACAAGGGTTTTACCACTCAAGACTTAACCGACTTAACAAACTACAAATACATCCCACAGGTCACGCCTCAGGTCTGTCACAGATTCTGTCCCGAGGCTACAGGCATGTGTCACAGTGCTTGGTGCTAGAGTCGAACTTGGATGAGCGGAGCTGAACTCACACTTGCTGGAGCGTTTGATTTATGCGATGATTCACTACAATGCGGCGCATCCAGCAATTCAGGCAAATCTCTAATCCCAACCTTGGTATTACAACCATAGGTCCCAACTCACATGTTTCAAGGAGACCTTGAGCGTGTGCATCGTATGCATCGTGCCTATGGTGCCCTCGTTTTTTTGATGTGGCTTTCCAAGGTCTTCAACATTCTTCAACATTATGATACTTAGCCAGAACATTGATCAAATTATTCTGATCATGATTATATCCCAAAATTGCCCAGTATCCCCATGATATCACCCACCAATATCCCCCATGATGGTCTTCAAAGTCAAAGATCCTTCTCAGATGTCGCACCAGCGCCCAAGCTCACAGCGTGTCGCATCAGCGCATCGATGCAACCGGCCAGGAGTGCATGAGAAGCTTCCTGCGGAAAAATGCCGAGCTGAAAACAGAGTGACTCGTCCCAAGTGAAAGGACCCAAACTCTTCTGACCTGGTGTCGGAAAAGAATGGAAAAGGATGATCTGTGAGAGGACAAATATGGAATGCTATTGACGCAACACATGGGAAATTCATAAAAATGAAAATTGTGAGCTGCTGATGGCTGGTCTCATTCTGATGTGACCGGGTCAGGCGATTTTTCACTTTGCCTTATGAGATGAGCCTCACCATTGCCGCCAAGTCTCAGATTTCTTCAGATCATCCATGTCCTCCTCTTCCTCCGTGGCCCGACAGTTTGTGGTACCAGAAACCCTATGACTGCCACATTTCCCCACGTCCACCACGCCATCCATAGAAAGTACCCCAAGAAGCACTACATAGCAGCATAGCACTGTTGTATGTGTCGGGGAGAGAAGGGATTTCCAGATTTTTTGCCAGAATGCCTGATGATAGCACGGGAATCCCAGCAAGATGTCTTGATTCACAAAGGCTGCCGCCGTGCTCCAGCGTGAACAGCCAGGTTTTGTGGGATATGTCAAGACATGTCAAGAAATGTCAAGATCCACTGCATATGGCAAGGTTTCATGGTTTCACATCCCAGCAGTTCCCAGCAGAAAGGTTAGTTCTTTCGCGGAAAAACTCGCAACAGCGAATGATCTATCTCGTCTAAGTCGCATCTTTGTCCAGTCAAAAAAGGCACGGTTCTTTTTTTTGAGGTCGGGAGGCAAAATGGGAAACCAACAAAATGTGGGGTATCAACGATGTATCAACAGGTATCAACGATATACAGTTGTGTACATCCAACTTGGACCAAGCATTGCTTCAGCATCTCGTGACGAAACATTTCGCGCCGGCGCCTCCTCATCTGAAGTCGCCTGCTTGGGACGAACGATGGAGAACAATTCCATGTGGCTTTCCTCAGCGAATGTGGCGAATCTGCCAAGAATCTACAGATTTGGGTCATCATGTGTTCGATTGAAATTCACAACTTTAAAAAAACAATTCTGACCTGAAATTTGTCCGCAGCGCTCCACACCACTTGAAGGTAGACGAGATCATTTCAAATATGTGAAAACCAAATAGTTTCAGCGTCAGGGTCTGTTTTTCATCTTTTGTATTCACATCTCCTGGTCTGCATCAGCCATTCTTCCATGAAAAATGAATAAAAATAGGGATGTTTCATGATGTTTCAGCTGTTTCTCCCTTATATAAGCCATGCCATGCTTTTTTTGGGCATCCAAGGAACTGTTTCCGCATTTCCCAAGAGCCTGTCGGACATCTCATAGAGCTCCTGCCATGTCGCCCGATAGTTTCCACCCGCCATAGTGCTGCCATACAAGGCGCCTGCCGCTTTGTACCCCTGGTGAACATCAAAATAGCTGGGATTTATGGATGTTCATCCCACTAAAAATGGTATTAATAGGTATTGATCCATAGCCATATGCATCCCACTGTATCTGTGTGTTCGTCTTGTAGACGTTTTTGGATAGATATAGAGATACGCTTCACTGATGTCCAAATTGAGACAGAGTTCTGAGCAACGGCATCAATGTACAACTGACAGCCTAGGGAGGATCCCACTTAGTAAGTGGTTAAGCATCTTAAGCCTGGTGATCGTAAATCTAAGTGGATTATTCATGGATATTCCACCTATAACTGGATTATAACCTCTGTTACTAACCATCAGGTGGGGTGATCCTAATCTCAGCTCACGAGTTGAAACTGTGGCTGCGTGGTGGTTCTGCACCTGGTATCCAGGTTGCTACCGTTCTTCATGAAGAACGGTAGTAAAGACAGTGTTTCCAAGCGGCTTATCATTGTGAAGAATCATCATGTTATTTCATTTTAATTCATGTTATACCATGTTATACCCATATTCTAGCATCATTTACAAAGCTATTCTCTAAGTGGGCTATTCCACTTATAGGGTTACAAGCCCAGTTACCAGTTACTGGGCTGATCCTCTCCAAGTCTCCACCTGCGCAGGCGGCGCGGAAAGCTTCCAACGCGCAAGCGCCACGGAGTTTCGACACTTCGTAGTGCTGTTCGTCCTTGAACAAGGCCTGACAACGACCACCACAAGGGCCCAATATATGGAGGTTTCCTAACATGGTGCTAGCCCTAAATCATCCAACTTAATAGGATTGTCCAATTTTCCATAACCATCAATTTTGGGATATCCCCATTTATGTAAACCCCCATATGGACTGCCAAATGAACACAAGTGGTGTAACGGGTAAGGAGATGAAGACAGGACATCTCCGCATTTCAGACACAAATCACTGAACGATTTACCGCCATCGCCACTCCAAAAGCCAGTCCTGACATCAAATAGTGAGGTGCTGCACAGAAACAACGTCATGTTGGAATTTGTCCATGTTTGCTACCAAGAAAGAACCAAAGACCAAACTAGATTTGCAACCAAGTTCGCCGTGAAAATGCAAAAACGTGCCAGTGGACATTTCTGGTCTGTAGCTTTCTATGATTTGTGCCAATTGAAAGACACAGAGCCCATGTTTCTTATCAGGGATGACTTGGGTATCACTAGAAGTGGATGCTTAATACCAAGAATGTTCAATATCTGCACACCTTTGGGAATTGAATTTCATGTGGGCAATTGTCAAACTCTCTGTCATTCCTTTGTGCTTGTTGCTTGATATGGCTTCTCGTATCAGAATAATCCCTAAACTCAGTAGTACAACCGGCTAAAACAACTAATCAACCAGGATTTTGCTGCTCACTTGGGTATGGGTCAAAATTAGGTATCCCAATAATTGGATGGTGAATACTAAACTAGACTAACATCTGTGGTCCCCTAGGTCTTCCATTTTGACCCACATCCATATGGCGATCCGTTTACCATCTGCTCCTGCCTTCTGCAGAGACATTAGTTGAGCTCCTTGCGCCCGCACCGCTGCAAGTAGCGCTTCACGTTGGGCGCTGCTACTTTCATCTGAGAGGCGACCCTCTGGTAAACGTTTACAGTTTGCTATTGAAAATGGCCATTTATAGTGGATTTTCCCATCAAAAATGATGATGTTACATAGTTTTCTGTGTGTTTACCAGAGGGTAAATGGAAAGTTTGAAACGGTCCATGATACACCTTGAGCTGTTGCAAAATGCCTAGGAAAATTGTGGTGAGGCAGATGGAGGGACATGGTGAAGTGGAAAATGGATGGAAAATGGCAGACATGCCATGTTTCCAAAGATGTTTCATGGCATTTACCAACCATAATGGGGATTTAAGGGAAAGACATCATGAATCATAAATATCTCATCCTGTTTTACATGAAAAATTGCCGTAACGAACCCCTTGACGGTTGCCGGTTCTAAAATACCAACATGCCCCCCCCGGCACCTCGACCACGGCAGATCTGGAGGAAGCTCCTGCACTGCGCAGATGGAAAGGTTTCTCTGATGTGAGCCATGGTCAATACTCACTTTGAATGGTTGATGGTCATCCCATCCATAATAAGGATCCAAAAATAATGGTTATGAAATAAATCCCGAGTGGAACCATAATTAATGACTAGCCCCGTTTTTAATGGTTATTAACCATGAGTATTGACCATAGCTCATGGAATGGTTTCGACATGAATCTCCACAAACCCATTAGCTACCATTAGCTACCTACATGAGCCCTTCTCACTCAGTGTTGTATGCAGCGTCTTCCATTCCTCCCGAATGTTGATACAGGATGGCTTCAGAAATACAACTGATAGAACTGTTTCATGAAAATCCTTTGTAAATTTGATAATATGCCTTAGCCAAAAAGTCATCCATGTTTTTTTTTCCGATCAAATATAACTTGCTTTATGGGATCTATTTGGACTTGTTTGAAAAAATGGTACCCCCCCAAATCCCAGGGTTTATCATCACTCTTCCCAAATGGGGAATTCTTTGTCGCAAAAAAAAAGGGCAAAAAAAAATAGCCCATTTCGGGACCAACAAATTGAGGCAAGCCGGGCTTAAAAAAAAACAAACTGATATCCACATGGCTATGACCATTTATAGGGGGATGAACATCCATAAATCCCATCTATTTTGGTGTGAACTACAGGGGTACAATGTTTTTGACCATATCCACATGAATATCCACAGGTAAAATATCCATGAGATCCTCGTGATGACAACAGTCGCGCCTTAATAGGGCATCCAGCCCAATCTCACCCACATGAGCAGCTGTGGTGAAGGATGGCAACTGTGAGAGCTCCGTGTACCTGTCCATGGGAACCAGATTTCGCATCTTTTTTCATGGGCAAAAAAATGGAAATGGTAGATTCAGGTACAGTAATCGTTCAGCAAATGTTTGAAGATTTGCGATTTGTAGATCTAGTGAATCTGGTGGCGGAACCACGCATGTCTGCATGGGTGCTCTAAGGGCCGGGAGTTGAACAAGGGCCAAGACCCTCATGGAAATCCTGACGTTTTTTTTGAAAATCCCTATGGAAACTATGGAAACTTGAAAAAGTTGATGGAGGCTTTACATTAAGTATCCATGGCAACAAGAGTGCCAAAATATCTAGAATCTGTGTACATGTCTATGTCTATATACAGTTTTTTTTCCAGCCTTTGAGATTATTATCTCGTGGCGAGCCGTGCATAGCTGCTTGAATTCTACTTTATACCGGTGGTGCGATTCGCTTCGGTTGAAAATGTATCTACATATATGTACATACACATATAACATATACATATTAAAGATATATAGTGAATGGATTTTCCCCAGTCAACAGCCATCCTTTTTTGGGCTAAGGGCCATCCCTGTTTGATCAACACCGCAGGTCACTTGGAAACCTCTGTGCTCTGGAGACAGCTCAAAACACCCACCACCTCTGAGGCGCTTTTCGCGAAAAATGTTTCTGTAACTACAACTGTTGGCCTGTGACATACTGTGACATACTGTGACGATATCTACATATATACATATTATATACATATTATATACATATTATATACTCTATATTATATATATATACTATATATACATATTATATACTATATATATACTATATATATACTATATATATACTATATATATACTATATATATATGAATTTACTATGTAGCTGCAAAAAAATCCAAGTGAGGAACAACTGCGGAGCGCTCAATCTTTGATCGTTTCCCTACGGAATAACCGGGTCTCGGTTTCTGCAGCTCATGGGGACGATCCTAGTTGGTTGCCGGGCCACCGCGTAAGCCAGCTGGGCGGCAACCAACATGGCAGAGCACAAGTAGCGCATCAGCGAAAGGTCCTGGAGCAGGCGGCAACACTCATCTTATGGACCAATTATATCCAATCATATCCACTCATGGCACTGTAAAGATCAAGTTCATGACTCAATGTTTCGCAATTTTCATGGCATAATCAATTATCCTCTGGAACTTTGAGTTTTGAATCTTCAATTCTTGGAATGTGATTCTCATTTGTCCAAGAATGTGTGTTTTCGCCACAGCACTGTCTTGATGATTGTCTATTTTTGTCGGTGTCCTTTTTAGAACTTGAAAGTTAGTCGTTTCTTTTGCGCCTTTGATCATCGATGTTTGGAGCACGTGTCTTCCAAGTTGGAAGTATTGCAACATGTGGCGGTTGTCCTTGTCCATTTGGATCTAGAGTCGTGTTCCACAAAAAGGCTCTGTGGTGAAATCTCATCTTGCATTGCAGGTATTCCATGGTATTCCACCTATGAGTTCAACACATGTTCGAAGCCTGGCTTCTTACGAAATTTTTAAATGAAGCACTGAGCCTCCTGCAATATGACAAATACGTCTTGGTAAAGCAACGTATCACTCATATATAATTCCTCCCAAAGTGTTTCTCGAATCACACACACTGCAACTCTCAAATGCCGCTGGCAAGCACTTACTTACAATTCCCAGCCCATCCTTGTAGCGTAGCATCATGTACGTGCGCAAGTCATCAAGACGGTTCCATCACGTAGCATCAAGTGCAACAAGCAACGGCAAATGAACGTTACCGTTACTGTACCAGCCCACCCCGTATCAAGCGTCCTGCACCAGAGCCGCTCTGGCCACACAATGCTGGTGAATGCAGTGGCTCAGGATGCGCGCCTCCCCAGCAATGTGCCATGGTCAAGTTACATGGGATTCATATTGGATTCATGGTTTATGCGGTTTATGGTATTTTGTGATCATCCATCCCATTCATGGGAATCCCAACATGATGAGTTTATATAAATCCCTATTCATCGATTGATGGTTATCCACCGATATGTGTAGTAGCTATCCATCTCTTGACCACGGCACATATGATATCATATGATAGTGCACTCTAATATACTCCAATACTCCTCAGATTGTTTCCAAAATCTTTGGACGTTTTGATCAACAGCTTCAACCATGGCCATCGAGTTCCAGTTCCCCACGAGATCACTATCGCCCGCCTTGTGATAGCAACGGTAAAGGCCACAGATGGAGTCAAAAGACTGTCCAAGCCCAGCATCCTCTCGGACCTGAATCGGAAAAAAAACCTGTTGACAGCCTAACTGATGACATACAAAATTTCTGTCCTAACTCGCCAGCCAAAAAAAATCTGAAAAAAAAAAATCGGTCACTGAATAATCTGGGGATGGGTCAAAACCAATAGTACCCCTTCTGTTCACATCAAAATAGCTGGGTTAAAATGGATGTGAATAACCCACTATAGTAATGGTATTTTCATAGGTATTGACCCATCCCCATCTGAATAAATGAACAGCAACTCAGCAACTCACGCCTGACTCGGCAGGCACGACATCCACATCTCCGCATCGCAAGCGGCTTCGCGGCAATCCACCGAGACCTAAAATCGTGCCATTGATGGAACCATGGGGAACCATGGGGAACCCGAAATCACTTATGGAAAGCACCCCATAAATGGAAACCAATTTTAGGAAACCACCATTTATCAACCTTTTTTCGTTTGAAACCAATGAAACCAATGATTTGGGGGTAAGAAAAGCCATGGGAAAGCCACCGACCCAGCCTCCAAAGTCTCCAGTTCCATCTGTTCAGTGGCCATGGGATCTACCTGGATCAAGCTGGTGATGCTAAGGATCATTAAAGGGTTGCTGGATGCTGTCAACTAGAAATGGGATATACTGGGATATAACATGGGATATACTCGAATCACCTAGTCACATCGTGATTAAAGAGGTGATCATTTTCTGACATTCTTTTGACGGCTGGCGAGTCCCTCTGAAATTCCGAAAGCCTGCCCAACACCGCTTGAACGCAGCACATGAAGCCGGCTTTGCAGACGCGCAACCTGCGCACTGGAATTCACTGGAAATTCATTGGGGATAACTCTGGAGATTGTTTCGAAAACACCTCAGCCAACAATGCGCCAAGTATCACTCAAATTGCAACTTGGAATCTTGGTGTAGTCAGTGGTAACTCCAAAATTGTCTCAACCCGTGTGAACTAGGTTTGGGTGTTTCTTATTGGGGTATCCCAAACCATTGGTTTCCCGGCTAAAGATGTCTTTTGAAGAATGATTTTGAGGTCCCTTCAATGCTTCTTATCCTCATCATCCACCTCGGCACTTTGCAGTTGCCGCTGCTGTTTCTGTCGCTGGCGAATCTGGCCTCAACAGCGACGGCAAGTCTTCAATGATCCTATCTTGAACGCCTTGGGGCTGCCGTTTCAGACTAGGCTGCTGGGCAGAGTTCCCTGGCAAGGCTTTCCAGTTGATCTTCCCGTTCCTGGCCGAAAGCTATCAAATACTCAGCAATTTCCTACACTTTGGGAGAAAATGCAGGAAAATAGTGTATACAGCAGCAAACTGCCGTGTTTGATCTCTGGTTTAGCCCCAGGCCCTTCCAGTCAAGATCCAGTCTCCAAAAACCCAGCAGATTCCATCATCCAAAAACCCCACTCCACGGTCAAAGTCGGATTCCACCGGTCCAGCGGTTGATTTTTGGCTATTTTTTGGCTATGAGTCAAAAGTCGGGTAGCCTATACAACCAAAAATTGCTGCTTAGTGGCTGGTCAATGGTGTTTTTGTTCATCCAAATATCAATGGATTGCAGGATTTTTTTAAAGGAAAGCCCCATATGTTATGGGAACATCGATGGTTTCCTGTCATTTTTCCCTTGAACCAATCAATTGACCCATCACATGGCCATGCTTTGAGCCTGCAGAGCATTGATCTCCTCCGACAGACACAGTTCCAGCTCTCGTTGCGTCTGGCCGCGAAAGACCATGGGAAAACGGGGGAAAAAACAAAGAAAAAACTCCGGCTGATTTCCACGAATTCTAGTCGTTTCCAATCACTTCCAATTATTTCTAATCCTTTCTAATCATCTTTAATCATTCCCAACATGGTTGAAATCCTGCAAACGTGGGGAAAAAAAAAGAGATCGTGAGATGACACCGATGACACCAACACCCGTGACACTGCAATTGGTTTCCTCCAGCATCTCCAGTCCCGTCTTCTGGAGGTAGCGCTGCTCCTGCAGAGCTCATGGAGATGGGCACGTCAGAGCGTTTCCAGTGGATTGAGAAGCACTGCAAGAAATGAAATCTGCAACAGCGACATCTGCAACACCTCATTTTTTTGGCAAATAGATTTGATCATCAAACCCAAGCGGTGGTACCAGACGTCCTCAGAAATTCTTCCAAAATGGACCAATTCATCTGTGTAGTGCCTGTTCCCTTTTCCCATGGCATATTACCATATGGACATTTCCATGGAGGGACCCCCAAATCAATCCAAATCATCCATTTTAGTGGCATTTTCATGGATTTTTATGGATACACACCATCCAGCTATTAGGGTACCATTTGAGGAAACCTCCATATTCACCGAAAAACCCACAGCACTTGGCGTTCAATTTTTTCGTCAGTTATTAATGTAATTGGTGGTATACAAACCATTTTCAGACAAGCCCTTGAATAACATAAGTTTAGCATCCCAATAATTCAGTATATTCAAATCCCATTACATCCCTACTGCTGATGGTGGCATCCCTATTGAAACACACCGTGTTAGTGTCGGTCCTCAAGAAATTTGTTCTTGGCCGCCAGAGTGCTCGTCAAGTGATCATTTTGGACACCTCGGTGGCATTGCCGTGCTATGAGATACCGGTGGCAACTCACTTAGCGACAATTCGGTTGTTCTCTCTTTACATGGTTTCGCCATTCACAACATTTACAAAATTACTCAAGTATTTCTGGCTCTCATCACTTTGGAAAGTATACAAGTTATCAAACAAATATTCTCACCAAGTATTTCACCATTATTCTCATCATGTATCATGTCAACCCTGGATTAATAAACCCCAAACGATTGTTTAATTGGGAGGGTACCATTTAAGCATCATATTATGACTATTGGAGGGGTACCCCCCTAATTAATAAACCATGGTTATCTCATCCCACTTCTGCGACGATTCCGAGCAGCTCAGCTGTTCGGTGGCACGTTTCAGTGAGGCCACGTCCTGGTTCCAATGGAGTTTCACCATTTTCCGCAGCCATTATTGATGATGGATTATTATTCAGGATGATTATTGATGATTATTGATGATTATTGATGATTATTGATGATTATTGATGATTATTGATGATTATTGATACGCATCTACATGAAAAAATAGAAGAAAAAAAAACGCCTGTGTTTTTCGAAACGGTGTCTCTTTTCAGAGTCTGACATGAATGGTATCCTCTTCAGGGAAGGGCCATACATTTTGGATGTGAGGCATCATCGAGATTCCTAGTTGTTTTTCTCTACTTCTTAAACTGCAATCACTGAGATTCAAATGTCGCCAAAAAACACACAAAAACACCCAACTACCCAAGACCCCAAGACTTGCCTCATGGCTCTCAGTATTCTTCGGCTGTGCATTCTGTTGTGCATTGGCTCTCTCCAAAACAGCTCTGCGGCGCTGCAGTTGCACCATTTCGGCACGATGGCTCTTGTAGTAAGACCATAACGCCTGGCCGAAGGCGCTCTGAAAATATGGTGTATCTGCAGTATCCCTGGTTGTTTGAATGCCGCAAATGGTGATTGACCATGAAATTTCAGGGTACCTTATTTTAAGACAAATATATCAATCTTGTAGAATATATTGCGTGTATTGCGTGTATATTATATAGATAGAAAAAAAAAAACTATGCATGCAAAAATATTTTGTATTGCCACTGCATTCCTCATTCTGGTTGTTGAAGCCAGGTTTGTAGACGAATTATCTAAACTCATGTCCCATGTTTGTTATAATATGGGAAAACATTGATAAAACCATGACATAAACATTGATAAAACCATGGTAAACCTCTGAAACTTCACTCCCCAGGCCTCCTTGTGCCATTCCACTTGCACCTAGCGTCATCTTCCAAGGCGGCTTGACATTCAAATGACTCCAATGAATGGTTGGCATTCCCAGTAGTGTGGTAAACCCAATCATCAAGCATCAAGCATCTCAATCATCTCATCCAACATCATTCTGAAGGGGTGTTTTTCTCGAGATTTACCAGTATTTCCGATACATTTTACCTCATGGAAGGGCATGGAAAATGTATGAAAATCATGAAATACTGGTAAAACTGATGAAAAATGATGAAAATGATGAAAAATGATGAAAAATGATGAAACATGATAAAATGATTTCATTCAGAAAATGATGAAAATCATTGGATTTGCCAGAAAAAAAAAAAAAACTCCGCCGCCACCTCTTCGGTCCAGGTCTCATCTTTGGCTGAGAGCTGGGTCATTTCCCGGACTTCCTGGAACGCGAGAAAGTGGAATCATAGGCTGGAATGCACCATAAAATGGATATAAAATGGATATAGAATGGATATAAAATGGATATAAAATGGAAATTTCCTGATTTTTGAATAGGATTTTCCGTTCTAAACCATCCAGCTATTGGGGTACCATGACTATGGAAACCCAGAAAAAACTAGCATTTGGAACACGTTGGACCGACGCTTCGCGGTGGATGTTGGGGGTTCAGCCTCCAACTTCAGAGTGATTTCCTCCGCCTCAATGTCCAACAACTCCTGCCACGGTCACTGTGAAGCTGGGATCCAGCTGAAAGTGATTGAAAGTGATGATCCAAAATCCAAACCATCAAACCATCAAACTCAAAGTTCATTCGCAACAAATCTGGGAATCTCTTCATGGAAAATCATGATGCCTATGGCCAGCCATGCCATGGCAAGCCCATCTCGGCCCAGCTCCTTTGCTTTCATTTCGACGGTGAGTTGCTCCTGCAAGCGCCTTGAAGAACATGCTGCAAACAATAATCGTTTGTTTCTCGGGTAGTGGAGTAAACATCAGCGGACTTCGAGTTTGCGTTTTTAATTTTCTAGGTGTATCATTTAAAGAATCTGCTTGAAAACCTGAGTTCCGAAAATTTCTGCAAATAGCTGCACATCGGACTAAAGCCTACGCGCCAACTCACGCCCGTGTATGAGGTCTCAACAAATGATCTTGCCCAGTCTAAGGCACAGGCTCGACCACAGATTTCAGACTACTACCGGCGCCACCCTGGTTCCACATTGGTCAATGGCTCTCAGAGTACCAAACATTTGTGTATCAATCTGTCTTCCAAGCAACACTTTACATGTATGCGAGTATGCCAATGTTTAATGTGGTGTCACATGGCAATTTCCACTTGCCAATGATTTGGGTTTGACATGCAACGTGGCCCAAAAAAGATCTGCAAAAGCCACCTTCCAGGTGTGCATAACTTGGTCCACAACATGAAACACAAAAAATCCTGCACTTTCTCACAGGAAAAAAAAAAATCCATCTCAACGCCTCCTCGCATCACACCAAAAAAAGAGTCTGTAAAGAATCTGGCATAATATGGATGTGGGTCAAAACCCTGTACCCCCAGTGAACCTCAAGGTTGATGGTCATCCCTTATACCACATGATTAGTAGGTTTTGACCCATACCCATATGTTCGTTCATACATTGTTTCTTCCTGTTCCGCTAAAAATGTCCCAAGTCACCTCCAAAGTCACTCGGAACCAGCCCCCATTGCCTTAACCAAAGATGCAGGTGACATTGCACCCTCCATGTCGACATTGGCATCGGCATCAGCAGGAAAAGCAAACTCTTCTTGGACCTGTCGTTCATCGGATTCCGTAGTTTGTGCTGCACAAGTTGTTTCTGCATACCTGAGGGTCCATGGCATGTTTCTAAAAACGCAAGACCCAAAAACCATGCATTTTAATCAAACGAATTTTCGTGACTCCGAGTTCCGAATGAAGTCAGTTCAAACTCAAGTAGAAAAGGGTAGCCATAGCGTAGAGGTTAAACGAGTTGAGAAGAGCTGAGAAGAGTTGAGAAGAGTTGGGAAGAGTTGAGAAGAGCTGACGAGCTACCAGAAGAGTTGAGAAGAGGCCAGGAAGCGTAGAGAAGAGTTGGGGACACTTGAGAAGAGCTGAGAAGAATTGAGAAGAGTTGACAAGAGCTGAGAAGAGCTGAGAAGAGCTGGAAAGAGCTGAGAAGAGCTGAGAAGAGTTCAGAAGAGCTGAGAAGAGTTCAGAAGACCTAACAAGAGCTGAGAAGAGCTGAGAAGAGTTGAGAAGAGCTGAGAAGAGTTGAGAAGAGTTGACAATAGCTAAAAAGAGCTGAGAAGAGCTCAGAAGAGTTGACAAGAGCTGAGAAGAGCTGAGAAGAGCTGAGAAGAGTTGACAAGTGCTGAGAAGAGCTGAGAAGAGCTGAGAAGAGTTGACAAGAGTTAAGAAGAGCTGAGAAGAGCTGAGAAGAGTTGAGAAGAGCTGAGAAGAGCTGATAAGAGCTGAGAAGAGTTGAGAAGAGCTGAGAAGAGCTCAGAAGAGTTGAGAAGAGTTGACAAGAACTGAGAAGAGTTGAGAAGAGCTGGTAAGAGCTGGTAAGAGCTGAGAAGAGCTGAGAAGAGTTGAGAAGAGTTGAGAAGAGTTGACAAGAGCTGAGAAGAGATGAGAAGAGCTAGGAAGAGCTGGTAAGAGCTGAGAAGAGCTGGGAAGAGCTGAGAAGAGCTGAGAAGAGCTGAGCAGAGTTGAGAAGAACCGAGAAGAGTTGAGAAGAGCTGAGAAGAGTTGACAAGAGCTGAGAAGAGTTGAGAAGAGTTGACAAGAGCTGAGAAGAGCTGAGAAGAGCTGAGAAGAGCTGGGAAGAGCTGAGAAGAGCTGACAAGAGTTGAGAAGAGCTGAGAAGAGCTGAGAAGAGTTGACAAGAGCTGAGAATAGCTGAGAAGAGTCGAGAAGAGCTGAGAAGAGTTGAGAAGAGCTGAGAAGAGCTGAGAAGAGCTGAGAAGAGCTGAGAAGAGCTGAGAAGAGTTGACAAGAGTTAGAGCTGAGAAGAGCTGAGAAGAGCTGAGAAGAGTTGAGAAGAGCTGAGAAGAGCTGAGAAGAGCTGAGAAGAGCTGACAAGAGTTGAGAAGAGCTGAGAAGAGCTGAGAATAGCTCGGAAGAGCTGAGAAGAGCTGACAAGAGTTAAGAAGAGCTGAGAAGGGGACGGGGGTCACATTCGCCCCTGAAAGAGGGTCACATTCGCCCCTGAGCCAAAAGGGGTCACATTCGCCACTGAACCACAATACTTTCAATGTGGTACTCAACCCTTTAGGGTTAAACCTGGGGACAAGGGGGCATTTAGGGGGACTGGGGAACCTTTAGGGGGGACTTGGGGGGATATGGTAACTTGCCTGTCTATTCAATATGCTACTCAACCCTTTAGGGTTAAACCTGGGGACAAGGGGACATTTAGGGGGTCTGGTTAACCTTTAGGGGGGACTTGGGGGCATATGGTAACTTGTCTCTCCATTATATAAATATGTTACTCAACCCTTTAGGGTTAAACCCGGGGACAAGGGGACATTTAGGGGGTCTGGTTAACCTTTAGGGGGGACTTGGGGGCATATGGTAACTTGTCTCTCCATTATATAAATATGTTACTCAACCCTTTAGGGTTAAACCCGGGGACAAGGGGACATTTAGGGGGTCTGGTTAACCTTTAGGGGGGACTTGGGGGCATATGGTAACTTGTCTCTCCATTATATAAATATGTTACTCAACCCTTTAGGGTTAAACCCGGGGACAAGGGGACATTTAGGGGGTTTGGTTAACCTTTAGGGGGGACTTGGGGGCATATGATAACTTGTCTCTCCATTATATAAATATGTTGCTCAACCCTTTAGGGTTAAACCTGGGGACAAGGGGACAACATCAAAAACGTCTTCGAAGTTGCTCGACATGGATGTTACAACGTAGCAACGGTACACCGTAGCATCCATAGTGTCCTGGAAGTTGATTCAAATGGCTGTTGGAACATAGCATCCGAGGCGTCTTCCAAGTTGCTCGACATGGATGTTACAACGTAGCATCCATAGCGTGCTGCTAGTTGATTGAAATGGCTGTTGGAACGTAGCATCCAAAGTGTCTTCCAAGTTGCTCGAAATGGGTGTTACAACGTAGCATCCATAGCGTGCTGGAAGTTGATTGAAATGGCTGTTGGAACGTAGCATCCAAAGCATCTTCGAAGTTGCTCGAAATGGATGTTACAACGTAGCAATGGTACACCATAGCATCCATAGTGTCCTGGAAGTTGATTGACATGGCTGTTGGAACGTCGCATAACACGTGAATATGACTCTCTAGGGTGGAAAAAAATCCTTTTGAGGCTCTGAAACTATTGCGCCTGCCACGCAAAAGCAGGGGTCACATTCGCCCCTGAACGAGGGTCACATTCGCCCCTGAACCCACTTCATCCCACTTCATTCAGGGGCAAATGCGACCCAACATGGTTCAGGGGCAAATGAGAAGAGCTGAGAAGAGCTGAGAAGAGTTGACCTGAGAAGAGCCGTGAGAAGAGCTGAGAAGAGTTGAGAAGAGCGCTGAGAAGAGTTGAAGAGCTGAGAAGAGTGAGAAGAGCTGAGAAGAGCTGAGAAGAGCTGAGAAGAGTTGAGAAGAGCTGAGAAGAGTTGACAAGAGTTAAGAAGAGCTGAGAAGAGCTGAGAAGAGTTGAGAAGAGCTGAGAAGAGCTGAGAAGAGCTGAGAAGAGTTGAGAAGAGCTGAGAAGAGCTGAGAAGAGTTGAGAAGAGTTGACAAGAGCTGAGAAGAGTTGAGAAGAGCTGGGAAGAGCTGGGAAGAGCTGAGAAGAGCTGAGAAGAGTTGAGAAGAGCCGAGAAGAGTTGACAAGAGCTGAGAAGAGTTGAGAAGATTTGACAAGAGCTGAGAAGAGTTGAGAAGAGCTGGGAAGAGCTGACAAGAGCTGAGAAGAGCTGAGAAGAGCTGAGAAGAGCTGAGAAGAGCTGACAAAAGTTGAGAAGAGCTGAGAAGAGTGTGAAGAGTTGAGAAGAGCTCAGAAGTTGACAAGAGCTGATAAGAGTTGAGAAGAGCCGAGAAGAGTTGAGAAAAGAAGAGATGTCAAGGAAAAGAAGATCGAGTGACATTCGGTTGATGACCGCAGATGGGTTGTCCATAGCCTCAGGGACTCAGCAAGAATGTGTGGAGAGATCATTGAAGCACAACACGTGCACTCCTACAAGAACACATCTTCCCATGGAAACCCCATGTTGAGAAACCCCCCATTCCTGAAGCCCTACTAAGATACAGCATGAAAACGAAATTTTGGAGAGCCCCAGTGCTTGAACCATGCCCATCCTTGAGCCCCATGATACCCTGCCTGCATGGCTGCAAGCTCACGTTCGAAGGTATCTTGACTCTTGGCAGCTTCTGCCTGAGAATTGATTTTCTTTCACACTGCTGGACATGCAGCTTGTTCTTGCACGCCTTTTAGCGCTTCGACGGGAAGACAATATGATACTACCGTCAAGACACAAGCTGAGTGATGAAAAATATCCTCTCCCGATACTAGTTGGCTAATAGACGTTGAATGACGTTGATACATATCATGGTATATGATATTCATATGATATTCATATCATCCATGTCATTTGATAGTTGTTTCCTGAAAAGTTTCCTCTGAAACTGCCAAGTTACCGCCGCTTTCTGGGCCTTCTCTAGTGACTCTAGTTGCTCCATGGCACCTCCAGATGTCGGAGGTGAAACTGTTGACAGTGAAGTCAAAAAAGGCTTGTAATCGTGCACAGAAGCACGCATTCTCGTACTTGTCTATACGGTAAATGTCTTTGATTCATGATATGTGTACCCTCTGGTAATTTAACGTAGCTATTGAAAATTGCCATTTATAGTGAGTTTTATTTTCCATAGTTTTTTGTGTGTTTACCAGAGGGTACCTGAGGCCAAATCAGAATCATACTTGATCGTAGACTATGTCTGTGGATTGTCGCCATAGCCCGCCTAATTGGCCCCACTGGGGCTGAATTCATGCGGGGAACTGACATGAGCCTTGTAGTCCATGGGCATCCCACCTTACTTTATTCTTGCTTGGAAACCTAATAATATCCACTGATATCCAGTGATATCCACTGATATCCACTGATATCCAAGGTTTCAAAAGTGTTCTGTCCAGCAAAAATCCGGCATGGCACCTCCAGCCCTAGATTTTCGGCGCTGAAAACTTCATCGCTTCGGAAAGTTCATTGCGGAGATCCCAAACGCCGGTAGTTAAGGGCCCCTCCAAGACTCGGAACTCGGGGAAAAAAAACATGGCTTTGAAGGAAAACGACTTGGGCACCAATGTCTTACGATATTTTTTGCTGACCAAATGCTGCCATCAAAGCTTGAAGCTGGGAATGGGGAATCAAACCTTTTTTCATGGGGGTGTGGATTGGAGTGATGATTGTGCTTTCATTCACAGGCTCCCTGACTTGAGCAACTGCTGGAAATCATCGGATATGCTGATATGCAGAACAAGAAGAACAGATCAACCAAATCACTCAACAACGCGTAAGTCAGAGCGCAAAATATCGTGGCCTGATGCTCCCTGTGGTCTAGAGAATCTTGGTCGAATACACCCTATAGCAACTGTAGTAGAAGAAATATCTCCTAGTGTGGTCACTTAATGGAAATACTTACAGTGCAGCACCACTATTGATCTGCGCTGAAGTGGGACTAGTCTTGAACCTGAATTCTAGACAGGTTCTCAGGAGAATTCTTCAGTTTCCAGAAAGTATGTCCACAATGACTTCAAGGGACTCCAAGCAAAAAAAAACGAATAATCTTTCTTTTCGGCTGTGTCTCACACATACCGAGCTGAACATGGCATTGGGAACTCAGGAACCACACCCCCTTCCTGTCCTCAGCAAGGAGCATCAGCAACAACGCTTGCACCTGCAAATCCTGCCACAGGTCACACCCCAGTTCTCCCAGCCCTTGATGGAAGGCTTCACAGCTCCCACCTGGCACTGGCTGTGTCACGGCCGTGGAGCGCTGCGACAAGGGCCCGGTCCTCAGGTGACTTAGCTCCTGCAATGCAGAAAAAATTCTTGCTGTACATGCTGCTTCTCAGAATCAGAAAGGCACTAATTACTATTTTTGGTGGATTCCCTTTGAATTGGCAGGTAAATCTGCTATCCAAAGTGATACCCCCAGCTCCTCACAAACGCGGCTCACAGCATCTGCCAAACTGTAGAGGCCCACCTCGCTTTGTTCCACCTGATGTTTTTCAGGTTTTTGTGGCCTGTTCTGCCACTGTGAAACCGTCATGTTTTTGGTGCAAAGAACTTTAAAGTGCCTCGCAAGTTTCAACAGAATTCAACAGATGGGTATGAGTCAAAACCTTGGTACCCTAGTGAACCCCAAATAACTGGTAAATGGATGTTCATCCCCCCAAATATAGCAAGATTGGTTTTGATACATCCCCAGATAAGTCCCCGCACGCGCATGAAGAGGGACGTGAGGTCTTCACTGATTGTACTGAGCTCCTGGCATCTATACAATGCAGAAAGAGCAGGTTTGATGATGGCAATTGAGGGCAGAAATCAACCAATTCATCGAGGGAAAAGCAATTCTGTACCTTTTATCCTATGGGTTTCAGCGCTTAACATGCACCGGGTGGTTGTACATTGTTAACACCTGTCGCGTTTCTGAATGTGTCGCCTACATGTTGAAATGGCTGCATATCAGCGGTCTGTCGAGTTGGACACCAAATATCCGAATCCTCAAACGGATGTTGAACATCCATCATAAATGCTGATTGATGTATACATATGTACTTACATGTATGTGTATGCATGTGTATATACATATATACATGTGCTGATTTGCATGTATCATATATTAATCTAAAGTATATAGTATATATATATATACTTTAATTAGCCCCCAAAAAAAACGACGTTTTTGAGAGTTGGCATGGGGAATCCCCAAGTCACCATGGGTTTCAAGTCCCCAAGTCATGGTCCAATGATTGGATGGTTTGAGAGTACCCCCATAGATCTCGGATTTATCTTTTGGCGATTTCACATAGCGAACTGGAAACATATCCATTTTTAGCAGGTATACAATGTATACAATTCCTCCTTTTTACCATCTATCAATGTGCCATCGTTCATAGCTATGGTACCCTGAGAGCTACATCATCCCTTTGACTTTGTGGGCCCTGAAGTCGAACGTGGTTCATTACAAGCAGTCTGTGTATAGATTTCAGCTACAGATCTTGAAGCAATGGATATTATGGGGTATATTGGCGTATGATAGTGGAGTACAATGGGGATGTATTGGGACTAATATAACCAACAATATTGTAGAGGACCAGAACTTTGGATGCTGCTGGATGAGTCAAAATGACGAACGCTGTGTTTTTTGCGTAACATTAGTGATCCTTGTTTGAGGAATTTACCATGAAGTGCAGTGAAAAAAGGATGTTCATAGATGTTCAAAGTACCACATTAATAGATGCAACGAGATGATACCCAAACTTCTCAAACAAGTTTTCTTGAATAAATTATCATCCAAGAATTTCTCTAAGTACCTGGGTTCAACAGTAAGACAACAATTAATACACACATATGTGTGTATATATATATATATATATGGTACCCCCCACTGGAACTCCCAAAGCGTTGCGACCTCAAAAACGTCGGTTTTGGGGGGGTACCATGTATATATACATATATACATATATGTATTAATATATTTATATATATATAATTTATTTACTTATTTATCATGTAAGTACCTGCCATAAACAACTCATCCACTGCCCATCTCACCTGTCGCAACTCTCCTTCCGCCACGCCGGACGTCACCTGGCCATGGCAGTGCCAAAGGCGACGTCACCATTGGCCGAACGTTGAGTCATTGTTGTTATTTAAGGGGATGGGTCAAAACCTATTCTTACCAGGGGAATACCCTCTGGTAAACTAACAGTTTGCTATTGAAAATGGCCATAGAAATAGTGGATTTTCCCATTAAAAATTGTCATTTTCCATAGCTATGTTAAATTACCAAGGGAATAACCATCCATTAACCATCTATCTTATGGTGGAGTGCCAGGGTGTTGACCCGGCCCATAACCATTTGTTCTAGGGTTGAACTATGTTGAACTTTGCATTTGAAGCTCCAATATGTAGAACCTCGAATGTCCGGTGATTGGTAAGTTTCAAACTTTCACCGCAGGTGGCACAAGCCAAAAATGCTCCTGGCATCTTCTCCAAATGCATAGCGCGGTGGTGTCAACCCATCGCAAAAGGTTTGCCCACTTGATTCACTTGTATGTGTTCCCTCTCTCACATGCCTCTAACATATTGGGGGGACGTGTGTTTATAATGTTTATATCTGCAATGCAGCATGAAAGTTGTTCAGCAGTGCGGTTCCGGCTGGCTACAACCAGCGTGCTACCAAGTGTGGTCCAAGTGAGCCGTGGTCAGAACCCACGTTGACCGTTTAGTTGCAATCTCTTTGAATCAAGCACCAGAAGCAATTCAGTTTTCGATTCAGCTTTCGCAATTTGCTGAAGTAGCTTTGTCCTCGGTGTTTATCATGAAGTGCATTTACCATGAAGTGCCCTCGGTCCATTTACAGCACAGGTGCCTATCCACTTTGGGCACCTGCTAGGTGCCCAAAAATGCAATTGCTGTGTCCATTGCCAGGTCCCAATGGCCATGATTTTCCCGGATTTCACCAGGGCCAGGCACCCGCACCTGCTTTGCACTCATTGCCAGACGCCAGCGGCGTTCTTCCAGGTTCTCCACCAAATCTTCGGCCTCACGCGTTTCCAGGATCTCCTGGTGAGTGGGGAACAGTGGGGAACAGTGGGGAACCGGAGGATGATGTGGGCCATGGTCAAGTCACAAGTGATGTATGTATATATATATGATATATATGATATGATATATATATATGATATATATGATATATATGATATATATGATATATATGATATATATGATATATATGATATATATGATATATATGATATATATGATATATATGATATATATATATATATGGGATCCAAAAGATCCCCAAAAAGATCGAAAAGTGTTTTTGGAGGATGTGAAAAAATGATGTCACCCTAATTTCCAGATGTCCAACTTTTCGATCGGCGCCCTTGCTGCTTACTGGGGATGGTCAATGGGAATCACCAGTAGATGATCATTTCATGGCTATGTGAATCCATATGAAGTGATGACCATCCCTTTTTATGCGGCATATGTTCACCATGTCAACAGTGGATGCTTGAAAACTGACTCATTTCCCTGAATCACTGGGATTTCCTGTCGTTAGTAGCAGCTAACTAGTACTGGAGTCGGTGCTGGTGACTACTGCAAGCAAGATGATGAATAATTGACGAAAATTTTGATTGAAGAAAATTAACTTCCAAAATTCTTGCAAAAGTTCCTGAGCTCACAGTCATGAACATGTGGCCTAGAATGTTGACCATGCTTTCTAATCTCCCTTGGGCTAATGAAGGTACTGCATTTCATTCTGATAAAATCTGCGCTGGTTCAAACCTCATCATGCTGTGGAGCGCACTTCAGAAAAACTCCAAGCTAAAGCATGCTTTAGCGCCTCAAGTTTTTCCTCATCAACGACCAAAATGTGACCATCGGACATCCGTCCTGTAATTCGTGTGTCACATCTTCCAAGCGTCGGCCCATGCCTCCCACCTGCGGCAAAAAAGGAGGAAACGGAAGGGGCGGCCAAAAAAGGCCCTGGAGCCAGCTGGGCCCTACGGCATAGTGCAGCACATTTTCGGATTTGGAAATGAAGCAATGATGCGATAGATTCCGATAGATTCCGATAGATTCCGATAGATGCAACAGATGCCCTTGGAGGCCTGGTCCTCCAGCATAACCATTTGCTCCTCCGAACAGATTTTTCTTCTCAGAGCTCCAAATTGTGGGCCTGAAAAACTCCATGAAAATCTGCAAATGTATAAGGCATTTCCCCAGAAAATCACCAGCTGTTTGGAAGGAATTTCCGCCATGTTGCCATGTTTGATTGCCATGTTTGGTACATGTAAATCATGTAATGTTTACCGTCTCCTCCCAGCCCTTGAAGGATTCCATATGTCCAAGCACCTGCCATCAGAAAATCGTCAACTCAGTGAACCTGCAGAAAACCTACTCAAAATATATAGAAAATGATACCCTCTGGTAATTTAACATAACTATGGAAAGATCCACCATTTTTCATGGGAAAATTCACTATTTCAATGGTGATTTTCCATAGTTATGTTAAATTACCGGGTAGAAAATGTTAGAAAATGTCGCTGAGCTTTGGCATCTCCGTCTCAGAGTTTGCCGAGGTGCCAAAGTCCAGATTTGCCGCTAAAAACCCGCCTCCTGAACCTCATCTTTGAACTTGAGCATCTCCTGAAGTGTCGCGCTGTCAAAATGAAGCGCTGTGTTTCTGCCATGACATGCTGCAATGTGATTTTCTTCATGAAACCAGTGCGTCTTCCTTTCGAAGACGCATTTTTTAAAATATTCTAAGATGATCTAAATGGCTATTCTAAATGGCTATTCCCCTATAGCATCTATAGCCTAAGCAGTTGGTACCTTCCGGCGCTATGTCGTCGTCCTGTGGCTGTCTTTCAATGTCGCCACTGTCTCCCTGTGGAAACGGCTCGGAGGCTCTGGACCAGGATCTGGGAATCCAAAAAGATCTCAGAGAATCGTTGCTTGGTACCTTGGAATACCATCCATTAACCAAGGGAATAACCATCCATTAACCATTCTTACCAGGGGAATACCCTCTGGTGAACATACAAAAAGCAATGGTATAGATGGCCCAGTCGAAATAGTGGATTTTCCCATTGATAGCATGGTGGATCTTTCCATTGCTATGGGACAGTTCACCAGAGGGTACCTTGGAATACCTTGGATATATTGCATGAAGTTGATTGAATAACTGCTTCATGTTAGTGCAATGTCAACCAGCCATATGGATCCATATGGTTCAAAAAAGCACCACCATGTGGTAAAATGATGGAAAATTGGCTTACTAACTTGCTTTACCAACAGCAAAACCATCCTGTGTTGGTGTTTACCCAGTTACCCAGCCACTGAGTGTGTCTGTTTTGGATTATCAAAGGGTCAGCTTCAATAATCCACAGATAAATTGCCCATCTGGGGATTTCATAAAATGGGGGAAATCCATGGAAATCCCCCAGTCATCATCCCAGTCATCATCCCAGTCATCATCCATTTTCATAGGATTTTCCATGAAATGGATAAAATATTTGAGGAACATACCTTGCGTAAGAAAAATCTCTGCACAGCACTGGAGCAAGATCCAGCACCAGTGGCAACGACTTGGTCAACAATCTTGCGACCCATTGCATCATTGCACCATATTGCACCCAAGTCCATGGGTGAAGGGGATGAGGGGGAATTTCAGCCGTTGGGATATCCGCTGAGCATAACTGAGATAACTCTGGCTCTTCAAATTGCAGCTTTCCTTTGTGTCTTTGGATTTGGATGTGGCTCTCATCCTTTGCAGAGCACGCTCGTCATCCGGAGCCGTTTCTGCAAAGTGACACTTTACAAGATCTTCATAGAACCGAAGAAGCATCCGACAAGACGATATCAAGATCTTCCTACGACTGCTTAAAGAAATTCACTAAGAGCTCCACAAAATCATACAAGGACTACGGGCATCTTGCGCGACAGAGGGCAAATAACTACAGCACCACAAGAGCAATGCAACACGCACAAAGTGCTGAGAGGGTTGTGCGATAGAGATGAAAATGAGCAATGTGCGCGAAATACTCCACCTGCCACTCCGATGAAAAAGTGTTCGAAGTTTTGCTCCCACAGAATGCGCCGGGCGTTGTTTTTGGGTCACCCAAAAAGCCGGACCAAAAAGCCGGACCAAAACACCTTCCACCCAGCTTTAAGCACCGCAGGACCCCTGTGGAAAAAGATCGAGTTCCAAGCCGCAAGAGTCGACAAGTTCCAAGCAGCTGCGCTGTTTTTTACAGGAAATTCGCAATTCTATTCCCAACCAGGAAGGATCCAGCAAGGATCAAACAAACAAAATTCAAGTTCAACAGCTGCAAACAAAAAGAATGCTGTAAACTGTACAGCCAAGAAAAAATACATGGAATCCCAACAACGGGACTTGGAAGAGAATTGTCCTATTGATCATGAAAAAATTGGGGGGTGTCATTCAAATCACAAACCAAAGAGCTGTGTGCCGGCTCCTCTTGGCCCAGATTTGCAGCTGATTTGCAGCTGTTTTGCGTTGTTTTTGGTATGACAATGATGAGTTATGATGATCACTGATGATCGGATGTCACTCTATGTGAGTCTATGTAAGTCTTCTGCTTTTTGGGCACAGCCGCTTCCGCCACATGCCCCCATTGGCCTGCAGGCTATGCTCCAATCGCAGCAGCCTGGCCCAAATTTGATGAGACCTTGTTCAAGGGTTCGACCCCTTCAACCCTTAGTAGCCTGTTTAAGCCCTAGTGGGCTGCCATGCTGGGCTTAAAACCCACTTGCAACACGCTTCAAAGTAACAAAATATCACGTGCCACAATCATCTACCTGAACAAATGTAAAGAATCTATTGGTCGTGGCATCCACTGGCCATACCCATCCATTAGGTTTTAGCTGTGTCCATCACTGGGATTCCCAAGTCCTCTTGGCGGATTCAAGATCAAGACATATCAAGACATATCAAGCTGCAAGAGATCCGGAAGTTGGATATCCCACATGGATATAACTTGTTTAACATGATATCACTTCATGTAACTCGAATCAAGGCTTTCCTAAGAACAAAAGACTGCAGTTTCATGCCATCCCAGCCACCCAGCCATCACGCCTGTGCGAGATCTGCAGCACTTGGTCGTCCAACTCACTGACCCTACCCCACCTCGACTTGGCGACTTCGCGACTTCTCGACTTTTGGAGATGTGTGCGAAAGTTTAAGGGATGTTGATGGATGTTGATGGATGTTGATGGATGTTGATGGATGTTGATGGAAATGATTTCTGGATTCGAAGTGTATCCAAAATTTCAAGAAACAAAACATGTAAAACAAGTTGTCTTGCTCTGGTCCAACTCCACTCTCATACCACAGCGACAAATCACAAAAGGGCGCTGGAGAATCGACCACCGGCACTGGCACCATGCATCCCCAGGCGATACAAACTCAGCATCTACGCACCTTTTTTGAATCTACATGACTAATATCCAACACTCTACTGATACGATATCTTCAGCAATATTCAATATATTACTATATCACATTCTACACTTATCATCACTTATAGATAATCAAAGAAGTACACTGTGACTAGCTTCCCCGACGAAGCAGGTGACCCGCCATGCACCTGAAAGTGGCCCAAAAGTGGCCCCAGGCCCGGGCCAATGGTCAAGTTAATTCTCAAGGGTCATGACACGGCTACCCTCTGGTAAGAACTAACAGACTAACAGTTTGCAAACTTGAAAATGGATGAAAATGGCGAAATAGTTGATTGACCTAAAAAAAAGATGGTGATTTTACATAGTTATGTAAACAATGTAAACGTTTACCAGAGGTGATTTTCCATGCTAAAAACCATGAAAAACTCATTGCCGCATTGCCGCCTGGCCATTGCATCTATTAGCTCCATGGGATCTGGCAGGCGCCAGCTCTATGGTACCCCTGGCGGGTTCTGCAGATTTCAACCATTGGGTGACTCAGAACAACATCAATGGTCCTAATCGAAATAGATGGTTTACCTATGAAAATAGCATGGTGGATCTTTCCATGGCGAACTGTTATATAGTCATAACCAGATGCTAGAATTCTTGAAAAAAATCTTGCTAGTTCCTTGCAACTCTTCCAAACGCGACAAGAATGCGACTAGGAGGGTCTCCAAAGCCAAGTTAGCTTTGTCACCAGCTTCTATGCCACACTGTGGGTGATTTGAATATACAGTATAGTGGTAAATCCCAGTCAAAGCACCTGAAAAAACAGATCAATACATCTTCAAAGATTGGGAAAAGGAACGGCAGCTGAAAAATATCTCTAATCCACATGGGAAATCCACTGTAAGTGACAGGCTTGATGAGATTCTGGAGGGACTCCTCCAAGCCATCAACCTCACGAAGAAGTCCATTGCTGGATGAAGAGTTCTTCAAACTTCTAAAAAGATGTAAGAATAACGCGCATGCAAACATATCATAACATAACATATCTAAACATATCTATTACATATATCTACATATCATATCTATAAAATTCTATAGATATCTACATATCTTCCTTAGATTTCCTGACTCCGAATCCGATGTTTTGAAAACAGCACGACACATTTTTTCCAGGTGGCGGACATGCCCTTGCAGCTCGGCCCAGCGACCGCTGGATGTGCTTAGGCTTGCCACCTGCCCAGGGCCAGGGCAGCATGCCCTAAACGGCCGGCCACAACTTGGAACGCTTGGAACGGAAGACCTGGAGAACGATAAGAAGATACCCTCTGGTAATGACTAACATAGCTATTGAAAATGGCCATAGAAATAGTGAGTTTTCCCATTAAAAATGGTGATTTTCAATAGCTATGTTACTTTACCAGAAGATAACCTGAAGATAAGCTGAGAATAGACCAGATTTTGGACCGGATTTTGGGGGGGAATCTGAATAGAATAATCATTGAATAAGGCTCGGCTGAAAAACTTGGCAACTTCAAATACATGGAAACATTGACCCTGAAAAATGTCCAACAACCGCACTGACCTATTTTTCAATTGTTTGCTCATGATTGGCCATGCCCAATCATTCCAAGTCCTAGAAAGCAGGCTATGCTGGGGTCCACAACCACTTTACAAGTGCGATATGTTTCACCGATGATCAGAATTACCCATGAATGACCCATTTGGTGGTTTCCTAAAATGGTGGTACCCCTTTATCGCTGGATTGTTCATTTCATGGAAAAGTAAACCCCCATTTACTCATGATAAGCTTGCCGATGGTGGGGGGATTGTTGCCTCCTTCCACTGCTCCCTTCACCACCTCCTCAATACGCCGTTCCATCTTATCCAAGCGCCGCTCCACTTGTCGACGCTCCAGCTGCGAATCCGGGGCTGAAAGAGATAGGGATAGGGATAGATAATGGGTCTTAGTTTTGAGCCACCTTGAATTTCTTTCAATCACTAGAAAACTCTACATCTAGAAATTGTCATCATAGACCATCCGAGTCGCTACAGAGAGCCATAACAAACGACTGGAGAGACGTGTTGTGATGTGTAGCATACTTGGAACGTTGGAACATCTATTCAAATTGGAATATCAAAACCAAGCACCCGAAACTTGGCATCAAAATCCCAAGACATGTGGTTTTTGCCCATCAAAAATCATCCCAAGACCTCTGGATCTTTGGTGTCGCACCTCGATCTGCTGTTCCAGTCGTCGCAACTGCGCCGCGAACGAAGCATGGGAAGCATGGGAAGCTCCAGGACTGGCCACAACCTCGGCAAAGAATGATCTGCCAATGGATGTCGAACATTTTTTGTGACGAAATCCACGGGTCGGATCTCCATCGATCGATGCCGCTAAATCTGTATTTCTGCTCCGTTTTAACCACCAACGATCGATGGAGCTCTTGGGTGAGACACAGATGACCGTAAAGCACACAGTGAATACAGCGTACAGTGGTCGGCCTGAATTCCAACTGAATGGTGGGAAGTTTCCGAAATAAACCTGGTGTTGGAATACCTTCCATAAGAAACTCCCCCGATCGGCCGTCACTTTCCTGACTCCAACACAACTTGCAAAATTCTTAGCCCCGCAGGCCGATAGACGACATTTCATCTTATTATTATTATTATTGATATTATCATTGTTGTCATCATTATTGTTACCATATGCAGAACTAGCAGACTCTTACTATCATCATCTTTTGATCATTGTACTTGTATATGTGTATATATAATGTATCATATAGTTAGATATATATATATAGTTATCCTATATCTATAATGTTATATTGCATCATATATATAATGTTATGTATATTATATATATAGTGTATGTAATGAACTACTGCTATCATGTTCTACAGTACCGCCCAGCGCACCATCGGCACCTTACTGGCCATCGTTTGCTCCTCCCACTGCTGGTGCTACGGCTGGTGCTGGTCATTTAGGGATTTCCTAAAATGGGGGTACCCAACTATGGAAATCCCTAAATAATGACCAGTTGGGTTTCTGTGAAAATAGGGGACCTCTATATCTATTGTTTTCCATAAATATGGGTATAGCTGGATGGTTGATTTCATGGAAAATCCATCTATAAATGGATGATGATTGGGGGTTGCCCCTATTTTAGGAAACCCCCATTTCTAGATATACGTCATTTTGGTCATTCGGGATTACTATTTCGGATGCTATTCTTTTCGTCATTACCATTTCGGATGCTATTCTGTGGTTTGTCGAAACGTCAAATAGATGTCTTTTTGAGAAGTTCAGAAACGTGAAATATATCTTATAAGCAAAACGGTATATGAAATATCATGCTATACTATGTTGTATCATGTCATATCATGTTATATACTATGTATATACACTCATGTATCATTGGTGAAAATACCCCAGCCCTCCCAACAAAAAAAAGGACAGATAGGACCTGAGCCAGCTGCTGAGCTGTCTGCTGCAGAGCAGCTGCCTTAGTTTTGGCGATCCGATTCTGATCCATAGCCGCTTGGAATGGCTGGGGATATCACTGAAGTTTTTGAGTATCTAAATTCCAGCTGACACATGACTCAAAAAATGTCAGCAACGTGAATCGGAAATCGAATGGGGCTACCCCAAGAAAAATCACTTCCCATCGCTAGCATAAACCATTTGGGAAGTGTGGCCCCTGCCAAGATCTGATTATCTGCACCAATTTGAATATGTCACCCAGATGCACGAAGATTGAACCTCCCCACGGGCTTATGTCCAAAAGTTTGGAACAAAAGTGGTCTATTTCGTCTATTTGCAGAGTTGAACGCCAAATATTTTCTGGATGGATTCACTCACCCACTCTCCAAGTCATTTATTCTAGCCTCTGGTTATTTAACTTGCCATGGGAAATGGCCCATTTATAGATGGTTTACCTATTAAAAATTGTGATTTTCCATGGCTATTTTAGTCATAACCAGATGGTAAAATGAAATATGATTCCAAATTTCTCACGGAAATCTCCATAATCACCGTCCAAATCCTCTGGAAGATGGGTGCATCAGAATCTGCCAAGAGGCCAACGCAGCACCAGGCCTTGCCACAGCAGCCATGGTTAGTAACTGGTATCTTGTTGGGTTAGAACTTCCAATAGTTCCAATAGTTCCAATCATAAAATGTTACATGTTACAAGACCAGCATGATGTTGAAATATAAATATATATATATATACACACACATAGAATTGCAGGACCTGAGAGTTTCCTTCAACTGAGTCTGACTGAAAATAAGCTCCGGTGGTATCCCCAACAGCCACAACGCTTTATTTTGACAAATATTTCTGAAGCGTGCTGCGAAGCCAAGCGCTGGAAACACCTCAGCCTGCTCCAAAGCCTCCCAGACCTTCTCCGGAACCTTCTCCGGAACCCTGTTGAACCTGACCTGCCTCTGCACCAAGCCCTCCCAGACCTTCTCCGGAACCTTCTCCGAAACGGCTCTGCACCAAAGCCTCCCGGGCCTTCTCCAGAACCTTCTACGGAGAAAACGTTGAACCTGACTTGGCTTTGCACCAAGGCTTCCTGGAACCTTCTCCGGAACCTTCTCCGGAACCCTGTTGAACCTGACCTGCCTCTGCACCAAAGCCTCCCAAACTTCTCCGCACCTGACCTCGCTCTGCACCGAAGCTTCCCAGACCTTCTCAGAACCCTCTCCGGAACCTTCTCCGGAACCTTCTCCGGAACCTTCTCCGAACCCTGTTGAACTTGACCTGACTCTGCACGAAAGCCTCCCAGACCTTCGCCGGAAACCTTCTCCGCAACCGTGTTGAACCTGACCATGGCGGCTCTGCACCAAAGCCTCCCCGGCCTTTTGCAGAACCTTCTCCGGAACCTTCTCCAAAACCCTGTTGAAGCTGACTTGGCTTTGCACCAAGGCTTCCTGGAACCTTCTCCGGAACCCTGTTGAACTTGACCTGTCTCTGCACCCGGAACCTGCGGAACCTTCTCCGGAACCTCGTTGAAGCTGACCCGGCACCTGCACCAGTGCACACCGGAGCTGTTCTGGGCTGAAGACCCCATTAGCTTACGCTGTTGGGGAAAAACTTAAACACTCAGGGTGACTTCAGGCGTGGAAGATCCAGGATTGGCAAGACTCAGCTCTGCCACATGAATCCGTTCCCCGGACCCCCACAGCCCCCCCAATGGCATAGTCCCCCCCCCTACCTCCCAACCTCGCATTTGTACGACATTTCCATCATTTGGGAGGCATAGCCTCCCATTTGTACGTTATTTGTAGCATTTAAGACCCGCAACCTCGCCGCTGCACCCTGTCTTCCTGTATATTTCTAACATATCTGGCACATACTATAGCTTACCTCACACATGGCTTACTTCTCATTGTATGCCTTTACGCTACATATTTGCTACCTATACATTTGTCAAAGCATATCTATACAGCACTCAAAGCATACCTATACATTTATCAAAGCATGCCTTTGCATACCTATATACTATCTACCTGGATGTAGCATACTTCCAAACCTATAAACTGAATACTTAAACATAAAAAAAAACACCAATATTGTATATCTCTATACTTCTTACACCCTTCACACCGCAATCGCCCAAAAAAACACAAGCGACATATATCTATAGATCCATATCATACATATATATATATATAAAGTATACATATATATATATTATATATTATACATATATATATATATATATTATACATATATTATACATATATATGTATATATATTATACATATATGTATATATATATATATACATTATACATACATATGTATAATTGTTTTTCTATATTATATATTATATTATTTTATTTTATATTACATAGTGTATTATTTTATGTTATATTATATTATGTTATATCATATCATATCATATTAAATTATATTATATCATATCATATATTATATAATATTATATATTATATTTTACTATATTATATTATATTATATTATGTTATGTTAAGTTATATTACATTATATTATATTATGTTGTATTATATATATTGTGAACAGAATGATCCCTGTTCCGGATGTGGTTCAACTCGTTTAAGAATACCTTGCGTTTGTGTTTACCAACGTTTCAACGGCATGCAGCGGAAGCACAATTGATTTTCCTTGATATGGGCACTTGAGCCAAACATTGCGTTTGGCAGTCAACCCCTTGAAATACAATGGGAAGTATGTATACTGTATTCCCATCTAGTCCCCATTTGCACCCCCCATGTTCGGCATTATGTGGATTTGCCGAACACGAAGGATGGGAACTTATTAATTTCCGCTGATGTACATATGCTCGAATTGGCTACATGTGTGGTTCATCCTCACCGGGCGCTCGCTGAGCGTTACCGGATCGGAATCCCCGCAACATTTCTGGCTTCGCAGCTAGCTATCGGCATTTGTACAAAAGAAAAGATTGGAAACTTCGAATTGGAATAGGCTACATCGAATTGGGCTTGGTGAAAAGAAAAGAAACTAAGCTAATCCTGTACAAGGCCTCGTCAATCTTTGTGATGCTCATCAATGAAGACGGAGATCACCACATAGTGCCCAGACCTCACCAGTACCGGGCGCTCGCTGAGCGTTACCGGTTTGGATCAGTCAGTGCGCTTCTTCTTGTATTGAGGTGCTGGTTGTGGTTTGTCCGTGGGAGAAGGCCGAGATGATTTTGCTGACGTTGGCATCTGCTTTGGTGCAATTTTGGCTTTTGCGGGGCCAGCTGCAGCAGATGATGATGAGCTTGAGTAGCTTGGGGCAGCTGTGGGTGCGATCTTTGGTGGAGGTGATCTGGGACCATAGGCCTTTGGACCGCCTCTTGATTTGGCCTCGGCTTCAGACGCGCGAGCCTCAGCCTTTGCGACGTCGTCCATAGCTCTCTTTGCGCCCTCAGTGCTCCCAATTGCCTTGTAGACATTTTGCACGACTTTTGGATCGACGTTTGGTCCATCGTACATGTCCTTTGGCAGCTTCTTGTTCGGCACGTTTGATTGCATGTGCAATCCTTCCGATGAACGCTTGCGGGAGGTTCACGTTGCATTGAGATGCTGTCACCAGCAGCTCCAATTGGCGTTCTTGTTCCCGGTAGGACAGGTAGACCGCAAATGCAGGAATTTCAAGGCAATCCTCGAACCCATGGTCACCAGTTCGAAAGTAGGTGTATTGCGTTGAGTTCGGGAAGGCACTCTTCAATAGTCTGCATAGGAAGCTGCTCATTTTGGCTCTCATCTCACTCTTTTCTTCGGTGGTGCCCTTCATTTTGTTCATTGGAATAAGAAATTGGAGATCCTCAGGTTTGTATCCAGCGAGCACCAGTCGCTCCATGAGCTTTTCATAAATCTCCAATGTTTTGACCACAGTCATCAACATATTCCTTGGGCGCCCCCCATACATCATTTCTCCTTGCATCCACTCTTCCTGCTTGGCCTTGGCACGGAACATGACGTCGAGTTCCTCCTCGGTGGGGCGTCGAAGCGCTCCGTCATCATCTTCGCCAGTATATGGGCATATGCCATCGAGGTCCAGTCTTCCTACGCGGCCGGTTGTCATTTCGGCTCGGTAGTCTTCAGGTGTCATTTGGACCCTTTGCCTGTAGTAGTGCCTGTACATGCCCATGATCTTTGCCAAGACGGCGTTGTCAAAGAGTTGTGCCGCGCCCTCGGATGAGTCAGTGTTGATCATCCCCATAGCGGGCAACCGGATGCTACCAACGTCGAGGTTCAATGCCCACTTGGGCATCTTGGCCACCCCTGGGGCAGCCTCGGCCTCTCCAGCTTCTTCCTCCTCTTCATCATCGGCGACGACTTCTTCGTCATCTTCTGCTTCGTCCATCTCTTCGTCGCCTTCCTCATCATAGTCGACCTCGCTCGGGTCAAATCCATAATCGTTGTCTTGAGAAGCACCTTCTTGTGCCTCGTGGACAACATCCTTGAAGATGGTTTCTTTGTTTCGGCGGATTTCTTCATCAAGCTGCTGCTTCGTGGTTACCTCCTCGTCCTCTTCCTCGATGATTCTGTATGGCTTTAAGCCATGACTCTCGAGGGCTGTCCAGCATGCCAAACAGATGGCAAAGACAGTTGGCGTCTCCTTGAGACAGTGAGGACAATACCGGCACCCTGATTCTGTGACCGGTTTCTTTTCGAGTATGTAATGCACGAGCCTGATGCGCCCTTCGTATTGTTCTTTTCCACCTTCAGGGATCAAGTGGTTTTCGAACTTGTCGACGAGGCTCATGGCATCCATGGTGAGCTCGTCGAAGGGCTGCTCTTCCACGCTCAAGCATTGCTTGGCCAATCGCAGCAGGGACTCCTTGGTCGCAACGATAGAAGACTGTATTCGTCCACTGCGGACGACCTGTTCGTCTCCTGTCTTCACAATCAGTCGATCCCATGCTGTCCTGGAATTCTGAATCCACCCGCCTTTGATCTTGGAGAATGGGATGATCTGGTCTGTCACCACCTGTCCTGAATCAGTTAAACGTCCGTTGAACTCGTTCATCAGGAC